TACAGGTGTGTGATGGAGTTTTAATATAGGGTATGGTTAAGTGGGCCGGAACTCAATGCTGGGATACAGTAAGATGTGCTGGCACATGTAAGGCCTTCATGTGTTTGCGAATGTCGACTGGAAATTCTGTGCGTACGTGGAGGCTGGGTCGATGTACGCCCTTCCTTGTGCATGTTTTCTTGTTTGTATGCTTCTACGGAAGTACACAGGCCCCCTGAAGATGGTCACTGAATTTTCAAGTATTCAGTATCCACTTGGAAAGGGTCACAAAATCCCACGTAGGCCTACATGCACTGTAAGTGAAATGAGTCGTGGAGATTCTTCCACAAGCGATATATTTTTTTTGGGGGGGGGATAAGCAGCTCTGTTCAACTTTTTACCACTGTGGGGATTTTTTTGGCTTTCTCCACTTTGTGCCGTGGCAGACAGATATCACAAAGACGATAGCCTGATTTCCAAAAGTCGTGATCGTTGAAAAGTATGTCGAAGGATAAGGATAAGGCCCTGACTGAAAGGGTGTGTGTGAAAACTCATATATACATGATATACATGTACATGTAGGATTCAAAGAGTTTAGTGTTGGACAATTCCGTGTGAGAATTGATGAGAAAAATGTAGACTAATCCTGAGTCAAAATTCCACTTTTAGGAATCTATTCCGTGGAGTGATTGATGTAGCTCCCCTGAGAGTCAATTCTAGAAGGTGCCTAACAAATATACAGAAGGAGCAGGTGCCTACATCCGATTTCCTTGAATTGCGTGTTACTTACATGTATAAATCGTCTAATTTCAAAACAGTTTGTCGCAAGCGATCAATTGTCGCAGAGAGGTAGATTGAATATCTGAATGAATTCCTGCAAGGGACTAACCACCATGCACGTAGCCTCCAAAAAGGCCTGGCATTTTCTTGTGATGCATGTTTACCTTTCACCAGTGAAAATTGGAATGGATTCCGAGTAGAATCTTTCTTCCCAGGCAGAGCCAGAATGGATTCCAGGAATGGTAGAACACATTTTATGGCCCACTCCAGGAGGAAGCGCCTCAACTGGACGATAGTTGCCAGCGGCATCACAGCTACCCATACATGTGTCATGACTGCGCTGTACAGCACTTGCATGTAAATACATCGTGGATTGCCAGGATGCAACATTTCACATCATGCACATTCTTAGTTGCATAGGGACTGCTCCTTTTGCGCCAAGTGGCTGCTAAAACTATGGCTGTCATCAGTACAGAAATAAAAGAATATGTCACAAAGTTTCAAGTAGTTTCATGTACAGATAATATCAATACATGTATTACGAAACACTACATGAAATACGTTTTAACCCTCTTTAAATTTACGAGGACAAACGTACATTTGAATGAAATTGAGATAAAAAACGAAATACAATCAAAGCTTATTTTTTTGGCAAACTTTAGCAGCCTTACTTGGGCAAAATGAGAGTGGTCTGTTGCTCCCTGTGTTTTTGAAAGGGTTACCTCTGTGAAGGTGCACCTTCGACACTTACATGTATAATTTAATCGCATCTCCACCCCCCCTTCTTAAGTTAATTCCTTAGAGAACAGGCAATGTTGTTGCCCACTGACTAAATTAATTTTTGGGGGCTTCTTATTTTGTGAACCAGAAATACGACTTGACATTGCTTGGGCAGGAAATGCAGAGCACGCACATCATACTGAGGTGCTAATGACATTTTATTTACTTAGGTTCGTCTCGCCTGCGCAAACATTGCCATAACAACTGTTTTGCAGTACTGTCCAAATTCCCATTGGGTTTACGTGTACGTGTGAAAACCTTGTAAACATTCACAACATTGGTGTGAATGGATCACATACCCTGACCAATGGATGACTGTCATACATGTACATGTCCAGATCTGCTGCCAACTGCATTAGTGTTAGTGTGTTTGTGTGTTTTGACCGGTGTTGAACTCAATTTGGTGTCTTGTCCAGCAGGAGCTACACATGATGTACATGCACAGGACCAGGCAGGTGGTCGGACAACCCATGGAAACAGTCACCCTCACTATCCTGGGCACGGTCCTTGGTGTCAGTAACATCTAAGGATGTGGTCTAAATAGCAGTCCGTTCAATCACACTAAAGGGTCCAGCAACCAAATCCATCAACAGGTGTAATGGAAACCTCCCTTGGCAATTCATTTCCGTCCAGATATGGAAACTATACCAAACTAAAACTAGATCCATCTGTAGACTGCTGTTTGCCTCGGAAATGTCAAATGTAGCCAATCTTATCTGGGCTTGGGATGCCATCTCATCAAAGTCAGCAGACAGAAGTCGCCTACTTCATCCAAACTGTCGCCAGAAAATGCGCAAGTAGTACACATACATGCATACTGTACTGCAAGATTCATTTCTGTTAACTGTTTATTGGCAAAGCAGCAGGATTCTTGACAGATAAGATGGACGGAGAAAAAGAAAAAGGTCCTTCCAAACTTTGTAAGTTTCACAGTTACGTTTTTTGCCATTTGTTTTTTATTTATTTGTTTTTCCGCTTACACTTATTGTTAAGCCGAGTCCTTTCCAGCGTCAGAAATGTAAAATACAAAAAAATGACACGTACCATATACAAATCCTAAAAGTCAGAGAGCTCGACACTTGGATCTGACGTGTTGCAGAAGCTTCATTTCTTATTTGAGAAAATTTCTGCCTGGATCAAATTACCTGAATTTTTAAGATTCTTTTTTTTCCCCAGCGAAGATGATTCAATCAGTGTTCAGATTACAGAGTTGTAACCTATATTTACATGTCATTCTCCCGCAAGTTTCGTATCGTATTTTTTAAATTGTAACATGCAGCTTTATGCCCTTTATACCTGCCTGTGTGCAGGTGAACATTTGATACATTTTCTCAGAAAAAAAAAAGGAATAAAAAATCCAAAAGCATTGGATAATATTGCCAGCGGCAGCGGGTATGTAGGTTATCGACATTCTGCACCTGTACAATGTAATATACGTGCACAGTACATATCCTGTAGGTCACAGTTTGGAAGCAGATGGCTTGGTGTGCATTGCATCTGCATACAAAAATGTACTTTTCCATCTGTGATCGTACTCATGTGTTGAACACCGTTGGCCTCTTTAGCATGAATTGTAACTAATAATAATAATAAAAGATCGAGACATCATCGATGCCAGTAGGGTTAGGTCTGGGTAAAATTATTCTCCCTGTTGGCGGGACAGATGTATCCCCATACTGTGGTTGGGTACTGGCGCGGTGGCATTCATTCCTTCATTTCTTAAATCCATTTTTTTAACGTCAATTTGTACTGCACCGTTGATCATTTTAATGAAAATGGCGCATGACAAATTTTCTTTATTTATTATTATTATTATCGTAAATGGTGCCTTTTCTTGTTAGCTGTGAATAATTGCAGCTCTTTAATCATGCATGGTGTTTTCAGTCTCCCCCCCTCCCTTCCTGGTCCATTGCCTTCTTATCCTCTATTACTGTAGAAGTACCAGGTCATTCTGTCAATTCAGGGTCCAAAAAGTGCGTCCATATTTGTGTCTCTGTTACACCCGACCTGGGTAATTTGACACGGAAATATCACTGAAATTGACAAACTAATTGTATTTGTTTGGCACGTAATTTGCATTGCTTAAATCACGCTTGGAAATTACGGAAAGCATTCTGAAGTTAGGTATGCCAGATGTTACAGGGGTACAAAAAAGTTGACCTCCCGGTAAAAACTTATAGAATGACGACACTGTACGACAGTTTGTATCATCCTTTAATCCAGTTTGTTGATGAAAACATTTAAATGCAAAATCCGGCTTTATAATCGGTTCTGTTAATATTGAGTGAAAAAAAAATTTACTTGGCGTCAGAGTCATAAATTTGCGGTCAAGATGCACTTTAGCTCCATATATCTGCTCTTCATAGAGTAGTGGTTATCTAAGGTTTATTTCCAACATTGCACTGTAAAATGCTGCTGATTCTGGTGCCGTGTTGCTCTGAAATCATGTTACTGGAAATCCCTGCGAAAAGTCAGTCTTCGTTCTCCAGTCGGGCTCCTCTTGGGCCTCCTCCCAGAAATCCCGGCCGCCAATGCGAATATATGATCAGCAGGCAGGTTTCCAGGGGTCCGCTTTAGAGTCCCCAGTATTCATTGAGTGCACAGATCAGATTCCCTCTTCTGCTGCCTTGCAATAATCAACGGCCAATTGATGACGAAGGAAATGACACCAAGAGCGGCCGGCATCTTCAGTGCAACAGTCCAGAGCCATAGGCATCCAGAAGGCATGAATTGTGGACATAAGGGAATAGCTTAGCCAAATTAAAGGATAACATTAATAAATCCCTCCTTTTGCTGTAACGGTCAAAAACAGTCAAAAAGTGCTTCCACTTGATTTCCCCCAGTACACAGACACATATGGGAAATTCGACTGGTTCTGACTGATGGGACAATTGTGTCAAGAATGTGTCTTTGCACAGGAGGGTTTTTTTAGAAACAGCCACAGTAGCTTGTTTACAGCATAAGGTCAATGGTCTGCTTAATGGCTCCAAAAAACACCTGCCTCTCAAAAGCACAGTCAGACTTTTTGATGAAAAAAATACAAATATGGCCACCAGTCATCATGCCATGTTTCTCGAGCTGACCCACTGAAGGCAACAGAACTTGACGATAGCCAAAGTAAGAAGCCCAATGAATCCAACAGCTAACATATATGTCGAACCACTGTTAAAACCTCTTTGGCTTTAGCTCCTTCAGGAATCTTGTGTCACATGTAGATTCAGCTTTGTTCAGTTCGGTTGTTCAGAGTGATTTATAATGATTATGGTATGCGCGTGTGTAACAGTATGTGATTGCATGCAGTAAGGATGACTTCTGTGTTTTTTAGCAGCACTTCACAAGTACATGCATATGTATAAGTACATCTCCATTTTGGTTTACCAAGGAAAGGAAATTTGTATTATTTTTCAATGCCTCTATCAAGTAAGATAGATGTTTTTCCTTTTATCCATTTTCTCCTTCAGAAATGGCCAGAATGTAGAGGGCGCCACTCACAAGTTTGTAGTGGACCTGATCAAGCAAGGGGGCAGCGAACTGACTCTCACCGTCATCTCGGTGCCCAACTTCAAAGAGGACCAAGGGGAGCCCAGCGACGACTCCTCCGGCTACTCCTACTATGACTTCAGCGACAGGAAACCGATCCCTATCACGGTACCAGACTACCGACACGTCAACACCGCTGGGAACAAACATGTGGTAAGCGCTGGCGTGGTTACTTGTTTGCTTACATGTACATGTCCGTGTGTGAGTGCTTTACTTAAAGTCTAATGTCCATTTGAATAGTTCTGCTGGGGCTCATGTGATCTACCTTCCCAGATGATTTGCTGTTGGCATAAAAAGGCAAGAATCACTTAGCAGGGGTTGTGGCACTTTCCATGATTTTCATCATGGGCCTGTGTTCTTGCATTTCTTTCACTGAGAAATGCTGGAAAACATGCACTTTTCCTTTTTCTTAACAATGGGGATGTCGGTCATGTGCACTTTGCACATTGGTATGGGGTTTGGTGTATTCAGTTTAAATTTGCTTTGAGATATCAGGTTTGCATGGACTTTTACTGTTTAAATGGTCATCACACTATACCTGATCATCAACACTTCTAAACGTATACCGTGAATAGTGCAGTAGCTATGTTGCCATAAAGTGTGTGGGTCATTGTACTGTTCAGGCAAGTGCAGTGATCTTGATTTGACTCAGTGCTCTCTATGGGAGAGGGAAAGGAGATGAGAGCTGCATTGGTTTGTACAATTGGTTTGCTAAAAGTGTGAGAGACACTCAAAGTGTCTGTATTTCAGTGGAGACTGTCGCATAAGCCATGCCTCATCAAAGAGTAGTCAAAAAATCGGAGGGAATGTAGCAAAGATTTTCAATGAAAAGTAAAGGGCATTATAAATCCATCCCTGATCAGAGTCATATGTGTGCCATTTTGAAATAATCTGTCCATCATTTTCAAGCCGTTGCATGTCATGCCTTCTCCCCCCCCCCCAACCCAAGGTGTACAACATCTACATTGCGGGCAAGCTCAAGGCCTCCCACCGATACAGCCGGTTTGCCGACCTGCACAACCGGCTAAAGCGGGAGTTTCCAGACTTCCAGTTTCCCAAGTTTCCCAGCAAGTGGCCCTTCTCATTATCCGAGCAGCAGCTGGAACAGCGGCGTCGAGTGCTCGAGCAGTACTTGGAAAAAGGTCGGTGAGCCGACAACGCTGCGCCCTGGGCACGGCTGGCATGTGTTGCATGGCAGCGTCGCAGTCGAGTCTCCTCGCAAACCCCTTTACAAGTCCAGGCGGAAGTTCTCTCGCAAGAGCAGTCATCAGTAACGGGGGGGGTTAACACCGGCGTAGAAGTGCTCTTTGCCGGCTTTCATTTGATCAGCTTGTGGGACTTGGCTTGACTTGAAACTGAATGACGTGCGATGGAATTGTGATGGACTTGCAGGGACTTGCCAGGACTTGTTGGACTCGACTGCAATACCTCATTATGATATCTGGACTAGCATCGCTTCCAAATGAAAAAATTTACAGACATTGAAAATAGGAAGAGGGCTACCAACTTGATGTGTGATTCCTCAGGATTTCTCTCCAGATTTCAGGATTTTTTCTCCCAACGCCTGAATTTTTATTAGTTTCATCATTCAAGTTTTGCTACTTCTTTCTAGTGCAAGTTTCACATAATTTTAGCCATGTGTGAGAGAATTCCTGACTTGTCAGCTTGGAATTCAACATTTTGGGGGGTCATTGTTCCAATCGAGTTTTTTATCTTCCAATCTCACCCCCGTTTAAACAGTGATAAGCACTTGAGATGATCAAGTAAACATTTTTAAGTGTTCCTTTGTTTTGCTTTTCCCTAATTGCGCCTTTCAGTAACCTGTGTTCGAGTCATTGGCGAGTGCGACCTCATGCGGGATTTTCTAAACTTGCAGGACACAGAGAAGCAAGAGGTGAGGCTGCTTTGATGCACATCTTTTCACAAATATGTAGAAGTCTGGGATTCTGTAAGTCAAAGGAAAATTTGGTTTGAGTGCAATTTTTACCATGTGCAGAGAAAACACAATTACTGTAAATGTGTGACCTGTCACCACAAAATGAGCTGAAAGTCGGAAATTTCAAAAATTGAGATATTGGTGTTTTTGAATTCAGCAGAAAAAAGAGTTTTCCAATGGTATATACATGGAACACTTTGGTAAAAGTATAAGGTGACAATTTGACATTATTCCGGCAGCTTTGTGTCTTTCTTTCCAACATTGTTTCAAAACATCTGATTAAATTTGCTGAGAAAATTACATTTTTAAATACCATACATGATCCTGCAAAAAATATGGAATTAAGAAGGAGGCCGATATACTTTCCAAATATTACAAAATCCCAAATTGACCTCCACTTCAAGTTACTTGATTTCGAGCCCTCAATATACATGTAAGAAAGAGTGGAATGCGACTTTGCGCTCATTTTGTTATGAAGGGTCACATGTGAGGTTATTAACCAGTCAACAGAAGTTGCTTGCAAGGGAGGCCTGTACTGGGCAGGTCTTAGAAATTGGTTGCCGTAAAGCAAGCAAAGCTGCTGCTCTTCAGTAGAATGGTCCATCTTGGCTAGATTGAGATGCGGCCTGAAATGAGAATCTTTTACCCTAGCTCCCCAAGGGTGTACGTAAAATCGTATTGAAATTGGAGGATTCGGGACTGTTAGGGTTAACCAAGAGCCTTTGCTCCAAGGTATGCAACTTTCAGCTTGAAAGGTGAGGCCTAACAAGATTGAAATTCCAAGATGATGTCGACTTCATATGCATGTTCCATCAGACTGCCTCTCTAGTCTGTATCAATTCTTACTTATAGCAAGCGGGAAGTTGAATTATTTGCTTTGTGCACATTGTGCCTGTACCTTTGTCAAACGGAGTTTTGGCTGTGGAAAAATGATGCATGCAGGTGCAGATGCTATCTTTGAGCGTGCATTTACAAATGGAAGCTGCAGATTTAGTCACTTCTGGGCATTCTCCATTGAACTGTGTGTTTTTTCTGATTTTCTTGTCTTTCAGACAACAGAAAACAAAAGCAAAGCAGAAGTGAGTGGCTATACACGTATGGTCATCTTTCACTAACATGCTCACACTTGTTCAGTGCATTTCATGCTTGTTCCACTGACGCTTTGAGTTGCCACGGTGGTCAGAAGCTACAGTAGTCACAAGGACCTTAACGACTTGCTGCTGGGTGCCTTTGGAAATGCAGTGTCTAAAAAACGGGCCATTTTTCAATATCTTCGGGTTTCAAAAACCCCATCCCTAAACCCCATCGAATGACTGTCCGATCTGACAGACAACATCTATTGATGCCCGAGTATTTTAGCCAGGACTGCCGCCTTGTAAAAAGAGCCCAGATTGTGCGGTGTTATATAAGTTTCTTGTGTTCCTGAAACTGGCGTCTTTTCAATACGGGTCAGATTAGCATGGAGAGGTATTGTATTGCTCATCACTGGAGTGCTGGAGCGCTTTTGTCCCCTGTGGTAATCCACTCGTACTGAATGACACAACCAGTGGTATAAACTTTCAAAACAGTGACGGATTTCCTCCGCTATTGACAACTGGAAAAATGTTTGCAATTCGTGGCAGCTCGGTCTTTTGTTCCGAGTACGGTCTTTTGTTACAAGGCCCAGCTCTTTTGTCCGATTTTGGGCACTCCGGCTGTGCGTACAAACCCAAGGGACCCGAAACGGGGCTCCCCGGCAGCAAGTGAATAAACACCCAAGTGAAATGGTTGGACAGAGTTGGGTTGAGCAAACTGCCAACCATCAGCAGATGAACAGCCAAAGCAAACAGTACTTTCAGGTGTACCCAATACACTAACAAACTAATCATGGCCTCACTGAAGCATGGAGACACGATGCAGGCTGACTGGTCAAAAATGGCATGTTCATACACATACTTGCATGTCCTTGGTTTCTCCCGGAATGTTCCTGGGGCATTTTCTCAGGCAAATAATACTCAGGAGGGAAAAAGATGCACGAGTAGCCTTCCCCCTGGAAAAAAAGGATTCCAGGCTGCGGTTTTATTTCCTTAACGTTCTAGCTCCTGGAGAAATGGTCATTATTTCTGACATTCCTCAATCCTTCATCCACTGAATAATTGGAGACTGTTAGTGTTAACTTAAAGTTCCAGAAATGATATGTGCATGTGCATTTGATCTCTTGCCACTGCCCTCAGCTTTGATACAGTTGTGTTTAGTTTTTGGCCGTAAGAAATGGCAATAGGGCAGGCCCAAGGAGTTTGATCAGTGTGCGACAGCACTAGTTCATTTGCAGGAGACAAAACCTCCACTTTTTAAAGAATTTGCTTATTTTTTGATTGACAGTTATTCAGAATACATTTAATTTATACATTAATTATTGTTACATGTATTATTAATACATTAATTTGTAAGCGTCTGGACACATTTGAGGCAGTTGGGACGAAGAAAAAATTCAAATTGATCCCCTTTCCAAAGCTTGGGAGGCAAGCCTGTTGCCTCCCTCCCCTTTGCCACCATCCATTCAGAAGAGGTGTCATGTCCACACCTGATTGCAGTGCCAATAAGGCAGCTTCTGATATACAACACACCACTTGCCAGGTTGAATCGTGTGATTGGGGCATGATCCCTGGCTGTATGATGTTTCAGGTTACATGGCTTCTGACTAGCACCCCTGAACAAAGATATTGACAAATGGGAAGAGCCACCAATGTAGGGCTGGATAGCTCAGTTGGGAGAGCACTGGTACAGTATTCGGGAAGTCACAGGTTCAAATCCCACTCCAATCAATTTCTCTGTCATCTTTATAATTTGTAAGCACCTAGTCAGTTTCCCTATTTAGTTTGTTTCATGATATTGTTATCAGAGGTACATGTATGGCTATGTCTGTTGTCAACATTTGCCCGCCTATTTGCGACCAGTGAGGAACTAGACCTAGCTCTAGCCAGAAGAGTCTGATGCTGCCCAAGTCTGTGCTTGTGCTCGATTTTCTGAGGCAGACATGCAGTGCAGTGATGTCATGCAAAATGTTGTGAACCTTTCCAGCTGAATTCGTGGTTTGAAAGAGCCTGGCACTTCAGATGATGTCAAAATTCAAATTCCCCCTTGGAATTGCAGCCTGGAGCACAAGTCTGCCCGCTGGATTTTGCAAACTTTTGACAATTGTCACCCACTTTATGCTTCTCTTGTGTTGAGATTCATGTACATACAGTGATAAACTAAACGTGCATGTTTGTTTGGGTAGTTGCATGTTATTACATATACAGTGACATTTGACTCAAAAAGGTAGATTATGTTATTGCCCCCTCTACCTGACCGTAAGTAGTTTTAATTAATTTATTGTGTATAACAATCTATTGATACAATTGTGCACATCCCTGTTATATGTTAATTGGCAAATTGACCTGCACTACACACTCTTACATGCCCGGTATATTTCCTGCCACTGTGAAAATCATATTCTAAATCCTATTCAGATGATGAATCATTGTAATGTAAGCGCTTTCCCCGTGAGGGGATGTGCTTGCTCTTGTAGATTGAGATATTCAGACAGATTGCAATTAGCATTAAGCTACAGTTGCCGCCGTTTGCAGAGAGGAAGAATATACATGTTGTTTTAACTCTCCCTCTTTGAAGCTACGAATGTAATAGCAAAGGGTCTTTGCCAGGAAACAAAAACCTTTCTCTTCAGGAAAAAAAGGGAAACTAAAAAAAAAATCAGTCTTCCAGGCCAACTTTTCATGGGATTGGGCGCAGCACGTACATGTACATGTACTCCTTATTACCTCATGTTTGTGCCAAACACAATGCATCCCTTGCCATACATGTGCATACAATGCCTAACATCTTCAGACGGTATCAGGAAGTGCGTAGAGCGCATTCGATAGTCAAATCAAGAGATATTTATAAGTAGGGCAGTATATGAAGCATGACCAGGACTTTAGGTCGTCCACAAACCCCGACAAATTGGGTTTTACCCTGCTTTGCACATCCTGCCTCAAGGCAACGCAACTGACAACAGAATTCGTGGATTCAAGGATTCATGTTGAGGCACCTGGCACAGATGTTCACTGAGGATTGGATTGGGCAAGAGCTTGCAATGCATACAACCCTCGAGATGCTTCCTGTCTCGCCATGTCTCGCCATGTCTCGCCAAATGATGCAGATAGGAAAAATTTGCAAATCGCTGCTTAGCCAGTACCCTGGAGCTCAGTTCAACAAAAATCCTTCCCCGCACTGTGGGAAAAGGTCCACATCGTGCCTTTCTGTTGCCGTGCCATCAAGCATAGTTTAGAGAAACATACTTTTTCCGTGCTTCCACAACAAAACCATGCAAATTCAACCCTTTTTTGTTACTACCAGGGATACTGTAATTATTTGAAATTTCCCCAGTGTTGACTCATGTCAGTTTCACTTAACTGTATTTGCCATCTTTAAAGGCGTCAGAGGGTCGTGAATTTATTCTTGTCAAGTCAAAAAGAGACCTACATGTATCTGTGGGACTACTTACGCATACTGAAGTATTCGTAATGCATGCTGGTGTGAATCTTTTGCCTGCTAACTTGAAGCAATAACATACATGTAGACTGCTAACTCAGACCTGCCTTGTATGTGAATTCCTCACAGGATCCATCTTTCACAGGGCCAGCCACAACTGATGAGCCAGTGTGATATTTCAGAATGGCAAGGTCACTTAAAGACAAAGCATTCTTGCGTGTCAGCGTAAACGCACGGTTGAGCTGATAGGGTGCATATGTGCTGTTCCACAGTGACTCCAGACACGCTTCATTTGGGGCATACGCTGTTAGCTGAACTGGCTCATTGGAGATGAACAGATAAAAGGCTTGCCTTTGTCAAGGTTGGATTCAAGGGAGGAGGGACGAAATGGGGAAGGCCCCCCCCCAAAAAAAATAAACAATAGGGCAGAAAAAATTTGTTTTGAAAAGTAATGAAAGGCAATTTTGGAAGTCTGATTCTTTTCCATTCCTTCTCAAATTGTGTAAAAAACCAATGTAGCCTGTGCAATGTAGCTTCAACCCTCAGAATGGCCCGTAGAAAAGATTACGATTTTAAAAATTCCAACATTTCCCCCCACCCGAAAAAAAATTAGTTCTCGATCCGTCCTTGGTCTTAGTCAGTCCTTAGGAACAGCCCGTGAGTTGATTGTGGATCTGTCGAGTTATGATGTCCCCAGCTATGGGACTGGAGCGCCTGGTTGTCGTTTGCAAGGTGTCTCAAAGCACCATCTTTAATTTGGTTGTTGTTTTAGGAGACACCTACAAAGAGAGAGGATCAGGGCAAGGCCCAAGTTGAGTTGAGAATACTCCTCCCAGACAGAACGCAGGTCACTGTCACTGTCCGCAGGAACAACACAACGCAAGATGTTTATAATGTAGGTGATTACGAGATTGAAAACAGAGATTCCAAGTGACTTGTTACATTTTATGAAAATGGTGATTGGGGTAGTACCCAGTTGCAAGAAATGAGAATATATGTGTGGGTTTGCAGAACACAAAATGTGTGCTAAGCAATTGCTTTTCATCTCTACCTTTATTTCGATTTCATTTATTTCATATCATTTGTATCCAACATACCGGTAGCTCTTGAAATACAGTGAAATTTGTTGTTGTTTTGGGAGTGTTAAAAACCAAATAATCAAAATATGTATATATAAATACAAAACATAATAAACGATGCTACCAAAATTTACACCAAAATTTCAACATTGTCTTTCTTAAGACAAGATGATACTAACCCTGATTTCATGGACAGTTTGTGTTGGAGATTTCCAGAGTCACGCAAATACATCTCTACAGACAACCAAAAACTTCAACACTGTCGATACATCTTTATAGTTGGCCCATAAGCGCCGATTTGAACACCTCTTTCTGTTCAGTTAGTTTGAAATAATACCTTCATAATGCTCGCAGGCACTGTTTGTTTTTCTGACAGCAGAATCATTTTTATTTGCTTCCAGGCCATGGTTCATAAAATTGGCCTAAACCCAGAGATGTCCAAATACTTTGCCCTGTTTGAACTCCAAGAAGACTTTGGTGAGTCAGTCGTGGAAGTTAATGTGTTGCACAGTGCTGTTGTAAGAGGTTAACTTCTGTTTGGAAATGGAATGCATTAATCGTACATGTTGAATTGATGTCTATTCTGCATGATGTGCTGTAAAAAGTTCTTGTGACTTGTGACTGATTTTGTCCAGTTGGATCACAGTTTTGACATAATGACATTTGACTTCCCCTCAGCCTGTGAGAGCCTCAAATTTTGATCTTTTGAGTTGACTTTTGGCTTTTTCTTGTGTCTTTAGCGAGGAAGCTTGCCCTTACTGAATTCCCCCACAACCTGTACATTCAGAACTACACCAAGTCCGGCGCAGGCCAGAGCTGCCTAGGCCTACGCAAGTGGATCTTCTCCCCGCGCCAAGAGCTGTTCCTAAATCACGACCAGATGGCGATGAATTTCCTCTACTGGCAGGTAGTGCATAAGAAGTGTTTCTGTATTGATGGATAACTTCAGATCTTGTCCCTCCCATGCCACATGTAGCTCACCATCAACGCCTCGTTAATTGTTAAAACGAGTCAAGTACTTGCACATATTTTCATTGTGGACATCAAGCCACTGTTGGCATAGATGGTTAAGGAGTCCTGTCATCATCACACAGTTACGATCAGAAAAGTGAATTATTTTTCTCCTCTCTTTGTCTTTATGCCCATTTTATTTCTGGCACATGCTTGTCCCTGGGTTTTCCTCCTGATTGGTTGTACCCACTTCCACATTAACCACCCACATCCTTAGCCCTCCCTTTGATTGGTTAGAATTACCATCTGTTTGTGCACACACCTGTTGGTATTGTTTCTCATTGATGCATGGCATGGCGCTGCAAAATCCACTTCATTCAATCACGGACCATTTACCCAGGGATGTGCAACTTTAGCTCAGTGATTCAATCAAACCAAAATCGCCCTCTGGTAGCCCATGATTTTGCATCTGGAGAGTTCGTGGTTATAAAATGATATTCATGAATACCTCAGACAGTCCTCCTATTCAACAACGTGCAACTTGACTCTGTATTAACATTTGATAATGGCCGCTGAGAAGTGATAATTCCCGCTGCATAAATCACACACTGGCACCTGAATACGAGACAGTTTAATGGATTCTGCTTGGTCAAGAGTCTGTGTGCAGGTGGCTTGCCATGCGTGCGCCAAGTCCATATAAGGAGACTCTTTTGGATAATTATAAAATGAAATGGATGGGGGTGTTACAGAAAATAGAAGTAAAATTCTGAAACAAAATCATTGGAAATCTGTCATGTATTGACTTCATTTGACACTATGACTAAAAAAAAGGTATTTAAGACTGGGAATAAAAATGTCCTTGGCCGGTCTTAAGCATTAGTTTAGGGCTGGCCGAGCACAGTGGGATATTCCTTAGTCACTTTGAGGAGGAGGGTTTTCTTTTTATACGTACCTCTTTCAAAAAATGAGTTTTCTGAAGTCCGTTTTTGGCCTTACCATGCCCCAGACATAAAGTACCTGAAATATTTTGCTTATAAAAACAAAAAGGAATAACCTCTGTCAGTTAAAACACTTTGAACGCCTCGTTCTTTAATTTTTTTGTATTAATGTGTTAACATCCGGTTTTAGTTAAGACTTGTTTCGCTCAACTCTTGAGAGATTTTTGATGAAGCATAATAAATCATCATTGGGAGTACATTCCATTTGGATCAGTACGTGGCACCCCCTGCAGGTATGTTTTTTTCACAGCAAATGTATTCTTGGGGAACACAGAGGTACATGTTTGAACCCGAAGGGACAGACAGGTACATCCATGTTGGTTCCGTGTGGATGGCCACCGGGGAAAACAGTCAAGGTGCCGTTGTGCCCTGCCCCGTGGACACAGTTCCCATGTGCTGTCAGTGGACCCTGTTTACTGCAGGCCATGTGCATACTGTCAATCTACCGGTAGTCGGTGCAGGTACCATGGAGGCTGTCGGTAGTTCACTCGCATCTGTCTTGTCTGATTTGCTCGCAGGCAATTGATGAAATCAGCAAGGGGTACATCAAGCCGAGTGACAGCGCCACGTTGTACGAACTCAAAGCCCACCAGGAGAAATCTAGTAAACTACAGGTGAGGGGTGGGAATCCCCTACAGTCTTGAGATATTCACTTGACTCGTATCACTTTTTCAGTTAAAGCTGTCAGTGCTGTGATCTGTTGTCATCACTTCACCAGAAAGGCTATTTTCACACCGTCGCCAGTATTTTGAATTAACAAAGCACCCTAGCAGCCCTGCAACCCAAAACATCGGTTTTCCTTTAACGTCTCTTATGATGCTGGAAGTTTGATTGTTGTACCATTCCAAATATCCTGCATTATACCACCCAGATGTTCACCAGCAGTCCACTGTTTAAAAATACTGTGTTAAGAAATATGTGCTTCCAGTTGTTTCTAAAGGTCAGAATTGTCAAACGTGCCATTATCTTTTTTTTTTAATATTTGCAAAAGGTGCATTGTATATGTGTAGTTTCTCCTTATATGAAGAGATTTTATGCTTAATACCAGTACTTTTTAGCACTTGCCAACTTGTTGTAAGAAGAGACAAAATTACCAGTACACTCCCTTTTTCCTGGGGTGCAGTACTTAAAGATAGCCCGGAGTCTAGATGGCTACGGTGAGATCTGTTTTCCCCACTGTCCCTGCGACGCCAGAAAGACAGGCCACGTCATCCCCATCCTAGGCTTCAGTTTGTTCAAACTCCAGGCCTGCAAAGAGGATGGAACGTTGGAGGTGAGTCACCAATGCAGTCTCGAGAGAGCAAATGGCCTCTTGCTAGCTGCTGTACGTACATGTACATGTCATTTGGGTGTTGGTCAATTTAATGTGGTCGCCAAAGAGATCAAGCCAATGGAAGTGCGCACAGCGTCGCGGGGAACGGTCAGTGTTACATGACTCTGTTAGCAATCACACACAGCTCCATACCATCTCGCCTTGTCCCATGTTTTCTTAATCAAACCTTGCAACTCCCCGTTTTGTCACCATAAAGGATGCTGCGATCGTTCCAAAATTGATTCTGCTCGTCAACTTTGCATCAGTCTCCCTCATCCTGAAAGCACGGTTGCTGCTGTTGGGTCGTATAGTTACTGATGAACCGTAGACCCCTCGGGTCGGAAATGGAACTTTTATTTTGAATAAGCGTTGCAGTGCACTTTTTTGTGCCCCGTTTATTTGATTTGATTTTCAAGTGAACTTTAGCATGGCCCCAGGAGTTTGCAGTCCTACTGCACAGAGAATCCAAAGGCAACCTGTTCAACAGCCTATTTGAGTTCTTCTGTGCAACAGTGACTCTAATCTTATTGGTTCCTAGTTTGGTTAAGGGAAGTAGAGGGATGTGACGATGTCACCAGATTTTTGACCGAAAAATTTTGAAGGGTTTAATCACTCAAGTTTTGCTGCTTTTTGCAACTTTGTAGATAAAAATTAAGGATAATATCTCATAATCACAGCTATTTGAGAGAGAGCTCATGCCTTGTTCACTTTCGAATACCCCTGAAATATACAGAATTTTATTATCAAGTTAACAACACCTCTGCTGGATTCTTCATGGATTTGCCTTCATCCCCCCAACGGCAACCCTGAAATAGGTATGGCTTAATAGCTTTGTTTCTGCTTTTGTGACATCAGGAGCAAGTTCCCAGCTTCCAGTGGGGTGAGATCCAGCAGTACGAGACGGACGACGAAGGCATGGCATTCTGCTTTGAGTACGCCAAGGAGGGCAAGAGGCCACGATGGGTCAGGATCTACACTAAATACGTAAGGCTCCTTGTGATCCTGTTCCTCTGTGAACTTTTACTATGCAGGTTGCAAACCCATGACCCACAGACCAGTGTGATGGTGCTTCACCAACTGAACAAGATACATAGTCCCAACTGAGCAAACCAGTGAGTGATGTCAGTGAGTGCTTTTCATGATACCGCATTGAGAAGATTTCAAACTGAAGAAATAAAGTTGCAAGAAGAACCAAGTGATGGCAGTTCACTGCTTGTGGTTTGCTGAGTGGCTAAAGCACAGCATTACCAGCAGAGAGATATTTTGAACCCAGCGTTAGTCTGAATGCAGGATTGAATTTTGTCGCAAATAGGTAACATCATCCAACCGAAATGCCTCTAATGCACTGGCAAAAGATGTTGCATAGAAAGATTACTTCTCCCCAAAATAGCAGCCCTCCTTCTGATCAGATTGAAATTGTGCAGAACCTTGAAGTATTGAAGTATAAGACCATTGCATCACTGACTGCATCATTGGCAGTTGATGTACAGGTGTGTCATACATAGTGTGGACCTCTGCACAAAAGAAGTCCACATAATGCAGGGTATGATAGCGTTGTGTGGACTTGCACATGTCCACACAAGGTTTCCCCCTCTTTCTGGAAAAAGGGTTTAGAGGCATTTTGGGGTAGGGATCATCCATAGTAAAATTAAGAGGAATAGTCAAGGAAACCTTGTACAAATAACCAGCCAAAAATCTTGTTCCTGGTTGAAGAAAAATGAGTATTGTCACTGAGTTTTCTTAACTGCACGAAAACAAAGGAATGTCCACAGTAGGTATGTAATGTAAACATGTGTACTCCAAAATTAATGCAATGAATAAGAGTGAATGCCATATGCAAATATTCTTCATTTTATCCAAAGAGTTCTTCCTGGATCCGGAGTTTCATATCCTTACAGCTGAATAAGAGCCCAGTCAGGCATAGCTAGTTGCTGATAGAAATTAATCCTAACAGTCCACAATCCTCCGATTTCAGTAGGATTCTACATACGCCCTCGGGGTTAGGTAAAGGACCAGGCCATGGCAATACACACCCCACTGTACTGCAGGATAATACTTTAACAATTTGGTTCGGGGCTTCATTGGTTAGTAGTATTCCCCACTGAACATACCCGTGAAATTGGCCCGGAAAGTAGGCATTTATGCAGCCATTTTAAAATAAGACACCCACATTTGCTTTTTTTTTTTTTTTTTTTTGAAAACCAGAGCATTCAAGTTTCATCTAGTTTTATGTATTTATACAGCTTTTGTTAGTGAATGCTACAGGATTTGCAAGAAGATACTCAGAAATCTCTGTGACTAAAGCCTTGTCATGAAATCTTCACCAAACCTTTGGTTGAATGAGAATCACTCCTGCTGCTCCTCACCAGGGGCACAGGGCCCAATGGTTTAGGCTGGGAGCTCTTAATCATAGGCCGGGGGGGGGTTGAATGCAGCTGCTGGTCACATGTTGTGACCTAGGGCAAGTCTCTTTGCCCCTACTGGGCTCTCTCCACCCAGGAGTATAAATGGGTACCGATGTGGGCAAATACGGCATTAATGTTTGTTTGGCCATTTGCACCGGAAATACCCGCGTATTAAGCTGTTTTAATCCCAAGGGAGCAAAGACTACTTCATGTATTGACAGTCCATTGTTGCTAAAGTGGGCTAGATAAATAGCCCACTTTCATTTTGCCTAACATTTGTATGGGCAGCCAAAGCTTCCAGAAAAGTTACCCTTTGGTTGTTTTTCGATTTGTGCCTCAAATTTGTTCATTTGTCCCATTGATTTTAAAGAGGGGTTTCATTTGCATTCATTATTTAGTAGAGCGTTTAGTGTTTTTTATCACTTTGTGGGACTTTAACCACTACCTGCCGGGCAACCCGTTTTCGGGTACATAGGCTTTATATGCAGAGCCAGGGAGCCCAGAACTGGGACAAAAGAGTTGGGCCTTATAACAAAAGACTGCTCAGCACAAAAGACTGAGCTGCTGGGCATGACCCACATTTTTTCGCTGTCAATAGTGGAGATAAACCAGCCTTGTTTTGAAACAGTATACCTCAGTTTGAGGCATTTAGAGCGAGCGGATTACCACCGGGGACAAAAGCTCTCCACCACCGCAGCTATGAGCCACACAGCACCGCTGCACACTAATCTGGCCCCTATTGAAAAGAGGTCAGCAGTGCACTGTGCTGGTTTCGGCAAAAAAAGAATCTTACGCAACATCGCACAATCTGGGCTCTTTTTCCAAGGCTGCAAGCCTGGCTGAAATATTCTGGAGTCAGTGAATTTTACCTGTCAGCTTTACAGTAGTCCCCAAAGAGTCCTTCATTTTGGTATAAACGGCCATTAAATGAAATGATGAATTTGGAAGGATTTTGAAAACGGAAAATCTTGAAAATGACCCGGCATCTTGTCTTGCTCAAGAAAAATCCACCCGGCAGCAAGTGGTTAATACTCTGTGAGTTATTCTTTTGCATTTGTATTGACGGCCAAGCATACTTCTTAGCAGCCACTTGTCGGAAAAACGCAACAGTGACGCAAAAGAGCAGCTCCTGTATGCCACACTGTTATCTCTCGCAGTTTGACTTCATGCATGAGTGCGTGGACCGCATTCTGAAGGAGATCCAATGGGCCCAAGACAGTGCCAACCACCAGCAAGATGACAGCGGAGAAGAGGAAGAAGACGAAGACGAAGAAGAAGAAGACGACGACGACGAAGAAGAGGAGGAGAAAGCACAGGCCCTAGCATCACAAAAGATGAAGGTACTTGTATGAGGCCGCCTCAGGGGCCAGTGTGGTAAAGAGATGATGGGAGCGTATGTGATCCACCAGTCCAAAACCAGACTTACGAATGCAAGCTATTATTAAACTGATGTTGATTTTTATTCATCCCCATAGCTAGATCCATAGTTATACAAATCATAAAACTGGTCAACAGGACTTTCGTGAATTTTCTCGTGAGTACCGTTGACCAGTTGCGTAATTTCTGTTACTAGAAGCTTATTAAAAGGAAAATGATCCATAAATTATTCAATAAAGAATGCAACTTTCGTTGCCTGTGACTACCAAAGTTCCCACGGACAGAATGTTTGACAGAATTAACAGCTGGCGAGAGAAATTGTCAAACATGAGAACATTTTCCACCTTGGCCAGGTTTTGGAATGGTGGGTCACATATCCAAACTGGAGCGCCCATGAAACTACGGTAGGCTCAGGTCATGTCACTGTATTTTCCATGCGTTGCTAAACAACCTATTCACAATAGTCATTTGGAACTACATGAGGCTTGGGTACAGTTTTGCCTGTTTACTTCTCTTCTTCACGGGACAGGATTCAGCGAATGGCAGGGCCAGGACGGAGCCGCAGACTGGTAAAATCTTCGACACACTCAATGAGGACGACCTCTGAGGAACGACCTCTGAGCAAACCTTGATTGAAGATGGACTGACGCTGTACAGGAACGATCACATTGCCTTGTTTACTGGAACACACCTGTATGAATATTGACAAACACATGTACCTATGACATAGTATGGAATATTGATGAGACATGTAATTAAACATTATACATCATTTGCATCCTCCTACTGTAAATACATCTTGCGCTTTGCAAAGGAGGTCAGAATCCAGCTTGACGAAGTGCATAAATATTAAGTTGTACAAAATGAGAGAAAATATTCATTTCCGGTGACATTCAGCAGCCAAATCTAAGAAATATGTAGAAAACAGTCTCTGTGGATAACAAAGCACCCTTTTTATTTTCAACTAGTACATTTGAAACTGGTCAAGTAAACCTTTGTGGGTTAATCACTAGATCTGTACACAATTATTAAAGTGGTATCCTGTCTTCACTTAGTGGTTACTGTATTCTTTGAATATTTGCTGCATTCTACATGTATGCTTCTTATTGTACAGAGAGCTGGGAGTTGTAGTCCATATAATTGTACACAGAATGCAAGAATGTGTTATTACACCTTTCGTGTTTTTCCCCTTCCCAACATTATTACTCAGAAGGGTGACTTAAGTCAGACTGACTCTACGCATGTGTATTTGAATAAGACATTCCCATAGACAGCTTGAGCACCCAGGGGTGAGATGTGTCAGGATTTTTCCCGATTTCAGGATCTTTTCGTCGGGATTTTCCCGAATTCAGGATTTTTTGAAAATGTCTTCAAAATTCTGGAAAATCCCATGTTTGCTGTTAAGGTGCTTTTATGTAAAAGTTGATATAGAACACAAGAAATAGGTATTTTAGGAAAATGCATGTTTACACCATAGCCCTTTCAGTGCTGATGAGTTTGTCCTGGATATTTCATTTACTTCCAATCTCACCCTTCAGCACCAGATCACTCTCCTGTGAAATGTCAAGCAGCTGCCAAGTAACTCAGATACAGCTCAAGGCCTTCGTCTGTGGCAGTATAAGCACTCTGGCAGATAGTGTGCAAAAATGACTCGCTCTTGATCTGGGGTGGGGGGCAGCCCGGCACACCGAGTTACATGCCATCATCCTTGTGATAGTCCCATCTGCTCTGACCCGAATCACCCCCTCATCACCGGCAAAGTCCAGGGGGCCTGACAGGGATCATTTCAACAGGGCACCCCGCCCTCCTTGTACGCAGCAGACGTTGGTGGCGTATACTCAGCACCACCCCCTTTTAAGCACACACAAACCTGTACACATGGTCTTTCCCCACCAAAAGGACTTTGTGCTACTCTTATGTTAAAAACATAATGCCACTTCTTCTTGCTGAGGTCTGACAAAGTGCAGACTTTCTGTGTCCCAAGTTACATTTTTCAACACAGCTTGCATCCTAGATTTGCATCATTAAGAAAGCCTTCAACGTGGTCACCTGTTGCCACAATTTCTTGAACCATGCTTTGGTCATTGTCAACCCCCTAATGCCCCAGGTAGACCAGTGTCATTCATCCTTAGATCCCAAATTCACAGTATCCCTGATCATACAAGGATATGAACTGTACAGTACTGATTGTAAATCAGTATGTATTAAGCCTCTAGGCTCCAACCTTTTTTGTATAACACGGTGATAGTCTTTGTCATGATTTACAGAATCCCTACGAGCTTTCAGTGTTGGTGCTGAACAGTATAGAATATCAATGATTTATTTAATGCCCAGTTTTTGAAATCTTTTTCAGTTAACTTTTGCCGCATTTTAGCATGTATCCCTATGGCACCTTTGAAGAAGGGCCCCCAAAAGAGATGTTCTTTTTTTTTTTGGGTGTACAGACACTGTACGCGTAGTTCTTGCTTTTGTTTTGTTTTGCTTTTTTTTCTCATCACATAAATAATTTCTTTCAGATTTGTAGCTGTAGTTCACTAACACGTTGGAAGGACAGACTTCCCTGTTTGCCAGTGTTCAAAATTGTTGAATCGTCTTTTATTCCTAGTTTATGCTTGTAAAATTGAATGCTAAATGTGTCATGTACTTTTTGGGAAATCTGGGAGATGCTACCCTTATGGTACACAGTGCTTGCCTTGAATACCTTGATTTACATATATTAGCATACTCTATGAATATTGATCAACTAGGTACATCGTCATGTGTCGAAATAGCAGCACGCTCATTATGCTTGATGAGCCAAGAATCTTCATCGTGTCTGTTTATAGAATAATAAAAATGGAACCCTTTCTGGTACCAGTATTATTGGCCAGTAATGCTTCAAAGATTTTATTATCAGCAAAGTACCATTTCATTTGTTATTGAGATGATGTACTTCATACAGAATACATAGTTGCCAACCAAAACATTGGTTGATGAAATTACTACACTAGGGATGGTATGGAAATTGAAGTTATTAAATTTAGTAAATACTTGCAGTAGAGAAATTATTCACTTCATTGACAGTAGATTCTGAAATGAGCATCAAATGGTTCATTGTTGCTCATTTATTGTGAGAATACAACAGAATCAGTCGTCACAAGATTGTTCAGGCATCTGCTCCTGCTGAATTGGAATTCTGGGACTTTTAATTTTGTCAAATATGTATATACCACTGCAACACTCCCTTAAAGAATGGCTCATTTTGCCTCAAGTTATATATAAATATATTGAGATTTGAGAAGCATTTAGTGGAAATTCTAAATGACTATGAGTATTTGATAGACAGTTTCTGTTCCGTTTCAGTGAGTTTTACTCGTGATTTTTTTCAAACTGGTCAAATAAGTGACATGACAGAGGTCAGACACAAACCGCAACTTCAAAGCAGCTGCGTGAAAAAACAAGGACATCAAAAGCAGATGAACAGCAAAACTAGACTGGACAGTAGCATACATTAAATATTCATAGAATATACATATTCATCACTGTTATTTGAATATCAAGACGTTTGCCTTAGCAGTAGATATGTGAAAGATACAAATATGTGTATATATATATTCAAAAATATATTCACAAAAAATCTCTTCCAGGTATATTGTTTCATTTTGTAGACTTGTGCTGATATCTTTTTCATCATGAAATTGGATGGAAAAAGGGCAAAAACCGTCAGTTTTGTACATACAGTTTTTCATTGGGCAAGCTTTTTTCTCTCTTAGCATAAGATATCTGGGTATTGAACAGTTCTGGTAGGCACTCACAAGCACACCAAAATGTAGAAAGTGCCCCATTAGGAACATGAAATGCCTGACTTACAACTGAAATTGAAGTAGGCCTACTCAGATTGTGCTGCTGAAGGTAAGATATATGGACTTCTGTGTTGGCCCAGTAGTTACTCACATAATAGTTACAGTTAGTACAAAATATTTGTCTAGTACTTTGGCAAAACACACATTATGCCATTGAACACAGTTACTTTTCACTGTACTCCCAATTCCCAAGCTGCTTCAGTGGACATAAAGCTCCAAGTTCCTCCGTTATAGTTTGTGACCGTGTCTTCACCATTAGTATGTGATAGCATAAACCATTAGAGCAAGGATTAAGTGATGTTCGCTTGTTGATTCAAAGTCAGTATTTTTGGTTCTTTCACATTTTGGGGGTCATTTGATTGTAGAAGCACGATATGGTGTAGGTGTGCCAGGCATACCGTAGTAGCCCAGATCAAAGTCAGGTGTGGTGTTGGACTCTAAATATTGTGGAGGAGTCTTGCAGAGTGTACAAGACATTTGGTAGAAAGACGCTGGTTGGGTTAGTTTTTCCCTAACTGTCCCTCAAAGAAGTGTGTTATCGCGAAATAGGATTACTGTCTCCCAAACCCTAAGGAAGCAGCAAGATAAAATGTTTTTCTTTCCTTGGAAATCATTGTGCCTCTGCCATGGAAAAATTATGTCAATTTTTCTTTAAAAAGTGTTGTATATTCACCATGAAGAATATACTCGAGTACAGAGCACATTGTGGTACGAGTATTAAGTTCATATATCTAAATGTGAGCATAGCCTGAGCATGTTAAATATTCATGAACACAAATGACCAATCATGTGCTTTCAGCTTGTGGTCTCAATACCAAGTACAAGTTTAGAAACAGGTATAAAAAAAACTCCAGCCCAAGAAGGCTGCTTACAAATTAATAAGCCTTTCATTTCATTCAAAACAGTGACATCCCAAGTACTGCTGCACATCAAAAGGTATAAGAAATGTTTAGTTTTCTAGATATTTGCAGGCTTAAGATGTAATTTGTTGTATACTTACAGCGGCCTCTTATAATTATGTATAAATCATATCTGTAATAAAAAAATAACTTTTACATTGAAAGCAGTTGTCTTGAGCATTTTGCTTCAGTGAAAATATGATGCCATTTTCACTGCAGTTTAATATATGCATGTACTTCAGGGCAGATTGGTTTTGATACAGAACCCAGCCCTTCCCTGATTTTCTTCCAAGTGCCAGCAAATCTGATTTTGGAGAAAAATCTCAAAACTTTCTAAAAGCTTCATCTAGGTCAGCAATGTACTTGTAAGAAAAGTGCATGCTTCAATGTAGGTGATCTTTTTGCCTGTAGGTTACTACCTGAAATGTCCTGGCTAAAGATACTTTACGTTTAAGTTAAAATAATTGATACAAACAGGGAAAAGAGGGGGGGGCATTTGTGTGGACAACATCCAGTCACCCGCACTGACTTAACCAAATGCAGTGCATATTGTTTTGTCAAATCACTGTGATGAATTATGCATTTTCAAGCAAGTACAAGATGGTAGACAATGTAAAGGTTATATATTTCTGAAATTTATTTATCATTGGGGTTAACGAGGGCAAGTTCATACACTGATAAAGACCACATGATTCTGAAAGTCACTTCAGAAGAGGAAGTAAAGAAAAGCATCTCAATATTGCAAAATGAGAAAAGAATCCATCAAATGACATTTGAAGCACATACATGTATACAATAATTGCTTTTTGGACGTTCATTGAGTGACATCTCTGAAAATAGAAAATGTTTTGGTGAGATTCCTAAAAATTGGTTTAAAAATCTTGAAAATATGAACACAAATGACTTTGGAAGTAATTTATTTATTTTGAAGAGAGGTACAATTGAGAGCTTTTGGGGATTTTGTACTTCTCGCACCTAATATAATGTAGCAAATATTTGAAATTCATAAATACATATGTTGGCGAGATCTACTCATCTGTGCAGTCACCTGATTGCCATGCTCAATTGTTCACTTTTGTATAAAATCTCAAACTTGACTCCCTTTTTGGAACGAATTTTGTGGAACCCTGAATTAAAAAAAAAAATTACTGATGGCAGGATCAAATCTTGCAGTAAGATTGATTGATTGTTCAAAGATCAAGTGATCGCGTAGATCCACTGATCGTGCACAGCATATATGTACATGAATAACAAAGAGCCCCGACAGCGTATGCTTTTTTGCAGCAGCAAAAACAATGAAACCACTGATATAACTGATTGTTACTGCCTAGGTAGCTTCTTTAAATTGTTAACCAGTGTTATGCAATTATACATGTATGTATTTCACCCAAGGGATGCACGAACAGACCCGACAGCATCATGTAGGCTATGATGTAGCTTGATGCAATAAGACATGGAAATAACTACACTCGAGGCAAACTTTGGCAAGTTCAAGCAAAAACTATGGTTTGATTTTTGGCCATTCATTTCCTACTGATGTGTACATGCAGTCACATTTGAACAGCCCGCGTCAAACCAGTCTTGACATCTGATTGTAACTCACATTATGCCATTGGTTGCATTTCTCATGGCTGTAGTCGAGCGTGTTACTCGTCATGAATGAACTCCCGACAGTACAAACGGCAGGAGTATGACCCATGGGTATCAAACGAGAGCAAACTCTCCATCAGACCGTGCGTACGTTCTTACACCGCATGGTTCTTTCAAGATGGCAGAAAGATAATTGTTTACCTGTTGGCGCAATGCGACCCGAGGGTAATGTGCACGCAACATTTCGTGGATCCAAGCATATGGAGAAACACATGCGAAACCAATGTACATGTATGTACAGGTACATGTGCTTCATGGTTGCTGCCATCTCACACAGTTTTCTTGATGTCAACGGTTAACCTATCTGTACATGATTACTGAAAAAAATTACTGATAATCAGAAATGCAACGATGCCCCTTGGCTCCAGATGGTCAAATAAAGCAGGCAAACCATCCATCACTGGAGCGTTGGGGGCCAAACTGTGGTTAACTGTACCCGTACTTGATGCCAGGACTTTCCCACAGGTAGTCCATATAATTTGAACGGTCACAGGTTGCCAATACCCCACTGACTGTCTTTACACGAGAGGCTTCTTGGTACCAAACAACAGCATCAACAGGCACTTTGTTAAGCGACAGTATCCCCACACACCCATTGGGCTGACATTCAGCATAGGACTGTGTGACGACTCCTTTGTGTACGTGCGCACAGTTTGCCACGGAGAAGACACGATCTTAATGTGCGTAAACCAACAAGGCTGTTCAAATGTTACGTTGTCCCATCTTCTCTTTGTTTTTTTCACCAGTTAGACGGTAGCCAGAGTGCCTTTCAGTTTGAAAGTTACGGGTAAAAAAAGCATAATATGCATATAAGCATGTATCAATTTGAGCAAGAACTTTTGACAAGTGTTTCATAGATTTGACATGTGACAGCTCTGAACTAACAAAATGCTACAAGAGACGTAATTGGTCCCCGGGCAACACAGAACGGGAGAGACACAGAAGGGGACTCGCAACCGAAACAGGAGCAGTAATGGAACAAGTAGCGGAGGTCACCGAGTCAAATGTCACATTAAGGAGTTGTGTATCAAAGATACTTGTCATCTTTTTAATGGTTAAATGCTCATCATGTCACGGTTAACAGACGTGGTTTCCATGTGGCAGCTGATTAACATCAATTCTCACCACTTTGGAGATGCATCATCCCAGTGATCTTTGAGCTTGTCAGAAATTGAAACGGGAACCAATGCCTTCCGGCCGCATGTGCTACTCTGGGGGAGCGTCCTTCTTGACTCCAATACTGAAATCCTCAGCTAGTTTTGTGAATATAACTTGTATGACTTTCAAAATTGTAGCATGGAGTGCGTACTGTAGTAAGAGGGCGCCAAAGCCCTTGTACAATCCTGAAGTCCCCTCATCGGCCATGATTGCCGTCCAGCAGTCCAGCATGCCCTCATAGCGCGTGCTTACGGGTATCACCCCATAGCCGTGGTCGGTGTTGTCAATTATCGTCCTCGTTCCCTGCAGGTGCAGCCTAACGGTGACTGTCTCGAGTGGGTACAGCAGGGCGTCGGCGAACAGGTTCCCTGCAAATTTGGCAAGGAGTTCCGGGAAGTACTCTTCCATGACGCTCCTCGGGATGGGGAGGGGCTCTCCCTCGGGGCGGTCCGTCGGGTGACCCGCCTCGCGGGCGCGGCGCATGACCTGCAACAGGACGAACTGGACTATGGAGGAGAGGATGTACTTGAGGAGGGAGTGGAGCACAGTAGGGAGCAGCAGGGTGTACATCGGCAGGAGGTTGGAGGTCTGGGGCACGCCCCAGCCCAGCAGGCGGTACAGACCCTCCTTAATGCAGTCGAAGACTCCTGGCCGCTCACTGGCTATGTCACTCTGGAGGGATGGACAAGACGTGTTGCATGATATTGGCAAATGGTCCCACAGTGCTTTGCACGTCTACACATGGTAAAGCTTTGTTCAAATCATTTGGCATGGAAACATTCTGCAGCCACCAGCGAAAGGCATTTCTGACCATAACCAAGTAATTCAGATGTGGCCTGGTTTGGGCCAAAAAGCTCCTTCAATTGAAAAAAATTTGCAACAGCAAATTTGCAGGGAACTAAGGGGTATCATGTTACATCTTAGGCAGAAGACATTTCACCATGGGGTACAGCAGACAAGCCCCAAAGGCCAACTTCATTCGCTTACTCTTCTACTTAAATTTAGGATTTTGAAGGTTGAAGGAAGGTCATTGTATGGAGCATTGAAGGCCTACGGTCAAAGAATGTACCACTCGTTTCCTGCAGAGAGGATCATTTTGGAAGGACTCCTCAAGACAGTTCCCCAAAACAGTACCTAGAGAGCTGAGGTTAATCAAAACTGGAGGCAGAGGGCCACTTCAGAAAGGGGTCAGGTCATGGTATTTTGATGAGTTATGCTGTCAATGTGCACTGATTTACCTGAACGATTTCTACAAGACTAGCTGAGACGAATGGCATGGTGATGGCTGCACTGATGGCCTTCAGTGTTAGATGCCCACACAGCTGCTTAATGGTGCTATACACATGGATTTCTCTGCCACAAATATTTATGAAATAAAAATGTAAAACGGCATTTCTGATAACAAAAGCCTTGTTTACTTTTCAAGATATAGAGAAGCAGTCATTATTCTTTAATGTTAAAAACTTTGTACAAAATCTTCTGTATGGATCAATGTACATGTAGTTCACATTTAAATTACAGGTACAAATGTATTTCACATTTTTAAGTCGGTGTACTCTAACATTTGTTCGCAAAGGAAAACTCATAGCCACACAGTGCACACTGTACTTGCACTTCTGCTGTGTAACAGTAATTTCAATGACTTGAAAGTTGTGTTGTGAATCAAAAGGCTCACTTCATTATGAATATTCCATACGGGCAAAAATGCTCCAAATGCTGAAGTTTTGAGCTAGAAAGTTAGACATTTCCTGATGTGTTACTGTGTTAAAACTCTGTCATACTTTGCAAGTGGTGAGACCTCACTGATGACCGTCTCACTGCCCAGACCGATACCCTGAACCACAAAGGCACTACCAAGGCCCTTCCACATGGTAGCTATGCCCTGCCAAAGATAAAAATGAGAGCTCTCTGAGATCATCTCTTTGGGGTGAACTGAGAGCAGGTCGGCTTTAAGATATCACGCACGCCACTGGAATGTCAGGACAAAAAGAGAGAGGAACTTCAAGGAGTTACAAGAGCAGTACAAGACTTTGAATCATATTTTTCAATTTCTTATGGCATACATCGGCATCTATTTTGACAAAATTAACGGAAAGAATTCCATATAGGGATGCCACTAATTTTTCCCTGCAGTGACTTACCAGCCATCTGAAAGCAATAAAATGTCCTCATAAACAAGTCAAATTTGGCACTGAAAACATTGAGGTATTCACTTAGAAAACACCTACAATTTTTTAGATCAGTCTCATAGGGTTTGCCTGTAACATCCGTCTTACAGTAAGTTCTGGCCATTTTTGGAGCGATGTATGGACTTGCTTTTAAGTGTCTGATCTGAAAAAAATTCTTCACAGAATTCCCTGTTCATGAGCTTGCCTTGGTCCTGCTATGCTCCCTAATGCAGCAGGCTCATTTTGAGTGTTCCGATCAGGAAATAACTGTCTTTCCCTAGGCTAATCTCAGTAAAAAACAAAGTGCTTTTCTAATACAAACAGTGCATACCTGGTGTCTCTGGAGGTTGACAATCACTTGCACCACTGAAAAGGGCTGTAGATGATATCGGTATGCATGATGGTTAACCTGTAGCCCCAAAATTAAAAAAGCAAGTGGGGCATTGTTTCATTGTCCAAAAATCTTGACAACACTTTAACTATTGATTTTAAGAGAATTAACAAAAATGTAACAACTTTCTGTAATCGCTTTCTTGCAGGGTTTTTTTCCATGGAGATGCTAAGCACACACATGTAATTTTTTTAAGCACAGAAATCTTTCACTCTGCAAAACAAAAATCAGTTAAACCAGTTACAAGCCACAAAGCTGTGCAGTACATCTTCCTTATGCCCGAGTTTCCGGCTGATTCCTGGCTTGACACTTTAAAACTGGTGCCTGGCAATACTTTCTACTCAAAAGCTCTGAGAAATGGGGCCCAGATTTTGTGGACACATTTACTGTAAAGTAAAAGATAGGGCGCCAGACTGAAGAATCATGTCATATATTGTGATATACCTGACACTGTCGTCTGAAGACTATGAAAGGATGAGACAAGACGTTCTCTGTGAGTAAGGTAGCAATGCCAAGACCAAGGCCTGCAAATCTCTGTATAATCTCTGAATCAAAAAAGAAATTGATAAATTAAAATACACATAAAAATCGTCAATGTGCTTGTGCCAACACAGCATGCCGTGATGTTGTCAAATCGCTATTTGAGGTCAAATCGCTATTTGCGGAAAGACGGCAGTTTCGAGCTCGTGGACAAGAGCGTTTCCGATTTGACATATTTGAAGGGGAAATTTCTCTTTTCTTCCCATATGTGAGTGAACTACATTATCATTATTGGAATACCCATTTCTCACTTAATCCATAGATGGGTGCATTAGACTTTTTAGAGGTGAATTCAGAGGATTTAGAGTAGGGGTACGAGCTATTTTGAGTGAAATAAATTAGGCCCTAATGCCAGCAAAAGCCATGGGGTACTTGGACCCTACTATCGCCTGACCACACCCAAATGTAAAAAAAATGCGATTTGTAGGGTCCAAGTTACTCAGACTACATGTAGCCCTAGCCCAGGTGGGCTCCCTGACCGTACTACGTGAAATGAAGACAACGTCCAACCATGATGTAGCCCATAGTGTTAGTATATATGGCAGACACGAGTGTGTAACCTATGCATGGTCCAGCAACATGAGTTCAAAAGTGCTAGCCTAGCCAAAACACGCACCCGTCTGCTCTTGCTTTGGTGCCGCATTCTCCATTTCTGTCACCAGCTTCTCCTGTGCCCCAGACATTTGAGTCTTGGGTCTCACTGCGCGCTCTTCATTCCCACCAAAAATGTCTCTATGGGCCATTTTATCGCTGAGCATTGCACAGGAAACTCTGCGACCCGACTCGCATGATCATCATCGCTTGGCTAGGCTAGGGGCTCTCGACGTTCCCATTTATAGCCCAATAAATCGCCCAAAATTCGTCAAAACATTTAATCAAAGCGCCCGTTTTGTCACTTCGATCAAGCCCAAAAAGGCTATAAAATCTCATCTTTGCCGAGTGGAGTTGAGAAATCGAGTCGCAAGCAGCAAACGAACTAACGAGGAGTATTGTGGGAAAATATCACTCAGAACCCGGCAAAAATGGTAGGTGACGTGGGGAGAAAATTTCAAGTTTCAGTCAAATCAAAACCTTTATTGTTGAACTAAGCATATAGTTTAGAATCTAAGGAGTTACTCTGCGTGAAGAATATTGGATGCGTTGTTAAGAGGTTTACTGTGTGATGAAAACAGCTGAAATTGAAGCACGTGATGCAAAGAAAGTTTTTTTGCATTGTCACTCCGAATGTCCCATGTGTCCGCGGCCGCGTCTAGCGTCTAGCACACTGTCTGACTGTGCTGTGTAGGCTGGGCACATAATGTTACGCTCCAACTATAACATCAGTCCAGTCCCAACTATAGTTGGGACCGTCCCAACTAGAGTGCTATACTAAAGGTCTAGCGTACAAAAAGGCTACATGCTAAAGTTGGGCTGGCCCAACTACTGCACCGTTGTGCATGTGCCAAAGTCATATTGTTTACGGTGTCATGTCATAGATGAAGTGCCATATTTTAGACGAATTGTGTCAAGTGTCAGATGCATAAACTTTGATAATGTTGAGAAACTTTCTGTAGAAACTGATCAACAATAGTTGGGCCAGCCCAACTGCAGCACTACAGTTGGAACTATAGTTTCGACAGACGCTATCGTTGCGGCATAACAATACCACCACCGTTCCCACCTGACTACATTAACGGCCCTTCTATAAAAAGAAACTCAAAGGCTGGTGTTTGAGTAATATCAAGTTAACCCAGTGCCAGCCAATACCCAAACATGCCTAATGTGGGCTTACCTGTTTACTGTGTCTGCAAGTCATGGTAAAATGTACACATTATTTTGATACTGAATTACTAGGCATATTTATGATTAGATTATATCTCTACTGAGTGGAACATTAGTATTCCTCTTTTTCGAAGTTTCGACTGGATGGGTCAACCTTACACTCTACAATATTACTTACAGTAACGAGATGACAGTTCTAAAAATTCCAAAGACTCACCAAAAATACCTTTTTCACCACCTACTGGCTTTCTTAAATGACAAAGGCAAACTTTTGGGGCTTTAGTGATATTTCCAACTTCAAAATCTGTCAAAATCCGACCGTTTTCGCTTGACACACGCACAACACTTAAACCTTTCTACGCCTTCACCCATTCAAATACGTGTGCCGAGATTTTGCTACCACAATAACTCTTTGAGTTTGGGCGAACATGGTCCTCCCAGATGCACGCATGAGTGGCCTACACGTGCTGTGGGCACAAGACTTGTTGATCGTGATGTTTGGGAATGCGACCAACGACTATTTCCTGATCAATACATCTTGTGCCCCGACTACATATGGGCCGCTCCTGCTGTTTCGTTAGAGGACCATGTTCCTCCATAGAGTTGTTGTGCCAGCCAAATCTAAGCACACGTATTTGAATGGGAGAGGCGTCGAAAAGTGTATAAAGTGTTGTGCTTGTGTTGAGCGAAAACAGTCGGGTTTTGATAAATTTTGTGGGTAAAGGTCTCCTTGCCACATCTGGTCAAAATATAGTTTTTGTGTAATATGTCCTTTACATGTGTTTACTTCTATCAACAGTCTCGTAGATATGATTCAAGGACGACCATCTTTTCGCCTGAAGGTAAAATTTTGTGTAACATTTTCATTTTTAAATTTGTAGGTCTGGTTGCTTGAACTAAATAATGCTTTGTGGTTTAATTAAACGCATCTCCCTTGAAAAATGAAAATTACAAATTCAATGGAAATTGCTGGAAGAAAGAATGAAAGCACGGCAAAATGAAAATTACAAATTCAATGGAAATTGCTGGAAGAAAGAAAGAAAGCACGGCTTATATGTGGCCGTAAGTGAACATTTTTTATTGTTATAGTCTCAGCATTCACTGCGTTTCAATAATTGATCAACCATGTTCAAATTTTTCTTGGTTATATTAAATGAATTATGGCATTTGATGGAGCTCCATGTGTTCACAGGCTGTGTTTGTTATGACTGTAGATGATTTTGTCCACTACTTTCACAATTCAACAGTTTTCGGGAAAATATCAGAATTGTCATCATTTTCCGAAAGCTGTACTTTAATCCTGCTCTGCGATCTGATTTTGGTTGGACAGGGCGATTGTATCAGGTAGAGTATGCCATGGAGGCGATTGGCCATGCCGGCACTTCCCTTGGAATCCTAGCATCCGACGGCGTGCTGCTGGCTGCCGAGAGAAGGAACACGCACAAGCTGTTAGACGAGGTGGTCTTCTCAGACAAGATCTACAAGCTTTACGAGTAAGCAGATTGGTTGAAATATTCATTCGATGCAGGGCAACTGTGTTGGTGACATCAAGTTCATAGGTTTTTTTTTCATGGAGATATTTGTCTTAGGCCGTGCCGAAACAGGCTTCCAGAGCTACGGCTAGGTCTATTGTCTGCGCGTCTCCACGCATTCCCAATGAAGCAAAGACCTAGACCTAGCTCGAGACAAGAGATTCGGATGCCGCCTTAGATTTCATGTCTGTGAAGCAGAAAGTCTTTGTTACCCCTGCATTTTCAGCTGTGGTACATCACAGGCTCATCGAAATTCCCTTCGTAAGAATAATCACTCGTAATATGGGGGCATGAACAATAACAGGGTATCCATTCATCGCAATTCACTGAAGTAACTAACTCAAGACTAGGGGAAGTCGGTCCAGCAACCAGTCAACCTTGATATCTTCAGTTACTGATCACGTTCCTTTTCCTTGTCTGTACTTAATTTGCATTATATCTTGTTTAGGAAGCATTTATTTTTTTTTTTTACATTTTACAGTAATATGGCGTGCAGTGTGTCAGGAATCACCTCAGATGCAAACGTCCTCACCAATGAACTCAGACTCATAGCACAGAGGTAGGCCCATTAGTTCTGATATCGGTATTTGCCAATAAAACACTGCCTTCAGATCATGTTGGTGCTTGATATGGCATAGATTTGAAATGTTCCTGGAGCAGGCTTGAATGCTTGGGAATATTTGAACAATTGTATAGAGGAAACTGGATATTCAGTCCTTTATTCGTGCTTGCTTTTTCTTGGTTTTTCCTTTTTTTCCCCTCAAGATATTTACTCCAGTACCAAGAACCAATGCCTTGTGAGCAGCTTGTCAGCACGTTATGTGATGTCAAACAGTTCTACACACAGGCAGGCGGTAAGATACTCACCCCAACATCTCCCTGTATTGATGGTTCAATGTATGACCAGTCAACCTTTTCCCAGTTCGTGTTGACTTGTGTTGTAGCCATTGGCACCTGTTACACTGCCAAGGGTTATCTTCAACCTTCCAGCATTGTACTTTATACTGGGAATAACTATCCTGTCAACACCCCCCAGCTTTTGGTGTACGCATTTGGTTTTCAGGCATCCTGTCAAGTTGTTCTGATACTAAGCTGGAAGACAATACTCTCCCTCAAGCTGTTTAAGGAACAGCGTTACTCTGAACGAAAACTTAAGTGTATGTGCACAGCTACTAAGACTTTTCCAGGAGTGTATGTGTTGAAGAAATCCCTTAGTAAGAGTGTTACCACAGTGACCCCTGGTGTGTCTTGCAGGCAAGAGGCCGTTTGGTGTGTCCATCCTGTACATGGGGTGGGACAAGCATTATGGCTTCCAGCTCTACCAGAGTGATCCCAGCGGCAACTATGGTGGCTGGAAAGCGACATGCATCGGAAACAACAGTGCTGTAAGTTGGAAACAAAATTGCATATATTCAGGTTAACTACTGCGGATCACAATAGATACCAGTGACAATGCAGTCTAAAAACCAGCGTAATCTAACATTTGCCATCAACAAGAATTAGGCACCCGGCATTCACTGAGTGACTTGGTAAATTTGGACAGTGTTGAAGTGCATGCCTTCAGTAATGTTACACTTCAGTGGAAGGATGCTCCAGGGAGTTCCTAGCTCAGTGACTTTTTTTGAATTACAAGAATGATATATGTTGTGTGTTCATTGCATTTGATCTTCAGAACTTGTCACCGGCCATTTTCCCTTTGAAAACAGGCAGCAGTATCCCTGCTGAAGCAGGAGTACAAGCAAGAAGGCGTGGATCTGAAGGCGGCGCTACAACTGGCTCTGAAGACCCTCAGTAAAACACTGGACATGACCAAGATCACACCAGAAAAAAGTGAGTGACTGTCAGGGAGCATGCTCGTCATGTCAGGGTTTAGCAGGCTGTGTTTTCTTCAACTGTGCACAATAACCTATAAACCCTGTGAAGATGGGCTTAGCTGTAACAGTGTCGTTACCCTGTTTCAAGTTTGCAGATTTATGAAAATGGCCTCTATTTTTGTCTTGCTGTTATTAAATGAGTAATGTGACTAGACATTGAATAAAAACAGGACAGAAAACCACTTAAATTGTTTGTACAGATCAGAGCAAATTGTGTCATTTTTTGGTCAAGGTACACCACAAAATAACAGTTGCCTTAAAAACTGATATGGTTTCTTCACTTGCATCGCAGTCGAGATTGCCACACTAACGAGGGAAGACAACAAAACCAAGATCCGCATCATGCCACTCAGCGAGCTGGAGGTGGCCATCAAGGAGTACGAAGATAATGAAGCCAAGATTGAAGCTGAAAAGAAAAAAGAGAAGGAGAAATCCTCTGCCTCCGCGAGCCACTGACGTCCCTCCATTCCCCCCTTGATCTCAGTGACCCGTTCCAGCTTCTCCATGCACATGTAGTTGACAATTTTTATGACTTGACTTGCGACTTCATTTCACTCTATTGACTGCCTGGCACCTGAAAGTTTCAATCGTAGCCAGCACTCTACGCTACAGACCTCAACCAACAAGGACTTGCTGTGAAACACTTGGATAAGTCATCACATAAAAGCTGTCATTCTCCAGCACTGACATAAATCCTGGTTTATTTGGTTATCTTTGTGAAGCTATTTTATTGCACCAAACAGCCCTCCGCCAACATGAATCCCACATTTAAATCATATTCCACATGGATAACTTTTTACAGTAAAATCAACTTTTCAAAATCAGTGCACATGCTTGAGGCAATGGTACAGTTTTGACTCAAATTCTCCTGAAGTTTATAACCTAATTATTCTAATTCACGCTATGAAAGTCCGTCACTTAAAAAGTGGTTAATAAAAGTGATAATTTGAGTGTATTTCAGTCTAATAGCAATGTGCAACATTTTCTATGTGTAGGGTTTAGACTGGTGTTTGTCCTTCATCGGTGGAGAAATATAAAATTCCACTGGTTGTGAGAGGTAGTAGTTTGCATTATTGTGTTATTTTTGTTTGATAGTTGGACTAACATTTTAGTCTCAGTAAATTTTTGTTTAAACAACTTTTTTGTACTTATGGTATTCAGTACAGAAAAAGGGAAGCTTAATTTGACATGGTTGACAAGCACTTTCATACCCATATGGGTTTCTCAAACACACAAAAACACAGAAAATAAAAATTAATAAAAGGTAATTAGATGTGCCCCTATATGTCATGTCCTGTATAAAGCAGGCTTCTTGAAAAGAACACTGATTGGCTTATGGTCGTTTGATTGGTTTTCTGAAGTGGCAATGTATGCGTCCCTGTGCCATCTTGCAAAAGCCCCACGATTTGCTGTTATGAAGTGTGCCACCACATTTGAGCTGGTGCTTTGGCTCGTCAGCAGCAGCATCTGTCAGATTAGTGGGTCATCAGTCTATTCCATCAGGCTTTGGACCGACCACTCACACTTTTTCTGTGTCTTTTTATGCCTTTTTTATTATTAGGGCCTACTATCATTGAATTCACTCCTGTACTTGAGCCTTTGACTCATGGACCAATTACCATAGACATATGCTAAGGCCATGTGTTGTGGCTTGAAATTTTGCACAAGTCTACGGTAGTGGCTGCAGCCAATTCCTATAGAAGTCTGTGCAATTTCAAGCCAAAGCGAAGTAACTTTGACATGGCCTTAGCAAAAAAAGGATTTGTTCAGCAAATGCCATTCATGGTGTATTTATTGTGACTGGTTCCCGGCTGATTTTTAATCTGCACAAGAAATTTGCTGAGCAACATTTCCTGCAGAGCTGTTCTGTTAAATTGGGCTACACGACTCCCCATTACAACCATACAGTTTAAAGCTGCTCACTCCTCGTATCCACATACGCTGACCCCAGGGCTCGAGTGTCTTCTCAAGCACTGCACTTTAGGACTGTGGTCCTTACTTCCATCCAGGTTTCCAACAACTGTAAACATCTTTTACACCGAATCCATTGTCTTCTTTTCCCTTTTTTTCTCTCGCTCGTCTTTCTTGTGGACCTTACCCCTAGTAGCATTTTTTTACCTTGTAATGAGAGTTAATAGAGGTACAAAATTGTTTGAATTTCTGTTGATCCGCAAATGGTCTTTACAAAAAGCCCTGTCTCCTAATGTACCAGCTTCTCGCCAGGAAAAAATTGCCAAACTTTTCACTGAACAAGCTAATAATGTTTATGACAGAACTTACTCGGACTTTCCATTCAGCAAATATACTGTTTAAAAAAATCTGTGAAAAAAGACAAACTTTCCATTGAACCAGCAAACAGTCAAATTTTGCCCAACTTTCCACAGAGCTGCTAACGGTCGTGATATAAATTGTCCAAATTTCCATAGAGCAAATTTTTATAACATTAAACCTCAGTTAGTGGACTCCACATGATTGTGTAAAACGTTTAACAGTATTTCCTGGCCGTTTAATAGCTAACAGTATTTCCTGGCCGTTTAATAGCTACCTAGAAAGTTAAGGTAAACGTTTCATGAAAGTTATGTGGCCCATTGGAAGATTAGGTGAATGTTCCACGGCAACGCGTTAGCCGGATAAATGGGACTTTAAGGGGTTGTCTTCGTTTTGTTTTTTCATTGTCACAGAGACAACGATATTAAAGGAAGCCGTGTTTGCTTTCCGAAAATGGTAAAAATGATGACAGTACAAAGGGGACTTTCATGACTGTTACCGAGCAACCAATATTCATGCATTTCTAGAGGTAGATTCTCGAGGCGATATCTCAAGTTGCTTTCACGCAATCAACCCCTCATGGAATTTCTTCCCGTTGAAATATTATATCTAAAAACTATGTTTCACGTGACAGCTCTGTGCTCTGCCCTTTAGTATTAGTGGCTGACGTTCCATACGGAGGTATACTCAAATATCTCTAAATGTGAATCTATAAGACTGCTAGTACTTGGATCAAATGAAAAGACTTCCATGGTGGTTTCTCTTATTCGGTTAGGTGTCGGGAGCTAAATGGCTACAAATGTTGCACCGCCAAATCGACGGAAGCGAACCAACTAACTGTGGCATGTGGAGGAACACAAACACACGAACTGAAGTCGGGGTTTAAAAATGGCCGCGTTACTAGTACATGCACGGGTTGGCCCGATAATGGAACGGCCTGAAGGATAAACATGGAGAAAATACACAGAACCATGATAAGAATATCAAAAATACATCTGGAATTGGATTTAGTATCACAATATCATTGTTTTTATAATCCTCCATGGTGTCATATTCTGTTTTAGTCAAGCCAGCCAGTATCGTATTTATTGTGTATTGAAAACCTCTTTTGTAAAATGAAACGGACCATATTAGCAATCAATCTTATATGTAAATAAGCTGTCGTAAATATCAAACGTATCCACCCGGCCGTGCACAGTTGCATGCTAATTGCCGAAAACGAGTCAGGTTGTTTGACCCCGTAACTCCGCCTACTTAGTTAATATTTATTTACGTCGTTGGCTTGACGACGAGCCGGTGTTGATTTCCCTCGCATCGCTTTCGCGTCGTCAGCTAGAAACACATGGCAGGCAAGTGAAGCGGTTTGTGTCAGTGCCAGCGGAAATTTGCTTGAGTTTGGAGAATATCGAAAGAAATTTGCTCATTTTTGCAAAAAAGAAGTACCAAGTTGGTCCTGTCTAGCCGGGACCACCAAGTCCAAGATGACAAGACAGTGTATTTGCCAGATTTGCACTTGCGGGTAAGCATGGCAGTAAGTAAGTAGTTTACTAGTACTACTAGTAAACTACTTACTTACTAATACTAGTAAAATACTACTTAAATGTATAACTCTGGTGTTAATTAGCCTCTAGACGAGCGGCTAAATGAAATACTAAATAGATGTAGACCTAATCCAACAATACCCGTAACGTGTGTTCAAAACTTGAAAGTTGTTGCCAAGTAGCCCTGCATGCGCTTACTTTTAAGTGATTTCTTTTGAAATATAAACTGTTGGACCCAAACCTTTGAGTTGGCAGAATTTCTGTTTGTGTTTCTTAGAAAAAGAAATAGCCAAGGCATAAGTCATTAAAAAATTGATCCAGGGCCTAATAATCATTAATGAAAGCGTCGCGCACACAAATGCTCAGCTTGTTTGGACCACAGTATATCTATATTGTTAATGAACATTTCATGAAACAAATTTATTCACCGTGTAATTCTTTTATAACCAACATTTGTAAAACAGAAAAGCTAAGATGGTTGCTTGAGGCTTTTTCCTGTAAATGGTAGAGTAGAGAGCTGCAGGCCTAAGGCAAATTAAAAAAAATAAACAGGCCTACCGGTAAATAATTTGTTTTAAGTGTCCCAGCCTGCTTGTTTTTGGTAGCCTTTTATTTTTCAAATTTTCACCACAGGCAAAACGGAGATGAAAGAAATAAAATTATCAGAAACGCGTCTGAAAATCAAAATTACTTGCCAGTTGGATCTTCTAATCGTACACTCTGCTGGTCATTGCACATTACAGACCAACATTCAACCATGTAGTCTCCAAGCATGCCTTCCTACCAGTACATGACATTGTATAACCATGTCCAGATTTCTTGGAAGCAGCTGTGGTTTCGATTTTCTATGAAACCATGTGACAAACTTACCAAAAGCTATTAAAATACCAACAGTTTATAATTTTCTTATCCAGTAATTCAGTCACTTTTAAGCAGAAATGCTAACAGTTGTTGAAAATATTACAAAAATAGCAGCCATCCTGAAAATGTAAACTAAAAAGCCTTATCTCTTTTTCTCTCAAGATTCGGCCAAGAATCCAGATACTAAATACATGTATGTTTACACTTTACACTTGGCCTTGTGTACAAAGTTACCATACTTCTGATCACACTTGAAATGTGTTCATGAGGCAGAGCTGTTTGAATTAACACTGAGCATGTATAGTTTGAAATATACATGTATCAGGTATGTGCTTTTTTTCTTCAAGGTACTGGTAATCTTGTGGAACGGAAAGTCCAAACAAGAACTGAATTGAAAAGTTTAAATTAAAAATGAATCTGTATTTGGGTACCATGGTGACAGCCAAGGGTAGATCAACACATAGCAATTTTTTTTGTTCTCCACAGAATACTGAAGGGAATACCAGTAAGTCACGTGCACAATTATGTGTGTAAAAAGGCATTAGCTCTGGGACCACTTCATTCATTTTGCACTTCACTTCCAGGTCCAAATGACATCACACTTCAGTATTCTGTTCTTTGTAAAGAGTTTGTTACACAAAGTGTGAATCCAAAATCGTCATGTACATTGTAAGAACTGCTCCCATTAAACTATATCGAGTACAAGGGTTAACATCGCAAGATAACTTGGGGGTTTTGTCTGGCTCATTTTAATGTATGAATGGCAGAGATTCCTATCATAGTTCTTGACCTTTCAACTTCGTAGTTCAAAGATCAGGTGATGGTGACTTCTAAATCAAAATCAATTTCTTCCACCCCACTGTTGTGTATTAATGGATTCCTGAATGGTTTTAAAGGGACTATGCAATACTGTTTTTCAATCATAACCCTCCAAATGCACCTTTATGTTTCAATTATGTTCTGTTGATTTGTGCACTAAAACTGCTGGAGTTTTTAATGCTTACTTGAAGTTACTTCCCTGTTTTTCTTTTCCTTGGTGTGATGCACTGATGTGTACAAAAGTACATGGCAATAAGCCAATCAGCAACCCTTTCTTAGATGTATGCTTTCAGGAAACAAATTTTCAGTAAACAAATCGCAGCAACGGCACCCCTGGTCATCCAGAAAAGCGTCTATATTTTTAAAAAAGTGCCAGTTTCAACACATGTAATCCATAAAGGATGTCAAACACCAATAGGTTCACTCATGTACGTCAAAAAAGGATTATGGTGCAAAAAAGAAAACCTCAAAACATGGACTGCTTGAAGTTTGACTGGGATTTGTAATACAGACCAAAGATTGATTTAACGATGTACATGATATACCAGTATACACGTAATAGAATCCTATAGTTTTATATTGATCAGATTTCTGTTGTAAGAAATGGCATTGACCAATAGTATTGACCAACAGGGTCCCAAACTCTAGTAATAAAGCTGGAGGGAGAATCTGTGAGTATGATTTTCACAGGTTTGCAATACAGGTCTGTATGTCTTGCACTGGGATGGCAAGGATTGTTCACTGAAAAATTTGCTCAAGAAACCAACTCAATTATAATTGAAGCAACTCATGTACCCCCAATTAGTATTTTATAACACTTAAAATTGAACACTTTAATCTTGAAAGTAATTTTTCCCCCTCAAATTTCACATAAAAGTAACTTGCATGGGAATTAAAACCACTATTTGTCAGGTTGTGCTGACACATACAGCATCGATAGAAATTCTGTGCGTAAAGAGGATAATCGGATTATTCAAGCAGGTCTTTATATTCCTCATTACTGCAGTTCATTTAGGTTTTGGTGAGCCCAATCAATATCCAGGAAATTGTGGTATGGCTCATTATTTTTCAGCTGTTACTGCTGTTACCCCGGCAACGCCTGACCGTGAAGGATGAATTTTGTAGTTGCGTATCAATAATGAACTGCGATGGCATCACCGTGGCAACCGTTTTGTTGATGCAGCGGCTGTGCGTGCTGTTTTCAATTTGGATGATAAAATAAAATGCATAAAGTGTATCCCGTCGTCTTTCTAGATATCCTCTGTGCAAAAGTATTTGTATTAAGTACTCACAAACTTATGTATTACTCATAAAACGTGAAATTTGTGAAATTGCAATGATCACCTTTGCTGACCTTTCTCTTATAAAGTTTCTCATTTTCCAGCAAGTACAAATTATATGCCATCGTATGAACCCTTTTTTATTGCAGTATTTTTCTATGATGGGGATGTTTTGAAGGGAAATCAAGGTTTCCCCATCAGTTGTTTCCCTTAGAATATTCAGCTGCTTTGTGTGTTTTTTAATTTTTAACAAATTTTCATTTGTCTTTCTGTCTATTCAGGCGTCATCGATGCCCGCACAGACCCCAGGCCCCAGTCAGCAAGGGACCATGTGTCCTGTCAGAGTACACCAACAAGTACAAGCCATACCCAGGCAACCTGATGCGGGACAGCTTCAAGCCCAAGGAGCAGATGATCCAAGGGACAGGCAACATGTCGGATGCCACCACTCACAGGTAAGGGAATCCTCTTCAATCCCCATCCCAACCCCCCATGGCACCTCCACCCAATCTCCCTAACCCTAGTCTACACACCAACTTCCAACTCTCAGTACACAGTTTAAGGATAGCCAACGTGTTCATGAACTCTAATGTACATGTACATTACTTTTTTAAATATGCACGCATATAAGCTGTGCATTTTACATGGACACATGGTGTTCCTTAGTTATAGAGCCCCACACATGCTGTGCTATGGTACTTGTGAGGACCCAGGACATTTGAAGGGACACCAAAGTCCTCACAGTCTGGTCGAAAATTTTCAAAAAGAAAACTTCTCTACTACTTTGAACAAATATACTGACCAGTTTTCAGTATTTTCTGAGATTACCTTTTGTAAAAAGATACCTGTGGCAAGATTAAATGTAAAAAATGTGTGGATTCCCTTCAATTCTTTACAAAGCTGTTTATTTGTCCAGGATTTAACAGGGTTCCTCATATACAGACCTGGCAGTGTTTTGTACTTGTTATTGCAGAGTGGATTACATCCCCCGTGAGGTGAACCGACCTGCCATACACCAACCGGAAACCTATCGAAAACCTGACGGCGACATTGACCATTTGACCTCATACACCAAAGACTACCCAGGTCACAAGTCGGAGCCCGTCAAGAGTTTCCGTGGTGACCACATCAGACATGTGCCCTCAGGAGAATTCCGCGGGAACCCAACATATACAGGTGAGTTCATACGTGTATATTTAAGTTGCTCCGTTATTTGTTCAGCTGTTTTGTACTCAAGTGGAATGTTTCTTCTTTTTATCACGCTAAATTGATTTATTTTCACTGTTTGCAGATGACTATCGCAGGTGGAGTTTACCGACTAGAGATCAAGGCAAAGCATACCACTCATATATTCCTCCATCGGCTCCTTTTGATGGCCTGTCCACCTTTGCCCGAGATTTCCAGCCTAAAAAGGTTGATCTCCGTCAGAGTCTACGGCCGGCTGAGAACACACAACGATCTGATGCACCATTTGAAGACAAGACAAGCCACAAGGTATCCTACATCCCCCACGCCCCACAAGCCAGGCATGTGCGCCTGCAGGAGCCTTACAAGAGGAGCCCGCACAAGTTTGACGGCTTGACCACGTTCCAGCGCGACTTCACCGCCAAGGATGCTCACCGATCAGACAACTTCAAACCCGACGCAACACCCATGAAGTCCGACCAGCCCTTTGAAGACAGCACGACCTTCAGGTCCGACTACAAGAAGTGGGACAGCGAGCCCATACAGGTCCACGTCCCTGAGACATACCAGAAACCTGCAGGCGACATGGATCTGTATACGACAAACAAGCTGGCCTACCAGCCGCACAAGATCAGGCCGGCCTCAGCTAGGCGTCCGGTCTCCCAAGGGCGCAAGACAGACGTACCATTTGATGATCGCACCAACTACAATTCCGATTTCCGCAAGTGGAACAGCAAGCCCGAGCGGCGAGGGGACCCATCCCAGCGACCCTACGAGAGACCAGAGATCCCGTTTGAGGGCTCGACCAACTACCGCGCGCACTACATCCCGAAGCACGCCATGCCAGCGAAGAGCATGGGTCCGGATCGCACCGCCCGCCAGAGCAGCGACCCATTTGATGACCGTACTTTCTACAAACTGGACTTTACTGCAAAGGAAATGACACCTTGCCCGGCCATCAACCTCCCTGCCAGTGGGTACGTGTTCAGCCAGACTGATCAGAGGGGGCACGAGATGTGGGTGAAGAACGCCTGGACTGGGGAGACAGAGCGAGTGATGAAGACTCCACCCCAGCAAATCAGCCTTGAACAGGCAACTTACGCATGAGACCTTCACACGAGGAAAGCAAGGCCCAAGAAACGATTACTAGGTAATCGTATGCCCCAGTTATTAGGTAATGGCATGCCTCATTGAGCAGGCAGGATCGTTAGTACAGTCCACAGAATCACAAAATATGTCACAGCTACAAATGTACAACTTGTAAGCTTAGGATACGTTGAAGTCCGTGGGCACAGCCCACTGAGAATATTGGGTTAGGGCATACTGGAATGGTTGGGATGCAAATGAATTTTGAGATATCCTAACGGTGTCGTCTCTGTCTCACAATTTGCAGGATCAAAGGTAGAGTGCAATATTTTTCAAATTAACCTTTTCCCTTGGTGTTTTAATGAATTTCAGACTGCTGGATTCCACTACACACATGGAAGACAAACAAGGCTCAAATTGAAATATCTTGAGTTGAATAATGAAACTCAAAATGACCACAGTAATCCCCATATTCACATCCATCGTGTGTCGCTGCAGCTGTTATAAATCTGTACCAATGGTTAAACAGAATGAGGGCAAGTTCGAGCAACGACTATAATTGACCATAGACCGCTTGACCTGTGTATGGTCGGACACGTCTAGTCGACCATTTGGGACCAGGTTTAGGGGTATGGTTGCACCGCTGGTTACCGATAACATATTTCATTCATCATTACAGAGGGAACCATTCACATGAAAATAAATGTACCAGATTTCAGTGACCTTGTACGCTACGAAAAATCGCAGCCTGTGCTGAAATTTGAGTAAAAGTGAAATTAAAAACAAAATGGGCCGATTGAGGTCGTTCAAGTGTAACTTAATAGCACATGCGCATTGTTAAAAAGCCACTGACTACTGGCCTACCTATAGTTAGCGCCCAAACTTGCCCTAAAATGCAGCAGTATAAAATGTAATTATTTACATGTAGATCATGTTCGGCAGCCAAATAAGCAAACGCTATATGGAGGTTGTAACTGCCAAATAGCTGTTAGAAAACAACACTTTTGGTTTCACTTCCTGTGATAAGGCCATTCCCAAACTAATACCTCACTGAGCTTACTTGTGTGTGAGAGGCACATGGGGTATCCTTACAGGCTCCTGTACAAACAGCATTTTTCTTTGTATAGTGTTCAACAGGCTACACTGATTAGGTCTTGGTTACAGATTATGTGTTGGTTATTGAAGTTTAATCCAGATCTTTTCTTGATTGCTGCACCCCCCCCCATTTCTTTTTAAGTCATTGTTTTGGTTCATGCCTGTCGTTGCCTAGAAACCAATACACAAATGATAACATGATCCTTAACAACAAGCCCGCTGTAAAGCAAGGGGGCGCTCTGGCACTATTGTTGGTTATTCTATACATGGAATACAACAAAGACATTACATGCTGCCAAGCTACATGTAAATAGACAGGCATTTTGAAATAGGTGTACATTGTACAAACAAAATAGACATGCGTTTAAAATGAAATACAAAGTGAAATAAATGAGTGTAGATTATGCTGAAAATACATGTAGTACAGCATACGTACGGGCAAGACAGCATTCTCATGAAAATACCGCAGCATTTCAAGAAAAAAGTCCACCTAATTTAAGGAGGTGACAGTCAATGCACTTACTATGGAAGAAAATTTATTTTATCAGGATTGTTGAAGGAAAATGTACGTGCTATGGGGTGATGACCTCAGAAGCTGATCAAAGTTGCACAGTTTCAGACCCATGATGATTTGTAAACTAGTTGATGCAGCATGAACATTAAATGCATAAATGTTGGTGTACAGTGCAGGCCAAGCCGATGTCACAAAGCACAACTTCTGTACATGTACGTGCTAGAGCAATTTATAGTGTTCTCAGAGACGTAATTTTAATAGAGGCAATACATCAAATGTAATACATGTACTTAAAATGACAGGGTATCTACATGTACCTGTAATTAGCAGTACTTGCCAATTGTGCGCACTCGTTTTTAAGTTGTAAAGAACACTGAATGTTAGTGATCACTGTTCAAGTACATGCACAAAGGTAGATAAGTTTTCCTTTCATTTTTTTCTCTTCAGAACTTGCTCCGTCAACAAGCAAGAAATCTGAATATAATTCCTTTTGGAGTAAGCATTTTACAGGTGCTTAAAAGCCTGGATATTTTGTCCAAAATGGATGGTGTGTGTCTAAGCGCCCATTGTGAAGGCAATCTCAATGAACAATTTTTTGTTTCTTTTTCAAGCTGCTTGTAGAAATAATTGCCTTTTTGACAAAAGAATTTGAAAGAATCGTGTTAAATCATGAGCAATAAGTGCCTCTATTTCTTCCTGTTCATGTTGTCCATATATGGAACGAGCTGTCCAAAGTGCCTTAGAATAGAAACGCCAAAGACCCTCTTTTTTTCTGAAGCTCCTCTTGGTACAAAACGTTTTTTAAAAAACAGTCAGCTATAGTTTACAATGTGTAAATAGTAATACATGTGTACATGTAGCTTGATAATATTCGACTGGTTTTATTAATTCAAAGAAATTTGATAGTAACGTACATGTAGATGTGTCTCCATACTTGGAAAAAATTCAACAAACGTACATTCACTTGTGATTTTTTAAAGCATAGTTTTGAAGAATATAGAATCTTTGGAATTCCAATTAAAGCGTGATTTGTGAGGGTCGTGTACCACCGGCTAGCCCAAAACAAAAAAAACGAACACTTAAAACATGACAATAGAGCCAAATTTTAAGTAAGTTCTAAAAATAAAGAATGTTTTGCAATGGACTTCATATACCTGTACATTAAAAAGATTAACCTGATGGAATTGCTTTGGTATAAATGTCAAGTGGGTGATGACCGACCGTGAGAAATAGTGGAGTAAGTCACATATGTACAATTTGGAACTAGAAGTCTGTATATAAATCTTGAATGTAAGCTTTTAGCATCTTCTGTTGTATGTTTTGCTGTCACCTCTATATGAGGGCATATTGTACCACAGCCATTATGTGTCGAGCTATAGCCTCATCAGCACTGCTTTGATTAAATAAAATCAATCATCACTGGCTTAAAGCTTGATTTCAGATATCGAATGGAGACAAATCAAAGAAACAAAGAAGATATATCAAAACATCTGTAATGAGAACTGGGCATATTTCAAGCTTCTGCTTAACAGTGTGTACTTCAGAAACGGTTCTGTGTATTTCCCATCTGCTTATGGACTGTCTCTTAATGCATTACTTCAGCGAACAGATGGTGTCAACAGGCAGACAGCGTGTAGTGCCAGTATATCCCAATATGCTGTAGTGGCACAGGAAGTATGGCCAATGAACCCATGGCCAGTATAACATTCATTCAGTTGACATCTTTTTGCTGGTACAGTGTCCAACTAACCAGGATTCCCATTAGCATGAACTCATTAATTAATGTGTCAGAGGTGGTGTTGACAGTAATCTGGCAAGCACACGCGTGTAGTGTACATGGTACAGTGCAAAGCTTTGCTCATTTAGAGAAATCGCACATTTCATGTAAAAACAGCAGAGCAACTCAAAAATGACGACACATTTACCCAGGATAATTGTATGCCATCTTTGTTGTATAAATTTCTTTCTCAGTAAGTGATGTACATGTACATACTGTAAGTAGTAGACAGATATCTGAAATATGGAGACCCAAAATTAATAAACAGGAAGCAGTAGGATCAAAAGCAGTCTGACTCTAGTCTCTTTATAATGCACTTATAATACTGATATAAAACCTCTTTCCACCATCAAAGGCTGGCTCATACTTGGGGCAAAAGTGGACATGGATGCTAAATTGTGACGTAAGATCAAATAGGTAGGCTGTGACTTTGTGCAAGTTGAACACGTTTAAACTCGAGCGAACCTCGCTGCAAATGTTTTCAGGCGTCCATGTCGCTTCATCACATTCGCGTTTGCCCAAAGTATGAACCGACCTTCAGTAACAGTTAATATTGCACCATTTGCCAGGCTACTACTGCAGGCAGACCAACGAACAAGCCCAAAACCAAACGAATATCGCATGCAACCCCTGTAAAGCTGTAAACCAGCTCCATTAGCCCACGACACAGTTCTACTTTGTCACCATCCTAAGAAATGGAAAAGTAACGAACAAAATGTTTTACCTTCAAATTTTAGCTGGCAAAAAAAACACACATTCTAACAAGTTTTCAACTTGACGTTCTTCTGAAATAGCTACTTCCAACCATGCACTAACGCCTTTCAAATAATGGCAATGATGCCACTGATCTCTGCACTGGATACATGTAGTGCGCTCATTCATGACTATGCACAAACAAATGAGGCCCTGCCTCTCAGTTTTAAGGGGGGGGTAGGGCCTTCCAAAGATGGCTGCCAACACATTCTGCGCAACATATAGCATCATTAGTTTCAAGCTTTGAAGCATTATTGAGCAGTAACAAATAATTTTATGGGTTAAAGGGGATTTGTTTGCTTGAATGTCACTGGCATGAGCTGTTACCTGAAATAGGCTGATTCCACAAAACCGGCCAACAGTCACAAACATCTTGGGCCTCGCGCAGGCATGCCATCAAGCGCGAAGATTTGCTTGGAGCCTCCAAAAATTGGTACCTAGTGACATTGATCTCCACAGCCAAAGTAACTAGGCACTTGGTACATAGTAATCGGCGACCAACATTCACACAAAAAGTTTTTTTTAATTGAAAACATTTCTTTACAATTCACGTGAGACCTGTCCCCAAACAGCAGCACCTAAAGATAAAACAATTTTTTAAAGTAAACACACATATGTGAAAATCTTTGAGCATAGGGAGAATACATTTAAATCCAAATATATACATATATGTGTAAAATATATTTCAGAGATTTTAGCCACAATAATCAGAATATAGCCATAATGTACATGTATCTGTATGAAATAAACTGAATGTATGCAGAATAGAAGTAAACTGGTACATGGCTTCCAAACCTCCTGCATGGAAAACAAAATAAGGGAAAAGGCTTCGGTCAGAGAGTGTATGGCTTCCTGAGAACCCTTGTTCGGACATCTCTTGTTCAACTGCACACTGATTCAACAGTGAAGTCGGTAAGTATCCCTATCAGTCAGTGCACTCAGTTTTGATGAGCACAATTTCACTGAGCCAATATCACCCGGATTGTCTGCTTTGTGGCAAATTTTTCTGTGGCAAGGACCTACAAAAGCAGGGAGCCAGTAATGGGTTGTGTGTACTGTAAGACAGTTTGACTGGTAACCCACCAAGCGTCTTCTCTGTGCAACGGCTGTTTAAGCTAATACCAACTCCATGCAAGCTGGTCCCCCAACTGACCAGCGTCCCTCCTAATTGGACCAGTCACCTCGGTAGAACACAACGTTGTTGCCTGTTTCATGGAGCTTCACCTCGTAGAGCAGATCTGGGTTGGGGAGTTGCTTTCGTATTTGCTCCCAGATGAACACGGCAATGTTCTCCGCCGTGCTGACGATGTCCTGAAAGTACGGCACATCCTTGTCAATATTTTTATGGTCCAGGAGGTCCATGATTGCTTTCTGTGTAAGAATCACATATTGACACATGTACTGTGACTTATCTCCATGCACCTCTCCAAAAGGAGTCCTGATTTGCTGGCTGCCTTTACAATACCATCATTGTCTCTGAAAATGAGACCACAAACTCTGTACACAAGGTGCATGATCACTGCACACTCAATGGATATTAAAGGTTTGCTTTGGCTGCACAGTTGCAGTAAAACAATGATCAAAATAATCAGCATAAAACATGTATCACATCAAAATCGAGGAATCTCCGAGTGCAGCACGTGCACATATCTAGTGTAGACATGTCTGTTTTTTTCTCATGTAGTTCAGAAAACTGTGAAAATATCTTTCTTATTGTTTGACTGTTGACAGTTTCCTTAACTGTTCCTCTTCCTTTTGCATAATCTTGACCCCCCAATGGCTCTAAACCTGTTTTTCAGCGAGGAAACTGTGTGTGGACCAGACACAGTCCACAGAAGGGCTACATATCCTGCACTGTTTGGACCTGCTTTGTTCTCAGGTCCTCACAAAGATAGCAAGGTTGCCACGAAAATAAATACCTGTGTGAAGACACACACTGGGGCTGTGTTCTACAGCTATGGCTATGTCAGTTAACAGCGTGTTCCTGTGTGTTTTCAATGGGCGAAAGCCTAGACCTAGCCCAAGACAACAGATTTGAATGCCTCACCTTCATATATTGCTTCAAGTCGGTCAAGTTCATCACCATGCCTGTGACAGGGTCAACCTGTAACATTGGAAAACATGAATCATTTGGAACATTCTTTCAAAAACATTTCTAATATCACAAAGGGTTAGAATGGACAGTGGACGAGGAATGGGTAATCCTTGCACAGGTTGTGAATTGAAAGATGACTTTATTTGAAAGATCCCCAAACTTCAGAAGTCGCCTTTACTTACTCACAGGAAAGCTGAACATATCATTGCACAAGTACAGAAAATATCAATGTGGGTTTAGACACAGGTTATATATAGCTTGTATGTTAAATCTGTTATGTTTAAAGCAAAGTTTAGAAAATCTCACCTCGCCTTTGAGAATGATTTCAACTGCAAAAGGAAAGAAAAAGATTACTTAACATTCATGAGTACAGCAATGCCCTAACAAAAGAAAGTGCAAGAGCTTGTGTAGAAAATCTTCAACGGGGTCACCATTTAAATTAGACATGTTTTCAAGGTACAGTAGATCTACTCACAAAAATTTTGTTCTGATGGTCAAAACTACAGTACAGAAAATCAGTAACAAGTGACTTAGAAACCATGATCTGTTACTGCAGATGGCTTACGTTCGGCGCTGGGTTGTGAGACCTGGAATAAGTAGGGAAATTGCTCCTTGCCTTCACCAACCAGACACAACATAATCAGTCACTGTTTGACCTTGGTGGATCATGGGGTCTAGAATAAACCCTTGCTCCCGAGGTTCTACGTGTACCTAGATTCCTGTCAATCTGTTGCCATTTTAGGTCAGGAATCCTTCCTAATCATAGTGATTTGTTTCTCTGTGCTTCAACTCTCATGGGCCATCAAGTCTCAAGTAAAGCAAGAATGACAGGATTCTACCTCCCCAAATCCTGCAAAATACTCCCAAAAACCTCCCAGTGGATTTTGAAGGGTCCAGCCAGGTTAGCTCCAGTGAACCCTGCAAACCCTTCTCCAGAAGGCACAATCATGAAAAGATCTTTACTCTTTGCTAGAAATTAGAGTTATTTTGAGCGGCACTTGCTCACCCCAACTCACCTCTGTAGTTATGGCCGTGGCCATTAGGGTTATTGCACTTTCCAAACAAGACCTTGTTGACATCATCGCTAAGACACGGACTGTGAAAAATCAAAAGCAAATGCAGAGAACATAGATTATTTCTACCGCACCTTAATCAGGGTGTTAAACCTGGATAAATCCCTGTCATCTTCTTTTCCTCCAAGAGATGTGCCAGCTTCGTACATTTGAAGACTCGGGCACATTGCAATGAGAGGCAGTTACAGTTTTAGAGGTGGGAGGGAAACCCCACAGGAATACTCTGGGGAATCAAGTAGCGATGGAAAACCCAATCCACAAGTGGACTGAGCTAGGAACGAAGCCAGACCGCAGAGGTGGAAGGCGAGGAAAGAACCACTACGCCAACCCGATTCCCCTGATTGGTTGATCATTGATCACATTTCACTCAATTATTTGTTCTACTCAAGAGTGCCTATTCAATAGAATTTCATTTCAATTGACTGGTTCCCACCTCCATTTTTTTTTCTCGGTAAGAAAGAGAAAAACAATGTAGGGTGGCGCTTCAGACATGAATTGGTTTTGAAATTTGACTGACGTAAAATATGAGCAGGACTTATTTGTCAATATTTGGTCTCCTAACTGAAGAGGATTTCTGCAGTTTTTGTTCCAACAATTAATGAATGTTTCACATTTGTGCAATTGGTAAGAATAATTTTATGAGTTGACAGATGAAATGTTTAATTTGCCTCGTGGAATCAAACGTTTCATCTGTCATCTCATGAAATTATTCTGACCAGTGCATTGCACTCATAAACATTTATTATTCAAGTGATTTGTCCACAACATACAAAGTGGATTGTTCTACAGACAATTGGTAACCCCCCAATAATGGGAAAGAATTTAAGAGACGGAAACCACTTATTTGTCCATGCAGTGACCTAGGCCTTAGAGATTTTAGTGTTATAGAATTAGCCATCTGACATCTGAAAGCAACCTAGGCCTAGTATAGTCTAAACCATGGAGGTAGAATCACACCTCCATGTCTAAACTAAAGCCAAATTTAGGTGTGAAAATATTAAGGCATTTGCTTAGAAAACACTTCGAATTTTTCAGACCAGCCTCATACATGTCATTATGCTGATATTGTCGGCATAAATCATAGGGTTGGTGCACAGAGTACTGGGTGTCAAGTGGTGTCCGTATATGGAATTCTTTGTGAATTGCTGTTTGTGTACATTTCATTTGAGACTGCTCACCTGTGCAATCTATGGCAGGCACTGAATGACTCCGCTCTGCTCACATACACCACCCGTCTGCGTGCCGCCTCTACTCGCTTCTGATCATTGTTGTTAACTGGACCGTGGTTCAGTGAAGTACCCCCAGACATTGACATTGTTGCTCCTCGGAACAAAGTTCACCTTGATGTTTGTTCTATCTGTGGATTCACAGGTCAACTGGGCAGTGTGCTTTTGTTGCCTTTATGAAGTTTTCGTATCAGTTCTTCACTAGCGGCAGAACCCTGACCGTACCGGACCACAACAGTACAAAGCTCCACCACACTAGCGCCACGCGTGCGGGTTCCGGGTATACGCGAGGTTGTCCCTTGGGGATTCATCTCCGCGGTGGCTTAAGATTAGCGAATTTGTCCCCGATTTAAACGATCCCCGAACACAGTGCAGCTCTTTTTCTGATTAATTCACCTTTACTTAAATAATAAGAGGTAAGCGCTCAAGTAATTTCGATTTTTGAAACTGACTGCGGAGCCGACGGGAGACCGAGCCAAAGTTTTAAAAATGTCTTGGATGTACCTTTCAGTGAGGGCGCTATACAAACTTGTGAGCTCATCGAAAGTGTGGTTTGGTTTTATTTCCATTCATCTTGTTGTAGCATAAAATCACATTGGTTAATGCACATGATGAACCATGCAGGCTGGCAGAAAGGTACTGCTTGTACCAGGCCAGGCCCCCATTATATGTAACTGAATACGATGAGATAACGGTAAGCGCAGCAAAAACTTAAAGATTATTATTTCAAAGAGGAAAAAGGCATAAGTATGAAAGAAAGCACTTAGAACTAAAAGAAAAAAAAAAAAGAAAGTCGTCGTCGAATAACAATACAGGTTTTTCTGGCCAATTTCGGAAAATGTGCGATTTAATCTGTGAAATGAAAATTCAATTTGGCGTAGATTTTGAACACGACTTAATTAAGACGTGATGGTAGACTGCCATTATCAAGGTTATGATAATATTTTTAGAAGACAAAACGGGAAACTAATCATCAAGGTTAGGGGAATATTTTTAAAAGCTGAAAAGGAACAAACGGGACACTAACGGGCCGATTTCATAGAGCTGCTTAAGCACAAAATTTGCTTAAGCACAAAACGTTGCTTAAAAAACAAAGGTTACCAGCTCAAAATCTATGTGATTGTCATGCTAACCAAGAGACAGCTGAATACCATTCCAAACCAATATACATTAGATGGAGTTTTGGCTGGTAACCTGAATTGTCAAGCAAGGTTTTATCGCGCTTAAGCAAATTTTGTGCTTAAGCAGCTCTATGAAATTGGCCGCAGGTTCATTTTCGCAATAAAAGCATTCAACTTCGTGTTGCATCCTTCTATAAATCAATGTGCATTACGACTCATTTAAGCGGTTGCAAATAGGTGATTGGGATTTCGGTTTCAAGTATTCGTTTTTGCCAATCATCACAAAACAATGTACATTCTTATTCGCCAAAGATATGTCTCTTATTGTGATTCTTCGGAAATGAGTATTCATTTTCATTTGCTGTAATTCAAATTCGCAAAAATATACATACAATTTGATTAGAAGACACAAGGTTATACACAAATTATGACATCATAAAAAAGTACCGTAATGTTACTCATGAAGGGTTAGATTGGAATTGTACACAAAATAATTAAGGACTTGATGATTTTGCAAGAATCTATGTTTGACCTTTAACTTAGCTGCTGTATGATGTGAGTTTGGCAAAAAAGACGTAGCACATAACACAAGAAGGAAGATTCCCTTAGCCTCGATGTTTAAATAGGCTGCGTATGATCGTCGGTATGTTTCCAAAGACAGCATGACTATAATGAGTATTTAAACATTTAATCCAATACTAAAAACTTCTAAAAATATAACTTCTGTTAGCATACAAGCTAATTCCATTTTTGACCAGGCATACCTTAAATAACACACAGGCGAAATTGCCTGCATATTTTGAGGAGTACATTTAGTAAGTTAAGATGCGAATGAAGGATTGCAGATGTATTCGATTGCGCGCAAAAATGAATGTCAACATGCTTAACCAGTGTAATACCGAGAAATTAAACGCTGACTTTATACGACTGCATGCACTCTCAAAGAGAAATTGAAAGAGAATTTTTTATTTGTATGAAATAGAAACAAGGATTGAATCCGTCACTTGTCGACGATTGATTGTGCGTCTTAAATGTGGATCCTTTACAGTCGGCCCCGTCGCCAGCTTCAGACATCAAGGGGGCTACGGTATCTGCTAGGGGGGCCACATCACAAGAATAAAGTATAATTTTTACGCTTATGCTTTTTACCAAGGGGGGGGCAACTTCACGCCACCGGGGGGCCCAGCCCCCTGCCCCCCCCCCGGCGACGGGCCCGCGTCTACAGCACGCAAAAACAAAGTGTTTTTTTCTCTCTCAAGAAAGCAGAATATATTACAAACGTTTGGACGTATGCGAATCAACATCTTAGGGGGTGTGTGATTTTTTTAAAGAATAAATGTCCAATTGGTTGCGTTCTTAAAGTCCCCCCCCCGTGCAAAATACGAGCTGGGCTGTTGCAGCCCAGTATCTGCATCTGAGATGTCATGAAAAGCTCAAGCGTCACTCAGAACAAAGAGCTGGGGGTGCTCATTCCAAGTGCACAGATTATGAATGCCAAGATAGATGCTAGAACCTGGGCTTTGAAATGCCCATCATTATAATTTTGGGCCGAAAGGCGCAATCGACCCAGTTAAGCTGGCTTTGGCTATGCTTTCTTTGACGTGTAACTTTAATTTGGGGTGTAGAGACCAAAGCGGATCGTATGTTCGGTAGAGACAATCATAATTGGGGGTTTTGGTCACGTTCCTAGAGGGCGCTGTTTAGGAAAAGTAAAATCAGCTACCGGTACATGTAGCTGCGCGTGTTATCGGATGCATATCAGGGAAGATCATTTGCAAATATTTTCAGGTATTTCTCTGGGGCAATTTCTTTATTATCTACACGAAAAAAAGAATCATAAATTTAATTGTTTTTTTTCCCCAAAATAATGTAATTTTATTCAGGACAGTACCAGGGAAAGAGTTCTAGGCACGGGCACCCAGGCTAAACACCATATCACTTGACATGCATGACACCTCGTCATGCCACCAATGCGCAGACATTGATGGATTGGTCAGAAAATTTCAAGTGTTTTCTAAGTAAACTCTTCAATATTTTCTCTGCTAAATTTAACATTTTAGGACATCTTATCACTTTCTGATGGCTGGTTTAGCATATTTAAGCCCAGGAAATAATTAGCGATGTCCGTATGTGCACAGAGCCGGAGCTGAGGAAGGTCTTCCTTCCTATCCTGGGCAGGTGGGGGATCGTACATCTGGGAGGGCCTGGCTTTAGCGTTAGTTTGACCATGGATGTTGGAAAAGACCAACATGCCCAAACTGCAGCTTAATGGAGTTTTTACATGAACCAAAATGAAGGATTGAGGTGATTGAGTCTTTTGAGGTAGCCTACTTGTTGGACCTGGATTTGAATAGTATACTATGCCTACAAAAGTACAAGGCTTAAGGTACAACTCACAAAATGTGTGAAAGTCTTGCCAAGTTTGGTAGTTCCACTTCCATCAAGACATAGTACCTATGAAATTTAGTAGCAGGATCCTGAAAGTCTGTTGAAACATTACTTGTGCACAAAGATCAAGCAGGTTGTTATATGTACACCTGAACTGCAGCATCAGTCAGAAATATCCTGAAAGCAACTACACTTGCTTTTCATTGACTCTGGAGTCCTCTTTCAAGGCATGCTTTCTGCGTGGTGACGGTGTGCACAGATTTTGCACAGGATCAATCAACAATGTATCATAATTGAGCAATCACTCAAGACCAGTCCATCGTGTCCGATATTTTAAAGTAATTTTTATGGCGGTATTATTTCACTCCCTTCCATGCCAACCTTTTTCTCTTGCGCCCTGTTAATTTCCCCCTCCCCTTCACAGCAGGTAGCCACGACCAGCGGGATGCCCAAGAAGTTTCAGGGAGAAAACTCCAAGGCGGCTGCTGCACGGGCCCGCAAGGCGGCCGTGCAGAACGAGAAGCTAGCCGCCAAGCAGAAGGCAGAGGAAGACGCCTACTGGGAAGATGATGACAAGCACGTCAAGAAGAAACAACAGAGGAAGGTCAGTGATAGTCGGTGTTGGAGTCCATCCCAAGACCAGCCACGAGACCAGTCACAAGACCAATCACAAGCCTAGTCACAACACCAGTCACAAGACTGGTCACAAGACTGGTCGCAAGTAACAGGGCCAAAGACAAAGGAGTGCTTGTGAGTTCAGGTCAGACAGGAGATCTTGTGTTGGTCTTGCGATTGTCTTGTAGGGTGTCGTGATGGTCTTTGAGGGCTTGCGAGTACAACACTGGCAGGAGTAGCATAGCCAAAGGGGGAAGGAGGGTTGGCCGTCCCCGTAAGTGTCCCATCCATGCCTGCATTTTTTTCTGCTCCCACTTCTTTATTTTCTCTTGGTTTTTAACTTTTTCTTTCCTTTTTTCAATTTGTATTTTGACTTCTTATTTTCAAACAAAATCACGTGTAGGAGCATTTGATATCTGTTAGGGTATTAACAGCTGAAGATGCAAAAGTGTCAGAAAAGGTCAAGAAAGTCCATCTACCATCTTGGGAAAAAAATGTGTGATCTTAAAAAACAGAAAAAGGCCTTTTCTTCACTGTCTTTAAAAATCCCAGATGAGAACAATTTTTAAATTTACATGGCCTTTCTTGAGTTTGCTACATGTCTAGCAATCTGTTTCCCTCCATTAATGTGAGGGTCTGACGTATACCCTTCTGTGAACTCTATTCACAAATACCCCCCTAAATGTTGACAGAGAGGTCGGGCAGATATGACTTCTGTTGCCGTTGTTTGCTCAGCCCATTTGTCTGTATTCAGATTAAAATGGATCATTCCCAATTCCCGTTATAGGCATGCAAACTGACCCGATTGCCTGTCAACCAGTGCCGTTATGATCACTCGTCACTGTTTTTGTTAACCGTTCCACCGTTTAGGATGACAGAGACAAGAAGCGCGAGGAGCAGTCTTCCAGGAAGCAGGAGGCTCGTCGCCTTCTGGAAGAGGAGGAAGCGACCATCAAGGCCTCCACCAAGACAGCCAAGCCGAGCAAGCTGACACGAGCTCAGATACAGACCGATCAGGAGAGAATAGCCGCTGCAGAGGGTATAGTTCCAGAGGCTTCCTCGCTGATTTGGGTTTCAGATTAATCCTTGCTCTGTTACACGCTCCAAAGCCCTTCAGTAATTGCTTATTCACAAGTGCCCCACACTTTGCTGTAGAAACACCACTACAGTGAAGATGGTGTATGATGTCATTGAGCCAAACCTTCACAATGGCATCTGAAAGCTGAAAGTTTTGAACAAAATGTCTTTTTTAAGCAGTCATACCTTTTCTTGAAGCTTAGCTACTACCTCAACGAGAGAGATGTTGTATGGGATGTAGTAACAAAAAGAAGCAAGGTTTTCTATATTTTTGCAAACTCTTTTCCACCCGTGTCATCGTTTCTCCTCTTGTGTCAGTGCCAAATCTCTGCTCTGCCTGTCAAACTGCAGGCCCATGTCATCGTTTCTCCTCTTGTGTCAGTGCCAAATCTCTGCTCTGCCTGTCAAACTGCAGGCCCATGTCATCGTTTCTCCTCTTGTGTCAGTGCCAAATCTCTGATCTGCCTGTCAAACTGCAGGCCCATGTCATCGTTTCTCCTCTTGTGTCAGTGCCAAATCTCTGCTCTGCCTGTCAAACTGCAGGCCCATGTCATCATTTCTCCTCTTGTGTCAGTGCCAAGTCTCTGCTCTGCCTGTCAAACTGCAGGCCTAAAGCTGATGCAGTAATATTTTTTCAAGAATTCCACTTGCCTTCTAGCTGCAGAGAAAAAGAAGCGAGAACCCACCACACACTTAGATGCACCCTTGGAGGAGAACCCTAACCTTGTACTGGCTGAGCAGGCAGCGGACGGCTATGCCGTAGGCAGGAACGTTGAAGAAGCCATCAGCGCACTCAGGTGAGGTTGGAAGAGACAACTTGGTCCAAGTTGGTGAGCCTAAGTCCAAAAGTCACAGCTGTGGCTGACTGGCAGGAACTCAGCACCTGTGTGCAAAGTGGTTGTTGCTGCTAGTCACTGGCTTGCACGAACATGTTGGTTGCTTGCAGCATGTTGCTGCCTTCAAGCTCGCCAAGTCTGATTTAGCTGTAGGTCACACTGTCACAAATTGGCCCAGCTGCAGAGATGGCCCAATCCAAGTTTTATCATTTATGGAGAGGTGAGCCCTCCTCAAACTGTTGGGTAACTCTGGTGGGTAGGTAGGCAGAAGCCCCCCCCCCCTGTGTGCCCTCCATTTGACATGTTGAATTGTACTCAACCTATATATAACCTAGTTTATATAACCAGTTTATTTGCTTTCAGTGCCTCCTTCGAAAAAATGTCTGTTCCCTCCCCCCATTCTTAGAAATTTAAATTTCACCCCAGTTACACTCCTGCCCCCAACTATTTAGCCACCCAAAATCCCCCACCCAAAAATGGGTGGTGTCAAATCTTGTCCAGCCCTATTTTTTTTTGTTCTTCTCTTTTTTAAAATTTTGATCTGTCTGCTATGTTTTTGTATACATTTCTAAGTTATTTCTGTCCCTCAGCCAGGCAGATTTTTTGAGATTCTTCTTGTTGATATCACCGTAATTGTACCGCTTTCTTGTAATGTGGACATTGAGATACGTGGTCAATCCTGATGTTTGTCTGACTAGTTATGTTGCCAATAATAAAGGACATTGGTTGGACATGATGTCTGTCCATCTCTCATTGTTTGTAGAGTTGCCAAATGTCAGGTCCGTTCCTTTCTCACATTTTAACTATCCTCTCATCAAACACTTTGAGATATGCAACTTTCCTCATCTGCCCTGAAAAACCATGTCCCGTGTGTGCTTGCCACATTTGAATGTACATGTGCATGATTTCCTCTCACTCCAGCGTTGACGAGCCTGCCTCAGAGAAGCACCCCGAGAGGCGCATGAAAGCCGCCTATAAGGCCTTTGAGGAGTTGCACCTCCCCCGACTGAAAGCCGAGAACCCCAATCTGCGAATGTCCCAACTCAGGCAGATGCTGAAGAAGGACTGGGCCCGTTCCTCGGACAATCCGCTGAACCAAAGAACGGCAGCGTACAACACCAAATGAAACCTGGAGAATTAAGCCAGCGGAGGTACTAAACGAACAAGAGCATTGAAGAGTGTGACGGGAGGAAGGTATTAATCTTTGCAAGAACCCAGGACACCTGTCTCTGGTCCATGAAATTACACCAGTATGCAGACTGCGGTAATTTCCTCACCACCACTCTGGACCTGTTGCATAGTGAGACTCGTCTGAAAAGGAGTGGTCGTTGTTTTGCCTTACATTGGTCTCAATTGCATAAATTCAATTTTATTATGAGTCTGCACACTCTAGCAGAAAATGTCCTGCTTGATGATGATGCAGTTGTCATTTGCATGGGTCAATCACTTATTTCGGCTTGCCGTCGGCTGGACCTATCTTGACATCTCACAAGCTTTCTGCCGATGGTAAAGACAAGTAGACTGCAAACACGCGTCTAGTTTCTTCCAAATCAAAAAAAGAAGCAAAGCTGGACTGGAATCAACCAGGACCGTGACATGCGAGAGGTTGTCTTGGAGTTGGGGTTGCAGCAGAATATGTTTGAGCTGTTATGCATAGACTGTAATGTGGATAGGTCTGAACAACATGATTGAAGTAGTCAGCCAATATGGGCGTTTCTTAATAGTGTGCCTCCAGGAGTTTGCAACGCGTTGGCCAATTCACAGTGTGCGATTGGCCAACGCGTTGTTTTAGGTCTTGGTGGCACACTATTGTGAATCGCCCATATTACTAATGTACTGCACAGGAACCTCCCACATTCCCCTTATAAAGCCTCAGTTGTTGTGTGCTTATTGTGACTCTGCCCCAGCATATCCAAAGCTGAATTTGGCAAGTGTCAAAATGGACTTGAATATAATTCATGAGATCAGGAACCACCGAGAATGCCGACAATCAAAAAATGGGAAAAACAATTCTTATTTTAGATATCGCCGATAAGAAAAATTGTGCATGTTTTTCTTTTACTGTTTGGTTTGGTACTTGGGGATGAAAAGAATATTTGAGTTGTGGAGATCGGTCTCTCCATCAGGTGGCAGCAAGGCTGTGAAATGAGATGACAGAGGTCCTTACTAAACTTGCAACAAAAATACATCTCTTCTTGCATGGGTGTAAATGCACCTGTAATCATTAACGATTTATTATGTACAACCTTTAATGTGCAATTTGGACTAATTCAGATCCCTATGTCTCATACTTTATCCCAAGCTGTGAGAAAACTTTGATGACGGAAAGTTACATTCCCAACCGAAGTCAAACATGAACCAGTTACCTCACTACCGGTGTGCATGCCTAACATGGTGTTTTGGTTGGTAATCTGTTCTTGCCATTTAGATTTTCCCCTGCATCCGTCTCTGCTTCACAATTTGATGCCATTATCAGGCCCTGCCGTATGTTTTTGTTCCTGTCTATAGGATCATACATTGTGTGTTTGTTTGTTGATTGCTTTGTGCAATTAAAGCAGATCTTTTTCATTATCAAGGAGAAGAAGGAAGCTTGTTGCAAACTCATCGTTTCTTTTCCCCCTCCGTTGTTCATTTTCTCCTGCTTTTGAAGCATTTACCACTTTGCTCTTAAACTTCAAAAAGACACTGAGTGTCATTGTTGATCCAAATCAAAGAAGTAACATCTGTGTTTTTCTTTAGCACTCATAAATACCTCAGACATGCAGTCATGCCCAATACAACTGAGCATGTTACAAGCATCTTACCGAGTCGGATGTTTACTTTTCACTGTCTCTGCCGTTGACCTCCTTGGGCACAGCTCACTGATCTGTGTTCTATGAATAATTGTGTATCATGCTCAGTACATATGCCCGGCAAGAAATGAGACCGAGGGGTACCCCCCCAACATGTCCAATCCCTATACACACTCCAGACTATTATGACTTAACACATCCAACCAAGATGTCTGAAAGGAATTCCCCAGATTCCTGCGAGACAATGACCAACACAAAGCAGGGGGGGGTTCTCTCCGTCTCATACCTTGCTGCATATGTCAGTACATGTGCCTAGTCAGTTCCATACAGGGGGATTTTCGTTCTCTACATGCAAGGTACACTATCACAGGTACGGGTAGTCTGGGCTTCAAGACCTTCATGCTTTATTGCCCTCTTTTCCCCCTTTTCTGAACATGGTCCATTGTCATGCCCAGGCCCCTGTCTAGTTTTAAATAGATTTCTCTCAGACTTTTTTTTCAGTGTATGAAAACAACCTGACATTCTTTTTGGGTCAAGTGTAATGAAAAATACACTTTGGATGTAACCATTTACAAAATTAATATACCTGCTTTTCCAGACAATTGAGGGAGCTATTGCTCTGATGGTATTCAAGGAAGACATTTTTCAGTCGATGTGTTTCTGTTCAAATTCAGACAATTTTGCTTTATACTGAAAGCATTTCTGAGAAAGGACAGCTTGGCTAATTGCCGTGTGCTTACACCTGTCAGCAAAGAAAAGGAAATTTAGGGAAGCAAAATATTTTTTAAAAAGTCCATATTTTGTGCACAACCGAATCTGTGTGCACTAGCACTGAAGTTTCTCGCGGCCGGGTACGCGGAATGGTTTTCCAGTTACATTATTCGCTCACATGAAAATTATTAGCACTAAAATGCCATGTAATATACATTGTGCCTTTAATAAAATTAAAATAAGGTTACGTGAAACACAAAGGTGCGCTTTAAACGGTTAATTGTTTAGGTTCTGCACGAATTTCTTGGTTTCAGCTTGAAATTACACACACGACTCTAGCTCTATTAGTTTACTGTCAAAATGGAATTTTATTTATGAGCTAAAAACCGCCCCAAGGCTTTGTGTTTAATTTTAATTGGTCCACTGAGGGCGCTATTTATAAACAACCGTCATGACCAAAGATGCGCGGCGCTATACAATCTTTGGTCATGATCAGCGCGGCGGCACGTGCAGTGCATAAATTAATGTGTAAAACCATCAAACCGATACTAAGATTAGAACTCGGCCCTGTGATGATAATCATGACAACAGCCGTGCAGCTGTTCGAGATCACAATGCTGGAGACTGCATGCGGGCGGTTGTGTTAGACCCGACGAGAATAACCTAGGGTGACCCGATGTTGAACCAGGTTTGACTAGGCCTACTCGACTCCCTTTCTGCGTCGTCTTGCTTGTCAAGCAACGAGTTCAGCCTGAATCTTTCAGAGAAATAGAACGAGCACCACTGACCGCGAGAAGCGACTTTGGATCTGACATCAACGAGTGCCATGAGTAGTGCGTAAGTAGGCCTACATGTTTATGGTCTGCTTTTTTCAAACACATTGCCTGTCACTCAGCGTATAATTTCATGCCTGATTTACGAGGCATGCTGGTGTACATTTTTAACAAGTGTTATAAAGTTTCATGCTGCCATTATGATAATTAATTATTAAAACCTGGCAACACCAAGCACTCCTCGTGGAAAGAGTTCCAACTTCCATACAGACAACACCAATTTTCCCTTCAAATGTTATAAAGTTTTACAACAGCAGTCCGAAAGAGATTTCTTGTCACAAGGGGGGGGGGATTTCTTATAGGTCATACTTGTGCGGAGTGTGACACAACACAGGGTCGATTCGATCCATTAAGACCCATCCCATTGTAGGTCTTGCAAAAAGTCTACCATTTTAGTGACAAAAGTCCCCATTCTTAGGGGGAAAGTTGAAGTAACATTTCCAAATCATTTCCCAACATAGTTTCGGTCACACCGAATCATGTTCATCCTTTGGGCAATCCTCACTCTAAGAGTCTTAAGAGCCTGCCTTTATAAATGTCTTCGAAACTGTCTGAAATTGTTAGTAATGTCACATTTTCTTGCAACTTCCTCCCCAAAATAACTCCTCGATCCTTTCTTGTGTAAAAGGACAACATCTGATACACACCGTCATGACCGTTTACCAAGTTAAAAACTTGAGTGCAACAGAAAAATATTGAGGGGTCCTTAAAGGAAGAATTGCCATCCTTGTTGACAGCGGAACTAATTCATCTGCCCTTGCCAGGTCCTGTCCTTGATCCCAGAAACGTCAATAATTTTCTTTCTTCACTATTTTCAGGGCAAACAAGACCTGTATTATTGCCGAATACAGGGGTTCTCTTGTTCACGGCTCCTTCCCCTTTGCTGTAAGTACTCGAAGTACATGTACCGTGTATTGAGTCTCGTTATTTAACAATTCTATTCACAGGTGGAATGACATTAATTAATGGATCAAGGTTTGGATTCCTGGATAAGGCCAAAAAGATTACTTTGTCTCTGGTCAGACCAAAGTTCCAGAATTGATGCGGCGATTCAGGGTGTTTTTCTTTTTGGGGGGGATGGGGTTGGGTTTTTAAGACTGGCAACGGACACAGAAATGAGTGGCATATTTAACCAAAGAGCAAAGGCTTGTAGTAGCACGTCCCACGTCATGCAGCCATTGTTGTTGATCAGCTGGCTGCAACTTTGTAACCTACCCATGGTCTACTGTTTGTGTTTGACATCAACATTACGCAGTCGTAATGGATCTATCACCAGATATGAGCTACCCATGAATTAGTCTGGTTCCTTGAACAAATTGCCCTTCTGACTGGTGGAGGGGAATCAGTCTACTCGCGAACATTCAGGCGATGCAGAAATAGAGGGCGCTGTTTTGAGAATGTTGAGAAAAAAAAAGAAAAAAAAAAATTGACAGGTACGTTCAAAATCGACACTCGCTAACCAGAGATTAACTATTTTTGGGGAGGCTTAAGGTGAACCCACTTAGTGTAATTACATTTTGGGTGAAATTTCTGAGGGGGGCGCCTGGAGAGGCACACATTTTTTAAGGGTGGCATTGAAAAATTTCATGGACGTACATGTACGTATGGATACATGTAGGTGTGTTTTGAAATCTCAACTGGGGAAAATGGGGACAAGAAATGTAAAGGCACGACAAAGTGGGGTTTGCAAACAATGCCCACGTACAAATGTACCTCCTGGACGCTTGTATTATACATGCAGGTCCTTTGTCAAATCCAGCACAGATGAGTTTAATCCTGTCTTAAAATGTAGATTTATGCACATTATCTTTGAGTAAAACAAATTGTGGGCAATTTGTATGCATTGCTCATTGCAAAATGTAAATGGGGAAGTGGATAAGGAAACACAACTAGTACCACATGTACATGTTTGTAACTCTGTACACGTGCACATGTAAGGTATACAGTATGCATGTATAAACCCAGGAAGCGATGTTTGGTTTAGTAAAGAGAAACTGACCCAAGTGTGTCTATGAGTCACCTGTTGAGTTTATTTATTGATAATTCTATACAAGCTCTAATCCGATATTCATTCCCATATGAATACAACTTACAGGTACATGGTCCTTATCATATAGGTAACCAGGTGTCAGTGAGTTAATGATTGATTGTGTAAGTGCTGAATTTTAAGAAACCCATGAAGATAAGACTAATAAGCCAGTGAACAACTCTGGCATTACCTGGTTTTGCAAAAGATAAGTTTGTGGAAAGTGCATTTATCAGATTATGTAATGAAGCAATCTAGGAGGCAAACGGCTGTGTCCACAAGATATGACTGTGGCTTGAGATACTGCATACACCTATGAGAGCCATTGGCTGCCACTGCAACCACTTGCCATAGACACTTTGTGTTATTACTCTCGTGATCAGCCACAGTACAGCAAGCTCATTCAGACATAATTTCTTCAGATACCTGCTGACAATATTCTTTAATTCATGTAAAAGAGAGGGAGATGTCAGGTTTTCATGGTGTCAAGTTTTTCAAATTATTTTCATATTAGTCATAAAAGATTTCAATATTTTCAATGTTTCAATCATTCCTGTGAGTGATACATTTTGGGATCAGTTTTGAAGCAACTAGTTTTACAGCTCATTAAATAATTCTCTGGAAATGAACAACATTTTCTGATGTGCCCGTTTCTTTATTATCATAAGGGCAGCCTTGTGGTAAATAAATAACTTGTGGCTTTTCAGAACTGGGGTCAAACAAGTTGAGACTTCCCCAAGCTTGCCAGGGGACCTACAGGGAAAAATATAGTTCCACATGTGTTGATATGGTTCATGTGGTTGAAAGCTTGAAGTACTGTACATCGTCTCTAAAATTGCACCAATCAAGGCAACTGATCACGTATTGTGTATTCAGCTACTTAATGATACATGGCTTATGAAGTTACTAAACTTGTACTTAGTGGATAAAACTTCAAGAAGTGCAGACTTTATACAAGAATAAAACTACAAACATGTACATGTATTGAGTTTTAACAGACTGTTTGGGAGAAGTCCAAAGACATTTGCTGAATCTTTGTAAAGCATTTCATGGAAATGAAAATGGAACTTTAAATATACACAGTTTTATAAGGATCCGCACATGTACATGTACTATGGATGGTATTTTTATACCAATAAAGATTAAAATTTAAATGTTCTTATTGTTGGCTGGCAAGATGGCACTCTGTTATATGTTTGGTTAAGTATATTATGCATGTATGGTGACTTCCTGGAAATACGGTAACTTATGATTTTGCACATGATCTGGTCGCAGGTCTGTATCATCTTGGTTCTCAGTTACATACAAAGGACGAAGAAGGAGAGACGACCTGGAGATTCCAGAAATCCTCTACGAGATGTCTTCTCTTTGTTATAGTAAGCACCAGAAGAGGATTCATGAGCATTCTTTTGTTGATTTCAGTCAAATATTTTGATGAATTTTTATCAACTGGTTAAAATTATTTGCTGAATTTGACAAATCAAGCTCTTGTCCTTTGAAAGTTTATTCATGGTTTGAGTTTCCAGCAAGGGTATCAACGAGCTTGTTCCCTTCAAACAAGTGATGGAGGACTTGAGCCCAGACTCACACTTGAGCTCGGACTGTGTAGTACACTTACATGTACCTTTGACTCGCTGCTCGGAGCCTTTTGGACTCACCTTGTGACTGACTTGGACAACCTGTTAGACAGGAATCAGCATTATTTTCAAGCACAAATCAAAAACTCATTGCCAACTTATGAAACACAATAACATTTAGCACAGAACATTTCACTAAGTATGAAATGTGAGATGCTTCACAGTTGCAAGCAGAGCTGAGAAACTGAACCCAGTTCATCTACATGTACCTATAAATTTCCTAGTGGAGATACAGTGACTACATTCGCATGGATAGGTAGGGGTTTTGCTCACTTTACTGTCTTCAAATGTTCCATAAAATAACCATCTTCAGGTTTTGTCAACATTATTTATTTCAACCATATCCTCAGTACACTGTACATACACGTACATGTATCTTCTGCTCTGTGCAGGAACAAGGGATGTCATATTTTTACATGAAAAATCTCCTTTCCTAGGGAAGCACTGCATGCAAGCACAGGTTCATGGTGCAGACGCACTGAACAACACGCACTTAGCAACGCGCACTGAGCAACGCGCACTGAGCAATGCGCACTGAGCAACGTGCACTGAGCAACGCACTCTGAGCAATGCGCTCTGAGCAACGTGCACTGAGCAACGCGCACTGAGTAACGCGCAGAAGCAACATGCACTGAGCAACATGCACTGAGCAACGCGCTCTGAGCAACACGCGCTGAGCAATGCCCACTGAACAACATGCAGTGAGCAACGCGCACTGAGCAATGCGCACTGAGCAGCGTGCACTGAGCAATGCGCACTGAGCAACACGCACTTAGCAGTGCGCACTGAGCAACGCGCAATGCGCACTATGCAATGCGCACTGAGCAACATACACTGAGCAATGGGCTCTGAGTAATGCGCACTGAGCAAGATGCACTGAGCAACGCGCACTGAGCAACGCGCACTGAGCAACGCGCACTGAGCAGTGCGCACTGAGCAACGTGTACTGAGCAATGCGCACTGAGCAACGTGTAATGTGCACTTAGCAACGCGCACTGAGCAACGCCACTGAGCAGTGCACACTCAGCAACGTGCACAACTAATTTCCCCTTGAAGTGCCCTGTCGTCGAGTGTGCTGTGCTCAGTTGAAATTTTGCCAAGCAGCTTGTTTCTTCTCTTCCGTAGACCAAGGAAGGGGGTGGGAGGTTTAAGTGGTGGCAATAGTGTAGATCACCTTAAAGTGCCTCTGGGGGAGAGCTGTTGATTATTTGAGTGTCCTGGTTTTTTCCAACACCCAGCCCAATTGACTTGTTTGACAACCATGACCGTCTGCCCCACTGCCTGGCATTCGGTGCTGCCTCCTCCTTATGTCTTGACCTCCTCTTCGGTGACTACCAGTCCTATTTCTTTGCATGGGTCATGCCAGCATGGGCCAAGAGTAAGTACAGTTAACGTGCCTTTCTCAAATTAAAAAAAAGACACAGTGCTTTGTTCATTTTGGAGGGGGTTGAAAGCTACTCCTTTGTTGAACCTATCAGTGATTGTATGCACTACCACAAACACTTTTTAACCATCGCATGTAGGTATGTACTCCTTGCTAGAATAAACCTGAGAGAGAATGTTGGAACCTACCTGTAGCAACTTTGTTCTTCGGAACTATAATATAATGTGGGAGAATAAGCAAGATCTGAAACTCTGTAAACCCATCGGCGTCATGTCGTTACCAGGGTCACGGCAATGGTGTCATTTCATTTGAGTATCAGTTTGTCCGTCTTTGTCAGCAGTGAAGGAGATGTGCACCAAGAGTCTTATCACGTACGAAAGCCACATTTCTCAAAAATTTACCAACTCACAGTCTCTTGATGTAACATTTTTCATCACCTCTACGAAAGACCGAAGCAGGCGCATGTTGGATTTAATATTATTGCAGTGTGGAAAATCCTGTACTTTCTTTTACTCTGGTGGCACAACAAAGGCCTACTTGCCGGTTTGTTTCTCGCATTGTCTTCTGATATAATGGGGCAGCGCGGACATCCGGGAGTTTCACAAAAACATGGGTAGCAACCACACCGCGCTGGTGAAAACAACTGCAACGAGCATGCACATACGTACAGATCACAGAAAAGATTGTATCACCCGATCCTCGGACTAGCTGGTGCGTGCGTACGTCGGCAAGGTTGCTGTTTTCACCGGCGCAGTACCTGTCATTTTACGAGAATCCTGGATGTCCGCACGGCCCCATAAATTTGTTCCCCTTTTCATGTGTGTGTGTGCATTCAGTATTGATTGGTACCATTGTGACGATAGAGATTGCTGTCGACTGTTTCCCCTTCTTTGCATGCATCACCTGCAAATCGCGGCTGTTAGCAAATGGCATAGGATTCTTGTATCTGTCAGGCTGGTATGTATAAAGTGCAGTTAGTGTGTTTAATTATAAAATTGTGGAAAAAATTAAGGTTGACCGCACACATGTCTGGAAAGTAGGTCCAGTTTTTGGCTTTGTGCAGTTGCTCTGGAACTGAAGAAGGATAAGGCGAGTCATTTTTAAATACTTGAATTTTAATAATTCAACTTTTTCAGCTTTTCATGCGATCAAATTGTTGAGTTGTACCAAGTTCCCACAGAAACAGAAACAAAACGTACATGTTTGAAAAAGTAAACAGTGGAAAACTTGAAGGAAACATCATTCTCGGCCTTATTGTTGGATGTGTGCATTAGCCCTAACAGTCTTCAGTTCCTATGGGAGGATTGGGGACTGCTACGGCTATGCTGCATTAAAGTTTGCCCAGTAATAGCTTGAAAGACATTTATGCTTTTAGAATTAAATCTTTTGAATCCAAAAATGTTTCTCTTCTTTGTCCCATTTATTTTAACCTTCCTCATAATCAATTTTTAAGATGAATGTATTTGAATATACAGTGATCAGTCAAATAGTTGAATAATTGGGTCAGCCCTAATGCCGCAACCCTTTGCACCAAATATTTTCAATCGTACCAAAAGAATTTGTTCTATCTGTCTCTCCTTTGGATTGTGAGTGTGTATTTTTGGTAAAACAAATGGTTAAGTGGAAAGCTTGTTGGTTTTGATTAATGCACAAGCTAGATGTAAATTTATGGCCATGCTGGCATTGTTTATAACAAACGTTGTGTAAAGTCAACAGATTAGGCTTCAGAAGAACTCTTGTCCATAAGGCATGCACTTGACCCCCCCATAAACTGGTATCACAGGCCACAAGGAAGGCAGAAATCACAGTCTGGCTGCAGGATGAGTATCAGTTTTATCAGTTATGTCAACACTACATTAAACTTTGGCCTCTGAGTTCCACACTGAATTGGGCATCAAGAAATGATCTGTAGTTAAACTGTTCTTCCCTCTGCCTGTCTCCCTCCTTGGTATTCCAGGTTTGTCTTGTTGATATTAATCAGCATTGGATGTGAGAATAGAGAGGCGAAAGGCCAGGTTTGTATAATACGTATCCAAAGAAATGTTTTCCAAGTTTGTAGCTGCAACAATTTTAGTTATCATACTTAAAGTTAAACTCAATTTTGTATATTTCAGTTTGTGGTTTTTTTTCTTCTTGGGCTACGGAGTCCATCTAATATGCAGTTTTTAAGCACACAAAAACATTTCATTGTCAGAGATAGATTTTTAATGTATTTCCCATTTGCAGTTGGCACAGGTCCCTTGTCATGAAAGATTTTTATCACACTTAACTTGTCATGTTGCTGGTGCTATTCATTCATTGTCTATTTTACTTATCAGGAGATTGATGTAGTTATTAACTTATCTATTTAATTCTAACTATTGGTTATACAGTAGACGGATGCAAAGCGCCAGTTTTATTAAAGTGGCTGTAATCACCTGACAGTTAGTCATCGGCGTTCAATAGAATCTAATGAAAATCATTTACCATCTGGAAATTAACCCAAAATGTCCAAAATCTAAGAAATATGAAATGCCATTGCACACTTTGTTGAGACACTTTAAAGGAAATCAAAGCCTCAAGCGTCATGGCTAGATGTGTCCCTTTCTCAATCCTACAAAGTCTTCGGAAACATTCAGGTTGATTTTGGAATATGGAAGATTTGGCAGCTGAAGTCTACCACCATCCGATTTGTTCTTGTGGTATTTTTGTTCAGTTAAATTAGCATTTAAATAATTGTATATCTTTTTTAAAATGTACTTGATGGGTTACTTACGGCAAGTGGTATGGTACCTTCATCCACTTAGCTTTGTTCCTTGCAGGTTCCAGTCTTGGTACCACAGATTCCTGTGTTGATCTGTCTCTTTCTGCTGGTCTTTTACTTCTTGGGTATGTTCATCTTCATTCTCATCCAACGACGGAGGGGAATAACGCCAACGGTATGGATAATTTGAATGCATTTTTTAATTTGGACGATGCATCAGAACGGGCTACTTGAGCACCTGATTATTCCTGTCCAGAACCCGTTCAACATAGTGGAACTGGGCACTTGTAACCACTGGCAACTCTCCAACAGTGAAAGTGGAAAGGTTGTGCAAAGTTTTTTATTGAGAGATTTCAACATAAAAACGACTACACTGTATAAGTGGATTTTGGTAATTACACAGCACTGATGCTTTATGTTACGAGGCATCTAGTTCCTGTACTACAATAAATGCACACCCCTAGTGCTCTTCAGCTGAGAGAAATTTCTATTAAGCTTCGCTCTACCGCTCGCTCAGAAACACCTTGACATTGTAAATTCTGCATTGAAGGTCCAGTGTTGTAGTCAAGACCATCACAAGACCAAACATACGGGCAACACACAACTAGTCACCAACGGAGAGGGTGAACGATGGCAGAGGATTATCTGTTGGAGTTCCGTACAACAGCTTAGGACTTGAATTCAGACTGGCAACCATGTGTTGGCCTTGAGCTTGGGACTTGAATTCAAACTGGCGGCCCTGTGTTGGCCTTGAGCTTAGGACTTGAATTCAGACTGGCAGCCATGTGTTGGCCTTGAGTTTGGGACTTGAATTCAGACTGGCAACCATGTGTTGGCCTCTTGTCTGATAACGGTCTCGAGGGGACTCGTTGACAACACCAGTTAAGTCTGTGCAACCAGTTCACCCAGTGTGAATTGCTAAAATGAAACCTGGTGTGCTACATCAACAGTCAGCCCTATCAAATTAGCTTGAAAGTTTAATGTAATTAGTCTTTTCTTTATTACTCCAGAGTCAGGAGAGATTGTACAAGACCCATCAGGCGATATATGTCAGAAATCTCCTCAACAAACCCAGAGAAGTGTAAGTAGCACCTCGACAACATCTGATATTGGCAAGTGTAGTAATTGGAGTATAATGCCTTGCTGAGGGACACTTAAAATGGACCATGGGCATCTTGAGAGTCTGTCACCTCTAACATAGAGTGAAGGCTGAACGCCAACGCTCGGTATTGCTAATACACTAAAAATCTACCTGCTCATTTGGATTCGTACTCTGCCCAGGCATGTTATACATTGAAGACAGCAGTGGCAGGCTACAGTACATTGGACTTGAAAGTTGATTGTGTGAATTGGAGTGGAAAATCTTTAGGAAGAATTCACATTCACGTTTCATAAGGCGTGCACGTGTACTCCCACTTTGGGTGTAAAAATGTTTTCCCACCTTTGTGAAAAGGCATGAAAAATGTTTTCCCACTGATGTGAAAGGTGTGCAGAGTGTTTTCCCACTGATGTGAAAAGGCATGAAATTTTTTTCTGCTTGTGTGAAAAAGTGTGAAAATATTTTCCCAGAGTTGGAGACTTTTTGCATTTTGTGAAAAGAAAGTGAATTTACAAGAGAAAACTTGTGAAAAGAATTTCCCATTCCCCTGTAGGTCAACATTCAGTTGCAACAAAGTGTGAATAATTTGTCTTATCTGCCATGTTGTCTCTGCAGCGTGTACACAGGTTGGCGCGCTAAACTTGCCAAGTATTACAAGCCACATCCTGGCTTCATCTACCCCACCAGGGTGCTCATGCCGTGCTTTGTCAGCATAATTGCCCTTTACCAGGTATGATTACCTGTTTTCCTGCACCTGAAATATAAAAATTCATCCCAAGAAGAGTCCAATTGAAGTTAACGTCACCTCTTCTGCATTTGAATCACTAGCCATTTTTTTGGATTATTATTTTTGTATTCGGCATTCTTCAAGACGAAGGACAGAGGAACAGAAGACAAAATATTTAATGCAGACACACTGAAATCACGAACAAAAACATGGAACTGAAAAAAAGATCAGGAAAAGGCTTTTCTTTCCAAAGCCAAAAGCCTCACATAAATATGCACTCACCCGTACAAAAATAAATTAATTGCAAAAGGAAGAATTGATTAATTCAATGGCAAATAAATTGCTCACAAAGAACAAACGAAATGAGTGACTATATTACAATAATTACAGTAACAATTTTTAGATTAAAACAAATTTGTTAAAAATGAAGACATAAAAACTGAAAAATAATAAAATTGATCACCGATAAAAGAGGACTATCAGTAGGACGTTATGTCCTCAAGAAAAATCCTAGGTTCCAAAATCCCAAAGTGTACGTTTTGTGTGGGATTTGTGAAATGCAAGTTACAGCCACTTTTTTTTTTTACTTTTTCTTTTTGGCAGATTGCATTTTGGCTCATACCCCTGGGACTCAACTTAATTGATGCGGCCTATGGTCTGGCAGTGAAGCTAGCGCAGCAGAATTTTCCCAATCCCAATGCCACCATTTACAATGAGACCCTGGAAGACATCATGAACAAGCTGGATCAGGCCCACACCGGGCTTACCGGTTGGTGCCTGTGTTTCTTTTTATTTCTCACCTAAACCCTTCCCCAAACAACCTTCCAACATTGCTGTAGACTATTTTCCAAGTTTAGTTGACAATCTGGTTTATTGCATGCTCAGCAAGAACTTGGTACACTTGGTGCATTTATGAAGAAATTCAAGAAAAAACCCTCCCGGTATGTAGTTGCTGTCCCTCCCTTGAATATATGTGAGCTTCAAAGAGAAAACAAAGATAATTAACAGCACATTTAATAAAGATCTTTTTATCGTTACACTCTCCTACTGACCTCAGTCTAAAAAGAATGAAAAGGCACGCCGGGAGATGTGTTGGTATTCCCGCTATAATTTGTGCGTAATAACCCATTGTAAATTTTAGATGAATAACCCATATAAAAGGCTCCATTATTTGCTTGAAAATGCCCTTGACTGAATAAAGATTTCAAATGATACCTTACCCAACTGAATACATCTGAACCCCCTAGGATGTATGATGATTGCTGATTTGAAACCCTGTTCCGAATTCTGTTAAATTGTATAAACCGAGGCGCTAAGCGTGGCCTTTTGATGAAGCGCGCCCTCACGTGACAGCCATGAAATCGCGGCACTGCTGCAACAATTGCACAATTTTTTCATTAATCAAGGGCCGATTGAAACTTGAAATAAGCACATTAGTGTTGTCAAAAGAATGGTGCCAAAATAATAGAAAAGTGCATCAGCATATAAGAAGCTGGGGTACCTTTCAAATGCAATTATTCAGTGGAACCTCCTTTGTTCTTGCCTTTGTTTTTGTCAGCAATTGTAGGCAGCAGTGACAGCTGAATTTCTCCTATAAATGAACCAGACTTGCTTAAATCTATAGACAGTATAGCTGGCTTGCAAAGGGGTGATAATAAATAATAATCAATAAAACCAAATAAATACGGCCTAACGGCTCTGTTTCTTTCGCAGTATGCTGGTGGATTGCTGGAGTTATGTCAGTGTGCGTTGTACCTCTTTTGTACATTCCGCACATCCTTAAGAACTACAGGCAAGTATCTGGTAACTTTGAATCCACCGACTCATCCCTGTTAAACTGTTTGGACGCATTCGTGAATTTCCAACAAAGCATTCCACAAATATCAAATTTCTGTAAGTTTTCAGGATCAAATTTTCAATGTAGCAGAGCTGTCATTTGATAACTCACTGCCACTAAGTATTGTTTGCCAACTTTGTTGTCACGATAATGTCTGTAGGTACCAGCTTATGTAATTTGCCCTTGTTATCAGGAAGCATTTGCTGAGCATGTGGTCAGGCCAATACAACTTGCCAACCAGTGTCACACTGACGTCCACAGATTCTATTGTGAGTAACACTGAATGAGATGAATAATTATGATGATGATAACCTGGGGCCAATTTCATAGTGCTGCTTAAGCGAAAAATTTGTTTAAGCATGAAAATACTTGCTTGACAAATCAGGTTACCAGCCAAAACTTCTTGTGATATATATTGTTTTAGAATGGTATTCACCTGTCTTTTCGTTAACATGACAATCACACAGAGTTTGAGCTGGTAACTTTTGTTTATTAAGCAAGTTTTTTTTGTGCTTAAACAAATTCTGTGATTAAGCAAGGCTATGAAACTAGCCGCTGGTAAGCTCCAAGAATAGTCTGCATATTCAGCTACTTCTCCTCACACTTACTGGTATAAATGTGACTGCGTTCAATGTGACACTCAGGTACACTCAGGTTGCTTGAGGAAGTATCCCACAATACAATGCAAAAGCGGGGCAGCTTAGTTGAACGAGTTGAATGAAAGTTGATGGTGTTTTACATTGTTCAAAATCAAGAAATTAATTATATGAAACATTTGAATACGAACAGAACGCCTAAATACTGTGATGTTACATTATATTATGTTGATATGTTATGAATGTGTGTGTAAAGCAAACAAGAATAATTTCCCCTTTTTCTGGACAATATAAAGAATTGCATTGCATTGCATTCGTTTCATTTTGTTGTCTTGGCTTAATCCAGTGACTTGTGAAATAAAGGCCACATTTGTAGGCCTATGGATGGATGTCCATTGTTTTGACAGTTCAAATTTGTCATACTAATACATCTTCTTTCCATGACATGAGATCGAGTTTGCCACAAGATCATTCGATTATCAGCACAATATTTCATGCTCGCGTAAACCTATGACTGCACCGAGGGTAAACGCAAGGGAAGAAATCAAATGTGCAGAACATTATCTAAACGTAGCCATGGTGTTTTTAATCAGATTACAAGAGCTAAAGTGGAGTCCACCAGAGTTCCATGAAAGTCTATCACAATTTATCCATTTTAAAGCACGTCACAAGCTTTTAAATGTTGAATCATGACAGAAGCATTTTTTGTCATTATTTACCCAGCAACTTGTGACTGGACTCCGGAAAAGGTCTTGTCCCCTTGTATAATTCCCTCAGCTCAATTTCTGGCCCCCTATCCTGTTAAAAGCCTGAATGTCAGGTCATGCTTCCCACGATTGCAAATGCTACATTCGTAGCCAGGCACATGTCCAACCTATTTGAAGTCCCAGAGGAAATACTTAGTCAGAATTTTGCAGTTCCCTAATCTCATTGTCTCTGTTACATAGCATGATCAAGGCTTTAGCATTCGATTGGTTGGACCCATTTGTAGGAGAGATTCAGCGTACATGATGCTGTAAAATGTGTCCAGTTTACATTTGGGTGCCTAATCGTTTACAGGAACAGAAAAGCTTACACTGTTACCTAGTTCATGCATTACAAATTTCCAAGGTTTAAGGTTGTCTCATGTCAGCTTTCTGAAAGTGGCACTGATGTTTATACTCGGCTGAAACTTACCTTGCAGATTTTGCCTGCTGTTTGATGTGATTTTGTTTGCTGGTTCCACAGGTTGGCAGCATGAAGTACATCGGGTTCCAGGTGGCCGTTTTCATTGCAGGTGAGCATACAGCAAATAGTCTCAGTGGATCTTAACTTCTCCGTTTGAATTGATAAAGGTTTTAACACTTGACTGAATGTCATTTACACTCATTCAATCAGCACACACATAATCAGGGAGGTTTTACTGGCGATAGGAGAGCCAAGCAGATTGTTACTGAGCCCGCTGTTATATTCTCAGAGTTTGCAACCAGTCTTGCCAAGCACTCTTGGACAGATCTTTTACATCGTTTAGCCAACCCCTGAGACTTTCCTTTGGTGCACCTTCAGAACCTGCCCCTGCCCACAGCTGCCAAAGATGTAGAGTAATCCGAAAAGACAACATAACTGTGGTGGCACTGCACTCATGCACATTCCCAAACTGCAAGGTGCTCATGCATGTCACAAATCACAGCACCCTAATGGTCCAACAGGTGTGTGAGTTGCGCAAGTTCCATCTATTCCCAAGTGTTGTGCCACCATAGTTCTGACTTCAAATTCTGGTCGCTGAATTAAAATTATAGGTTCTGCTGTCGGAAGATATCAGAATTCTTTCAGATTTCAAATACAGGTGGCCCTGCGTAAATTATGCGTATGTTCACATGCTTTGAAATTTTCCTGTGAAGTTTGTCAGACAACACTTGATCCCTGACATGTGGGCCGGTCATCCTGGGCCTGTACCGCATCTGTGATCTTGTCGATGACTTGACTCACCTAGAATTTCATTTCTGTCTTGGACACAGGTTGCATGTTCGTCCAAGGATTCCTCACTTTTCTTTTAATAGCTTTGACATTCTTTGGGCTCTTCAGCTCATGGTTCTTTGAGGAGTTTTTTGTCAATTCTGTTGTGGAAATTATAATGTAAGTTTCTCTTCTTTTCATTGTTTTCTGCAAATTCTCCTGAAAGGTTTTTTATTTTTGGGGGGGGGTGTTGTAACTTTCTTTTTAAATGTGTTATTCCAGTTTTCAGCCCAAACAGGTTCCTTACCTCTGTTTCAGATTGGGGTATACAAATGACTCAAATTATGAAGTAAAATTATAATCAAGCATGCAATTTTATTGCTTCCAATGGCTTCTAATCAAACAAAAATAACCTAGAATATGACAAAAGATGTGTTTTAGTGACATGCCCCGAAAGAAGAAAATCAAATTGAAGGATGGAATTGCTGTGACTGTCCTGACTGTGGTGAAGTCTCTGCGACCAGGACTTGAAAGTTTTTGTATTGGCCCTTACCTACAGACCATCGATAATTGTTGGTACGTTGGTGATGTCAAGCCAGGGAATCGTCGTCAAAAAGTTCTTCACTCAAGACAAGCTCAAGCCAGATGATGCTGATAAACCCCTGAGCCTGCAGCACAGGTGAGGTTTATCTGTTGCCAGGGTCGAAAACACTTAATAATTGAAAGTCACGAGTATAAAGGGTTGCAGAGTGGCAAAGGAATGAGTTTGTCAGAGTTGAAAAGCTCATGAGTAACCTTGAGACCGGATGACTCATGATGGGCTCAACTTTAACAATGTTTCTGCTGTCATTGTCATTTTGTCAGAAAATCACCGGCCTGAAGCAGTACTTTCGAATGTTGTTTATGCTTGTGAATGTTGGTTATATGCACAGATTGGATTTGCTAACCAGAGCATATGTGGGTGGATTGAGAGTCTTAGAAGTCACAGTTTGCCTGTTCATGGAACAGACTCCAGTCCAGTGTTAGAGTTTTGTCCACACAAGTAATTTTACAAGTTCCTTCACAAGGCGAAGTCATAAGCGATAACATGAGCAATAACAAAAGAATGCTTTTGTCACCCTTTCATTTGAATAGTTTGTGAACTGGCTTTAGACTTGTGAGGGACATTTCATAGCCTTACAGGGACTTGCAGGGACGCCTGTTGGCTATATAGCACTGTTTCACTCCCTCGTTTCAAACTTTTATAAAGCATTTTAAACAATCGTTTCTGAGACTGGAACAAAATGAGGACGTGACATAAGGATCCACTGTATTTCTTACCACTTTTGAATTTAAAGGTATCTCTACCCCAGTAAACCCTGTGTTTTTTACTCAAGATTTTTTATCTTGGGAAGAGATATCCTTTCAACCACTTTCTGGTCAATGAACAAGTTTGGCGATTTACAGTTTCTGTATATTGCATTTTTAGTCCGTTTCCTTTTCTGTCGTTAGGATAATTTATTTAGATGTGACTTAGCAGATGAAACATTATTGAAATACCTGAGAAAAATTTTAAAATGCTTTCATTTTTGTCAATTCAGTTTACCCAAACTGCAAAAAACAGCCTGTGGACATGGCCATGAAATCTGTTGCTGTCTTCGATGTACATATAGCTTGCTGATTTTGTTTAATTTCTTCTCTAAAACTATAAACATCTTACAGTTTCTTCGTCAGGAAAGTTGCGCAGAATTTCTAACGTTGGTTTCTTGTACCTGGTCCAAAGATTTGAAGTCGGTTCCTGACATGATTGATGAGTACTCTCTCATCCATGGTTCTTGTGTAAAGCCCAAATTGAAAATTTCATTAACCACATTTCGTTGAAAGGGGAAAGTTTCATATTAGGTCACTGTTTAACTCATAATTTGAGATTTCATAAATACATACAGGAGCAATCACTGGTCTCAAACTGCTGACGGCTGTTTCATTTCGGATTTTGAGGTGGGCAAAGAAGTATCTGCAGCCATTGCATTATCCTTTCTGCCATCCATTCCCATCTTGTTTCCTCGCACTCCGCAGAGCGTGGTTTCTTCTCTACTCCTATGTGACACTCTTCCTGAATCTTTTGTATGGCCTGATCTTTGCTGTCCTCCGCATTGTGATAGGGGTCATCATTTCTGTGATTCTGCTGCCACGCATCGATCGGCCCATCTGGGCACCTGGTGTAGGAGATAAAGATCTAGGTAGGCCAACCAGAAATGCGAGGGGGGCGAGGGGGAAGTGCTGTGAATTTCGAGCAATTGTGTTCGCTCGACTTTTTTATCATATACTCAAAAAAGACAGCTTCATATTGAATGAAAAGCATGGATTCCTAATTTTTTGTCATGTAAAATATTCCCAATTGGTTTTTGTTTTGTTTTTCTGTTGGATTTTTTATTTGATTTGTTTGGTAGTTGTTGGATTTTACTTTCTGGGTGAAATTTCAAAAACGAAATTTATTTTTTGAACGTGACAATTTCTGTATACTGTGCTTCCCAATGCCATGCTGTTAGTTGTCAACATCTGGCTGTATCGCTATATCGCTTGTGAAAAAAACATGATGCAACCTGCACTGAAGCAGGTTGAGTTTGAATTTTGTATCTTGGGGGCTACAGCAGTGGATTTTCCATTTTCCAGCAAAGTGATGAGCCATAGTTATAGCTATCCTTTTTGATGTTGCCAGGTTCCCGTGGAAGAAACGACTTGAGTGTTCATCAGTCATATATCTCCAATAACGTCAAAGTCTTGTTTCACTTGTCTTTATTTCTGGTCTGCAAAGTGTACGTGCTGTATGCAGGTAACTTGTACACTGAGAACGCACACAGCAACCCGATTCTGGTCATGTTCTGCCACCTGATGGTCTTTGACATCCTGAATCCAAAACGGAAACAGCTGAGAATGTCGCAACTCCACCGCCAAATGTCCGACAAGGGGCTGATCAACAGTCAGGCACCTAGTTACACTGATTTGGAGAGCACCTCAACAGAAACAGGTGAAATAGTTACAAGATGACTTCAGTGTAGTACGTCAGTGTCAGTACTGGTATACATGCACGTCTCAGCATATCTGCCCAACAGGGATGCAGTAGTTCCCACATAGAATCTAGGACCAGCTCGTGGAGATGCTGAGCAGAGAATTGGACGAAGCTTTATACTAGAAACTAGTTGCCATGCAGAAACAGGTTACCGGCCAAAATATCATCAATAATTTTGTTATATGTGTGACCGGCAAGACTTTGTGCGCTGCCTGGCACTATAACTTGCGCCACCACTAGTTCACACATTTTTAGCGCACAGAGTGCGTCGCAGTGTTTTTCTCATGTGCATATCTATTTTAAATTTTGTAAAGATTTTCACCACCTTTGGGGACGATTTGCTACTTACAGTGCTGGTGCTGCATCTTCTAGGGCCTGACGTTTCTGTAGTTTTTTGTTGCATGTATAAAACTGTATAGTCACTCAGCATGTGAGTTTGTAGCGTTAACACATTTTACTTTTTGTCAGGCTACCTAAGCTGTTGGACGCTGAGCTTGCATTGGCATCTTTATAACTTCGAAACTTCATTGAAAAAAAAAACAAAGCAAAATTGTTTCAAAATTCCCACAGAGCGCCCCCACCTCTTGAGGTTCTTCCGTTGGCACCTAGCCTACACGCTGATCAACAATCCCTCAGTGATCAGGCTGCGTAAGAGCACTGCCGTCTTGCCTGACCAGGAGGTGATGATCTCGGAAGGGGAGGCCAGGTTCGTCAACGCCGGGAAGGGCAACAGAGGGCATCAGATGCTGCCGCACATGATGGAGGTGAGCGCGCTGTGGTTGTCTTAGGATGGCAAATTCACAAAGGTGTCGGTGCGTTAGTAATGACAGACCCATTGGAAGGATTTCAACTGGGTTGGGGAGGTGTTGTGGGTACTGAAAGAGTGATCCAATTTAATTGACAGGAATACTGCTTCAAGATGTGGATCTTTCAAAGTTTTGATGCCAGGTACATGCCCAGCCTAGAATTCACTTCAGGCCCAGTTTGAGAATTGTCAGTGGATTAAGAGCTCATTCACTGCTCGTATGAAGCTGCTTCTGAAATAAGCCTTCTTTGAGTTTTTTCCGTTCAAAAAGTTAAGCCTGAAAATTCTCAATGTAAACAAACTTGCAACTGAAAAATTTTCAGATAACAAATTAAGGGTTTAAACAAGCGGAACTTTAAATTTTCACTATTTCACTGAAGCTAGAAGGATCTGTAAGGTAGTGTCTCGTAAATTGCAACAATTGGAACATTCCATTTGGAACGTTCCGCAGGGAACATGACACTCCCTGTGGAACGCTGCCTTGGAATGGTCTATCATGAGGTGGATTCTCTTTTAAATGTCTAGTGTCCTTTGATTTCCTGGTTTATCTTAGCAGCAGGGACTGTGACATTATCAGCTCAATCTATGAACACTGCAGGTGGATAATAGAGTGTACCAGATCGACCAATGTATACAGTGTTGGTCACTCACTTTTTGGTCACTGAGTTTACAGACAACTTCACAGAAGCAGGAACTGCACTAACTCGGTCATTTGGCGCCAATATAAGTGATTAAAACTGGAAAATGTTGTTTCAAAACTTCACCAAAATTCAGCAGTAGTGATTTACTTTATGGAGGTCGTTGTGTGTTGAGAAACCGTAGGCATGCCTTTAAGTGCTCAGTCTGGTGATGGTGATTGTTCACTGCTGTGGTTTGGCAATCATGAAATCCCCCAGTGTCGGTACAGTTGCTGATTAAGAGAGATGCTCAAAATCCTGGTATCACCGAGCTGTAAACCTGAGTTCAGGCAGCTGAAATCGAGTTTTCCAGTAAATGAGAATTCAGGGCATGACCCAAAATGCACTCCTCCTGAAATGCTGCAATGCTCCAGTGGAATGCTTGTGATCCAGTTGGAATAGTCCTACAGAATGCAAATGTCCCCAACTTTCTTTTGAGATGTTTCCTAATCATGGTAAAGGAGGTATAAACCTGCCGTGCAAACTTACATTAAAAATAGGTGTGATAAATACAAGTGTGCCGGAGACTGCAAGTGATCAGTATCCATTGTGTGCTAGGTGATGAAGCGCCAGAACAGTGGCCTTCGAGACATGTCTGAAGTGGCCCCAACAGTAACCAGGCCATCTGTGAATGCAGTTGATCCGGAACTGATCGTCATTGAGGATCTGCCAGCCATTCCGCAGTCCCCAGGAAACAGCAGTCTTCTCGTCTCACCTCTGTTGCCTATTGAAGACTCACAGCTGCAGTCAGGTCCCACAAGTGAACCGGGAAATCCAGCCAAGCCTGCCAGAGGCGAGAAAGGACTCCATACTGCAGACTCTGAAAGTACTGCCTAAGTGTACCCCTTTCTCCCAGCACCTGTTGCTGGTTGTATATCTCAATGTGTGTTGTAGCTTCGGAAACCAAGTTTCAGGCATAAATTGTTCAAAGGCAAGGGTGCAACTAGGCTCCGACAGAGGCCCATGCGCCCCCCCTCCCCCAGATGCCCCCGTGTGAAATTTCGAAACGTATACATGGACAACTTGTGTACAAGCAAAATCCTGTATGCAGTTCCAAGTCCCCTCAGCAATTTCACCCTAGTTGTGCCCTTGTCCAAAGGCTTCAGGTGTCCTATGATTCATACATACTCAGGTCAGTGTGTGCATTGTGTGGTCATTGCTTTAGATGTGTATCACAGCCGATGTATGTTTGACGATTGCTATGTGCCAGCAATAATATCTGATCTGTAAGATTGATTAATTTCTCCACTAAGAACTCTGAAAATAAATTGATGGTTTGAAGTTGTGGTAGAGGTAAATAAAAGTGCACTTTTAAAAATCATTTGTATATTTCAAAGTAACTCACTGTCTCAACATTCAACTTTTGTGAGCAGACAGTTGGCGATAGTACCTAGATTATTTTGCCAAGGAAATCAAGAAGTATCTTATTTAGTGAATTTTATTATGCCTAACATTCACTGTTACATTTGCCAAACGGCATTATAGCTTCATTACAAGATTGTGCCGAAGCAAAGAAATGGATCTTTGTAAGTACCAAGATTCATCTTTTCTGCAAATCAAAATGCTGCCATCCAATCCGCTCTGAGTGGGAACAAAAGAGGGCGTGTGTTTAATTCAAATTGACAGTCCTTTGGTACCAACTCGCCTTATAGGCATGCAAGTTTATGCACGTTGACACGGAGCACGCTGAGTAAGTGCAACAGATTTATTCTGGAATGTAGAATGCACGCTGAACACTTGCAGGAACCCAGTTGGACAACTTCGTACCAGTCTGTTGTCCTTTTGCCAGTGAGGGCGCACTTCAACTCAGTGGGGTTATCATTGACTATTTTCCAATATTCCAAATATCATTATAGTGATATATCAGTGACATTGACTTCCGTTGTTCATGATCATGGGAAAAACTCTTGTCATGTTTTTCCACAGCACGTGATAGTTGTCTTCTCATTCACTTGCCAACAAAAAAAGCTTGTTTGTGCATGTAAAGTAGGCTAATGTATTTGTTGCTATTTGCTACTTGTTGATGGCCTCATAGAATTTCCCAACATCTCAAACACGCAAACTGAAATAGTGATTTGTGTAATAAGAATGGCACAGGTAAAGAAAAGGTTTCTCTTGTCATTGGTCTTGATTTGAAAGGAATGAGATGTTCACTTACTTGATTCTGATATGAAGTCATTATTTGTATATTTTACATGACATTGCATTGTGGGATGTTTTATTATTCAGTATACATTATATACCAACCTTTTTAATATCATATTTTTATCAGTAAAAAGAACAGGAGCCAGTTTCAAAGATTGGTCATTTTGCTTAACCAACAGAGTAAATTGAGGCATCCTTGAGTAATTTTTGGAAAAGTGACAGTACTTTGATATATTTAATAATCATGTTGATGAAAATTTATTGATATACATGTACTCATTCTTATGAAATGATAATTAAAGATATACTAATACGCCAGAGGTTTAGGTAATAAAAAAAACCACATTTGTGCTATTAAAACATTAATGCTAAGACAAGATTCAAGGGTCACAACTTTTCAGTATTCTTGTTATCAATGGGGAGTTTCCCTTATGAATTGAACATTAATATATTGCTCCAGTTTGGTTCGGCACAAATATTCATGAGAGATTTGTATTTTCATTGTCAGCGACCGACCCAAAAACCTGTTTATCCTCTATTACGAAATTAGAATGGAGATGCACAGACAAACTGCAGCTCAAACTAAATAGGAATTATACACCATCTTTCTGTGACTTCAAATGAAGGTTTTTTGACGTGTCTTGTCTTAAGCAGAGTCTAGTGACCCTGTAGCCTCTTGTAGGTAATGCAGTGCTACGGCCTGAGAACACCAGCCAAATGTGCAGGTATCAACGTAAAACCACGTTGCTGTGTATTTATATACTTGGGCTGTTTTTGAAGGGTGCTCCCAGTCTGTACCGCTACTGTGTGTTCGTCCATTTTAACCAATCTTACTGATTTCCTTAACAAATTGTCTGCAGATTTGTCAAAGGTATTTTTGTTCACTGAGTTATATCCTACACAAGAAAGGTGAGTACCAAACATCCATTGTTTTAACCAGTTTCAAAGATGGCTAACCAAGGCTTTGCGATTTACAAATTTACAAAAGATATTTGTTTATCACTCAGTGCCCATGAAGGAGTCTTCACTGTGCTAATACCGTGACGGGATGCGGTTCAACTCGCGCGTAGGATTTTCTATAATTTCCTTCTAGAAAAAAAATTTTTCTAGTTGGACTCTTGGTAATATCTCAACAATATGCTGAAATCCACTCCTTGGTCTCCATTTTTTTTTTGAATTGCCTCCTTCATGTATAGAGAACCAAAGTGAATATGTCATCTGCACAATTATCTGAAAGTAAATGGCATCAGCTCAAGAACCAGCACGTGAACCGACGCGCGTGTACTCCATTCGTTTGCACTACACTTTCTGGCTTAAATGACGTCACAATTCAGTAATCAACGTCTCGCACCCACAAAGGTGTGGGATATTTTACCAATCAACAGAACATAAGACCAAATGTATTCTATAATTTGTTGCAGCAAAAGAAATTCAACATTCATCCCTGAAAACTGCACCTGCAATGAAACGGTGGAAAAAAGGTCAAGTACTTGGACCTGTTCAATTTAATACCTGAATATGTACCCAGTTGCATTGTCCATACATTTTTACGGCTTTGCCAAATATTCCTGCATTTATTTTTGTGTTTGCAGTAGGGCAGCTATGAAAAATGAGCTAGTTCATAGTTATACACATAATCGGGGCAGTAAATTGTAGCATCTCCCTCAAAATGACCTGCATGGAGGTTTGTATGGCCTAAAATAAACTTACAAGTATAAACTGAAAGAAATGTATCGTACGTGCACTGAAGTTCCATACATTCTTTAGCAAGATGTTTACCATCTTGAAGTAAGGTGCTATCCATTCTAATTCTGCCCTGCTAAACTTTGCATAGCCTTTTTACAAGCTCATTTCAACAGGAAGTGAAATTACAGACCCATTTTTTAAGTAACCAGCTTGAGTACTTGATACAGAATGGTAACCATCTTTTCTGCTTGGTTTCTTCAGTTTGAAGTGAAGTGCCTATCCTCCAGTGGTAGAACTCTTGTCAGTAGCTCTTTGGAAGAAGTTGCCGGAAGTGGGAAGCAGCAAGAAGCATTATACACAGCGTCGCAGGGCACATGCACTAACAGCGATCACAGCTTTTTCTACAATTAGACCGCATGTAACGCGGATTAGTCTCACACTGTCCATCAGCAGCCCACATGATGCAGTCAACCCTTGTGTCAAAGCATATGGGATTGACTGCGTGGGTGCATAGTAAGCAAGGACAGGGGACGGTCACAGAGGGACAGAAAGAAAACAAAGTAAGTTATGACATTCTTGGCAGTGATTTACTGACTGGAAAAGAATTATTGATCAGTTTGATTTGTAGTTTGGACAACTGGAGCCATGGCCTCAGCTGCCGAAATTTGGGTAGTGAAGGAAAAAATTGGCATTGTGGGAGACTTGTGGCAGCAAAATCTGGTCTAATGTGTCAAGTCCAGTGCTGTTTGGGTCCTTTTGAGCATGCAGCCACTAGCTCAAATGTCATGCAAACAGTAGAAAAAGCTGGTATGTTTGCCCATTGCCAACAGAAGTGGCTAAAAAGTCCCCTGATACTTTTTTTATGAGAGTGCTACATCATTTTGAGCAAGACCTGCCATGATGTTGAGTGTTTTATCAGCAGTCAACTCTGAAAGCCACCAATTAGATATGTGAGTGCATGTGACTTGCTATTTTCACATGCATTTCCAATTGCAGGAATTTGTTGCAATTAAAGGGACGTTTTAGAAATTGATGGATATTTCAAAGTCGTTTTAGGCAAAATTGCACAGCAAGATTAACTTAACATGTGGTTTCAATTTTGTAGAGTTGTAACTTATTTCTGAAAATGCCGTCAGCAACAATCTATACTTACAGTCGCAATGGTCACAGCTGACAGGGCAGTTTGGCAGCATCCACTGTGGATTGGCAGAACACTCCCCTTGAGAGGCCCAAGATGCACAGTTCTCATTGGTGTCTTGACAAGCTGTACATAATAACCAAAATCAAGTTTCCACAGCGACCACATTCAAGGTTCCATGGCAACCAAATTTTCTGTGACAACGAATAGAACCTCTCCAAAGCAACTTGTCAGATTTCCATGGTAACTAAACCATCGCTTGAGCATCCGTGACAAAGTTACTATTTTCAACCTACAAAAAATTTCTTGAGCTCTGCTTCACACAGACAGCTCTTGTATGTTCCGCCCACATGGCATTTAGTTCCATTTTAAGAGCTGCTATAAAACTCTGTCACCTCAGGTAATGGTAGTCCCTCTACATTTGGCCTGTTTTATGACAACAAAGTGCTCCTATGCAGCATTCAAAAGATCAGAAAGAGCAGGCTCGAATAGATTGTATGGTATTGAAATAATTTTGTCCTCCATACTTCCGTGCACTCCACAGACATACATATCTTCCTCATTCACACAGACTCTTTACTGAAACTTCCCTCACTGTATTTCGCCACTTTTTGTCACACCTCAAGCATCCTGAGACTCTCTCAAGCATAATACTCCTTGTCACACTGCCTTGGGGTGTCCGATTTTGTCTTGTGGAAACCAACAGGGGTAAAGAAGACGAAGGCGGGGAGGGGCTGTGGAATCAGGTGATTTCTCCTCAAAGCTTTGCTTAGAGAAATGTTCCAAATTTGTTAGTCTATCCTGTTCATAGTGGTTTGATAAAAACTTTACCAGTGGCATGACTGGATCGAAATTTCTGTTTATTTTGTGTGGCAGGCCTGATTGTTCAAGTGTTGACTGGGGTGTGAAAAGTTTTTAAACTTAAGTATAAAATCAAATTCCTTTCAGAATAAACTGAATAAAGCATGGAAAAAACCATGTGTTGTTACCTACATTTCTCAAATCCCTTCCTTGTATTTCAGTTAAAAACTCAGATGTTTCTGAATCTTCAAGCGCAGTAGATATTTAATCAAATGAATACGTCCTTCTTTAGTTTCCACCAAAAAATTGTCAACCGTTTTAAAAGAACTATGCGATTGTTTCTAAGAAAATCAGGCCAGAGATCAAAGATAAAAATAATTTTTATGGTATGTTGCGAATTTCGGTATCCCTTGGCACAAGTTTTAACTTTTTTGTTCTACTTGGGTTGCAATACCTCTGTTATTATTTTTGGTAATAAATGAAGTAATGTAAATACATTTTTCCGGTGTCAGGGTTTTTGCGATTTTTTCATTGTTTGTGCCTTCCTTTTTTCAGATGAAATCACAGAAGCCTGTTAAATATAAGGTAGTTTAAATCTTAGTAGACAATGTTGGTAGAAAATGTGTGCAGTTAAGGTGAAGTTAGTGACAATGCAGGGCAATCTTCAGGATGGAAGGAAAACAGACAACACAATGAAAAGACATTTGAAATGTTTGCTTCTGTTGTGTGGTTTGAAATGCATTGACCAATTTATTAAAATTGGGCTATTACTGAGGATGTGGGGAGATTTTAAATTTAAGAATATTAATTATGAAATATTCAACCAAAGTTAATTGATCAAAGACATGTTGGGTACAAGTTGAAACTTTTGGACAGTTAACTAGTACATTATAAAGATAGATGGTTTCTAAAATCTACTGAATTTCAAAATTCTATGCCAAATTCTCTTTCATTTAGAAGTTTCAGTTAGTCACAAAGCAGGGAAATGAATGACGGTGTGGATGGTTTGTGGTTTAAACAATGAACACAAAATGAAGTAATGCTACGCTTACGCTATTCATTATGTGCCAGTTACAACATGGGTAATTTTTTTCCAGCTTAAAACTTGATCTTTCTGTTCTGGATAACTTTGGTACATTTTGAACTTTTTTCATCAACTGATGGTAGCATGACAATTTGTTTCAAAATCCTGTGTTGTAATTGGCCTTTGACCTTTCAAAAATTAACTGAATTTGAGTGCTATTACACAGGAGTCAATGGTTTAATGGGGCAAGCATGCATTTGGAGTTTCAAACACACAACAAATACATTTACTCAAACATTTCTTAACCTCTTTTTTCAGAAAGAAAAAAAAAATCATTATCCTGTCCTGTTTTTACTTTGAGTCTGAAATCTCATAACTAAAAAGCATATGACATCAAATATCAATTTGAAATTGATACAAATTAAGTTCTGCAACAAATTTTTGGGGAAATAAAGCTCCTGAGATACCTACATCGGCATCCTCAAGACACAATACTTATACACAAGACACAATACTTTACCTGTTCATTTGCCGCAGCCAGCACAGCAAAGATGTATGTAAGCAAAGTCTAAATTTTGTGTCAACAAACTCATTTAACATTTACAAGCACCAAACAAGAACAAAGAGTTATTGCATGAAGCAGTTAGCACATCTCAAGGAACTGGTCTTCATTTTACTCATCTCTCGTAACAGCCTCATCCTCGCCCTGCGGACTCAAGGCATCTCCAGATCAGATCCACACAAGATCCAACAAGAGTTCTGTTTTTCGCCAGATGGTGTAAACACGACAGCTGGACAATGCACTTGTTGATATATGGAGACGAATCAGCCAATGGTCTGCAATGGTGAGTCAATTTATTTTATAACTAAAATGCTTTGAAAAATAACATGACACTCTGTTCACTTATTCAATTGTTGCTTCCAGGAAGCCCATATACATGCTTCAGAAAGGTGCCTGATGGAGTTCATTAGGTATTAGCCGTGTCCAAATCAAGTGGCTGAGGCTTGGAGTAACACTAGGGGAAGTACTGTACTGCAGCCAGACACAGTGACTTTCATATGTAGCCTCATGTTACCAACATAGCCATAGCCTTCTAATGGCCTTGATTTTTTGGTGTACCTAATGGTAAACGGCAAATGTGTGACACAAAGACTGGCTCTAACAGCAAAGGGTGCAAGGCTTAATTTGTAACTCACATGAATAATCTGTACGTTTTTACTTTTAAGAAAATAATCTCTAGTGAGTTAGTAGTGACCTTATATCAAAGTTTTGCTCTAGGTATAAATTTGCCCCCAAAATACGGTTACATTGTTTCAATGCACGTAACACATGAATATGAACATTTGTTTATGCTTGTACTAATTCTGCAAAGGGGTACTGTAAAATATACAGAGTACAGTACTGCGATAATATCAATGTGCTTGTAAATGTGATCAACATAGGGAGAAAAAACTGGTCTTGATTGTCTTCATCGTTTACATTTACCAAAATCTGTGGAATGCATACTCCTGGTCTAATTTGCCAAACCTAGGATATGTACTGCAAATAAAGAAAGCACTTACTAAAAACACATGTTACAGGTTTTCGGGCAGTAGGCAAGCATGGTACCAGGGTCAGCCACACACTGGCCTTTGCTGGCAAGCTCCAAGCAGAGTGAGTCATCAGTGTCAATGCACTCTGGAGAATTGAGGGGAAAAGGTTTTTAGTGCCCTGGTGAACCGTAGAATCAGTTGAAGGATTAACCGAAAAATGGTTGATTGATTGTCCCACCCATGTTTGGTCTCCTCCTCTGAAGTCCCTTATTCAGATGTGTTTAACTACCTCTAATATTTGTTTATCTGATCCAGAGGCAGTTTGGGTCAGGAAATGGATCTGAGTTTTAAGTGCCATTTCTAATCCCTCTCCCCCAAAAAACTGTTGGGTCTCAAAATAAAAGCTGCTCCATTCAAGAAATGTTCCATGAACAGATTTCAAGGATAGTACATGTATCATGGTAAAAAAGTGAAGTTATTTAACCCTAACCCCTGTTAGGGTTAAAATCGTATTGAAATTGGAGGATTTGGGAGTGATAGGGTTAATGTGCCAACTGCAAAAAGTCAGCTTGCTCACCTGAGCATTTGTTGCAGCTTTTTGCACAGTGGATGGTCATGTAGTTTTTATTGGTGTCACACTCGCCAGCCTCGGCCCATTTCGAACAGTCTCGCTTCGTGTCTGCACATCCTGGTATGAAGTCTAAAACAAATTGAGGAGGCCGTGATTTTCAAGGGCTAATTTATTTATTATCCATCACCGCAAAAGATTTGCTAAATACAATTGCAAAAAATTGTTCAGCCGAATATTGGCACATGAAAGAAAGCAGCTCAGACCATGGGCAAGCACTTGAGTAATGTTGTGACATCAATATCGGTAGCATATGCACTAATGGCTTAAAAGAAGCACCATGTTGTACGCAGGAGATTGCAACTTTAAGTCCCATGCATTTTCAGAAATTTCCTGTTGTCAAAATAAAGTGATTAATAAATCAAATTTCTTTATGTTAGGAATTGTATTTCACAAAGAGTTTGATGAGCATCGAGCATTAATATTGAAGCTTTGAAAGACTTTGCCATTTGACCATTAAGCATGTTATTTTTATCTTGAGTGGACAGCACACAAAAATAAGTATCTCATTTAGATGAAATTACAGAGAATAGCCAAATATGGAGGTTATAAATTCAACAACACCTATTTTGATTACCTTCTGGCATAAGACTACATGAGTGACAACAGTGGTCCTTCATCCACTCTCGGTCTGTCTCACACTCGCCCTCAAGGGCCAGTTCTGCACAGTAATCTCCATCATCTACACAGTCCTTCCTTGGATGTGGAACTTCATGCATAGAGAAAATCCAACAATCAACAGTGTAAGACTTCAGTCAAATTGCCTCGGGGCTTTTTGGCCTCTCAAAAAGCAAAGAACTGGCTGATCAAAAGGTCATGGACAAGTCATTTTCCATCAGGTTTTGGAGTCTATTTGCACTTACTGTTGACATTGGATATATTGCAAGCTTCACATGACATCCTGCAATGTTCCAACATCCATTCCCTGTCAAAGTTACAGGCGCCATCTTTTCTCAGCTGTACACAGCGTTCGTCCTTGTCCACACAGTAAGTAGGCTCTATAATATTAAATTGGAAACATGAAAGTAGCGCAAAGGGAGGTTTTGAAGCCTTAAGAATATGTACATGTACGTGTAGGTATTCAATCCACAGAGTATAGGTCTAAACCGTTATGCAAGTGTTCTACAAATGGTTTATCAAGAAAATGTTTTGCTTTGAGCCCTGCACAAGCAACTTCTCCTTGGGTTATTTTCATGAGCTGACATCACTTTTGTACCTCTTTGGTTGGGATAAACCATCCTTCACTTATTCACTGTACTCAATTATTCACCAAGGGAGGTGGGTGAACTGGTTTGGGTCCTTCCATTATTGTCCCAAAACTGAATAATTATAAATGTGGGAACCAGGCAGTCGGCCCAGCCTCTCTGTCTTTCACCTGTCAGTGGGTGTTTCTGCACAGATTCCATAAAACAAGCCAGAAGAACCTCAAGTAAACTTTTCCCATTCTGTGCACTCACCCCTCTCAAGACATGTGAGGCAACAGTTGATCCTCATCCACACTGGGTTGCCATCACACTCACCATCCTCAGCCCATTGGGTGCAGTTGTCAAAGGAGTCAAGGCATTGTTTCTCATCTGCAGGAGTCACATGAAAATTGAGTGAGAAATTCTTTTTATTTGTGAAAATATTACAATTTGTTCACTGTCTGTTCACAGAAGTATATATTTTGTGCAGATGTTATCAGGTGAATTCAACTAGTGGCTGACGAATACCTGCCAATTGAACTTGATGTCTACAGTGCCAGTAGGCTGCATTGCCATTGAGAGATGGTGCTGAAAGACACTTACCTTTGGCTAAAGCACACAAGCCACAGCTTCTCTTACAGTTACTTCGCATCCAGTCCACATCGTAATCACATTCACCCTCTTCTTTCCATTTTGGACATTTCTCATAGTTGTCGGCACATAAATCTGCATGATTCCCAACAAATGACACAAGACTTTTGAAGACAGGAAAGCACGTAGGTATCAGAGTAACCGTTTGGAGATGTGCAGTCAAAGAACTCAAGGTGAAGGTACATGTATACATTAATTTGTGGGAAAACATGATTCATATGCAGGACATGCCATCTGTCTTAACAAAAGACAGGAAAGGAGCAAAGGCATAAAGATTCTAAACAAGAAATGTTGTTAGGGACTAACTTCCAGGGCTTTAACCCTGAACTTTGCTTGATCTGGCATGTATCGTTTAATGAGAATTCCCCAAATGTGTACAGTTTCCTTAATCTCAATACAGGCATAGGTTGAAATGGACATAGCATGCCTGGAACTAAAAAGGAGGTTGGTTAAAAAGCCTCCAATGTCTGGAAATCATAGTAGTGCCTCTGAGCAAAAGAATAAGTGATCTTACTGATGGACATAGCTTTTATAATAAGCGATGATCCTTCTTCTGAGATATTTGTGAGAATGTGGAAGAATTTTATATGAGGGCAGACTTTGTTACCTTCATTGAAAGTGTCATTGCATGTGTGGCAACTTTTCCTGCAGTTCTTCTTCATCCAATAAGGGTTGGCCTCACACTCTCCAATGTTGGCCCAGCCCTCGCAGGCCGGCCCGTAGTCATCATAGCAATCGGACCAGAAGTTCTGGCAAGTGTGGCAGGTCTTTTGACAGTTGCGTTCCATCCAGACGGGGTTCTTCGCACACTCCCCAATGGATCCCCAGTATTCGCAGTTTGCATTGGAGTCAGCACAGCTTGGGTCCGTTGGCTTCATGTTGTTTGACTGTGTGACTGGCACTCTTTTTGTTGTTGTTTCATATAAAGATGTTGGCTCACTGTATGATTCATCCATTGATTCTGATAATGTGTCTTTTGGCTCTAAAAAGAAGAAATCATTTCAGCATTTCTTTATATCTTGTGAAATCCCTCATTCGGTACAGATTGCAAAGTTGCAAGGCAACAAAAATGAAAGAATGAGATCCAAAGAAACTGAAAGCTGGAGGAGATGTATGTCAGTTTACACCATGCACAGGCATATTCATTAAAACTAAGCTTTCCGTCATGCAAACTACACAGGGCATGTCAAATGGAAAGTTTCTTGTCTTGGTTGCATTGCGTAGCCTAAGATTGAAGGAAAATGCCCCACTTGTCAGGTGAGTCCGTCATGAAGGAACTATGAAGTTATGATGTTGGCTGACCATATCAACGAGTGGGGTCTTAATGGTATGTAGTTTAACCCTGGAACGACTAAATATAGAAAGTAGGTAAAAATTCAATGACAGAGCATGTTGCACATTTGCGTCATTGCTACAGTAAAGGAATTCCAATAAAATGTCTAAAACTGCAGTGAAACCTGGAAAAATTATGGAAATGTCGAAGTGACGTGGTATAAGCAGTTCAGAATGATTGGCAGTAGTTCGAGGTACTGTAGATTTCTTGGTTGGTTCTCCAATCCACAGATGTAAAAGGAAAGTAAAACATTTACTAAAGTCATTATTCGTACACACCTTCAACAAAGTCACAAGAGTTACAGCTTTTCCTGCACTTAGGTAGCATCCACTCAGGGTTTTCAGTACATCCACCATGCTTTGCCCATGTTGTGCAGAATGCAATAGTGTCTTTGCAGTCTTTGTTGATTGCCCAAGATGTTGTCATGTCTCCAGATGGAGGAGCTGTTGGGATAAAGGACTCATCATCATTGAATGATGCTAGGTTGTCATTGTCAGACCCTGAGATGTTGTCATCAACCTCTTCAGCAAGGCTTGAAATGAAGTCACAAGAGTTGCAGCTTCTTCGGCAGTTGGGGAGCATATATCGCGGATTGGATGTGCATCCTCCATATGATGCCCATACAGAGCAGTATTTGCTGCTGTCTTTGCAGTCGAGCCAAGACCCCTCATCTAGTGAGTTGGTGATGATAGGGGATGTTGTTCTTTGTGGGAGAATTGATTCATCTTCAGTGGCTTCACACAAATTGCAGCTAGCTTTACAGTTGTGATGCATGTATGATGAGCTTGATATGCAACTTCCATGGAAGGCCCAGACTGGGCAGTTTTTGTGCTTATCATTGCAGTCACTTTTCACAACTGGTTGTTCTGTTGTTGATATCTTCAAAACCTCACTCAGAAACGTGCTCATTTCAACAGTAGTTTGCTCTGTTGTATCTTCAGGTAGAGTCACTGGAGTGCCATTCTCTGGTGGTATTGGAGTTAATTTGTGAAGCAGTTGTTCCAGTGTTGTATGATATTGCAGATGCTTTGATGTGGTCAAAATATTTGATGACTGAGTGTTCTTGGAGTCTGAGACATCATTTCTCAAGTCTGTGTCTGCCAATGTGGACAAAGTATACTCTTCTTCAGGGACCTGAGTAACCCTGTTTGAGTTGATGGTAACAACTTCACTGATGAATGTTTGAGTCTTGTACTCACTGGTAAATGAGTGGCTGTCATTTTGTTGGGTGGTAGCGGTTGGCACCCTGACGTTTTTATCAGCCAAATCGTCAGTGCTGGTCTCTCTGTAGTCAATTGTGCTGACTGAGGAGCTTCCTATTGCAGGGACTGTTACTGGAATGGTTCTTTGTGTTGGTGTGGGATTACTCCATAGTTTGTCTGTTGCTTCTGTGAATAAATGTTTATCATTTGTGCTTGTTGGCATGCTTCCCCCTTTTTGAAAGGAGATGGTACTCATTCTTGGCGAGCTAGTGATGTACTTGGGTGTTCTTTGGTGTGGATTCCACTCTGGCTCGGTGGTTCTTCCTGTCCTGTAAGTGGTACCAGAGGTTGATTTCCAAGTTAATTCCTTTTGTGGTTTTGTGACATAGGGCGGAGGTGAGGAACTAAGGACCTGAGTTAAGGATTCAGTGAATTTACCATCAGTTTTGGGTAATTGCTTGTCACGGGTAACAGGGTCAGTGGTTTGAACCTTGCTTACCTCATGAAACACTGTTGGAGGTACCTCACCCAGTGAGTCAGTGAGACTACTTGACAAACTGGTGAAGGAATGGAAAGATGGTGTCACAGAGTTGGGTGGTTGTGCACTTTCATCTCTGCTTGTGCTCATTTTTTCGGTTATTTTTGTACTGAGAACTGAACCAGGCACAGTGATGCTATCTTGTGACTTGGAAACACTGACAGGGGATTGAGTAACATCTTCATTTGTGAAAACTCCTGTATTAATCGAGAACCCCTCCTCGGGTATGTCAATCATTGAGGCCTCAGCTGTTAAGTCGCTGTTGTCATCAGATGAGTCATCAGATTGACTGTCCTCCCACACTTGTGTTATTTGGCTTTCTCTCCATGAGTCACTGGTATGGATCCAATCTCCAGTCCACTCTGATGCATCACTGTTTTCTGACTCCTCAACCTCTCCAAGTGAAGCTGTTGAAGTAACTGCCATGTTCTCATCATCAGTTGGGTAATTGGTTTTGGCTGGGGGTGGTAGATGTGTCACTATTTCCCTATCACCACACATGTTGCAGCTAACTGGACAATGCTCCGTCATCCACTCTGGAATGGTGAGGCAGCCCCCAGTAGTTGCCAAATCTTGACACCGTGCATACTTGTCAGAGCAACTTAATGGCTGCTCTGATGGCTCTGGATCTACCTGGGTATCATTCGTCACAATGTAATGGCAAGAGTTGCAGCTGTATGCACAGTTTGGAAGCATCCACTCTGGATTTTGGTAGCAGCCTCCGTAAAAAGCCCAGCCTGGACATAGCGCATCACTGTCCTTGCAGTTAGGCTCATAATGATACGAGGAGGTCTGAGTGCTTATAGTAGGCTTAGGTGGGATTTGAGAACCATCACAGAGACCACAACTCTGTGGACAGTTGACAAACATCCAGTGTCGGTCAGTTTCACAGTTGCCAGATTCTGCCCAATCGACGCAGTATTGGTCAGTGTCAAAGCAGTCACTGTCAGCTGGGATCAATGGGTCATCACAGATGCCACAGCTGAGCTTACAGTTGACAAGCATCCATTCTGGATTGGTTGCACAGTCTCCTTCAGAAGCCCAGTCAGGGCAGTAACGGTCATGGTCAACACAGTTTGGTTTGACAGGTTTCACTCCAGGACCCTTGCAAAAGCCACAGCTCGCTGGACAGTTGACTTGCATGTACTCTGGGCTGTACACGCACTCACCTGATTCAGCCCAACCAATACAGTGTGGTTCCAGATCAGCACAGACTGACTCAGGCTCATTTGCAGGTGTGGGGATGAATTCATACTGAGATTGCTCTTCCTTGGTTTCTGAGTTGCTACAATAGCTACAACTCACCGGGCAGTTTTCTTCCATATACCTTGGGTTGTTCATGCATTCACCTTCGTCAGCCCATTCCGTGCAGATTGGGTCGATATCTACACAGGTATACTCATCCACAGGAACTGGCGTAGGAGCAGACGTGGTTGTCTTTTCCTCAGTAGCAGGACAAGTACCGCAACTTTTCTTACAGTTTGCTTTGATCCATTCTACTTCACAGTTTCCTTCCTTGGCCAATTCATGGCAAACCGGGTCACTGTCTTGACAAGTGAAGTGGCTGACTGATATATCTGTTGATAAATTGTGATAAACGAATTCATAAAGACTTTGATCATTCTGTCTTAGTCATCTGTTTAAATCACAACAAAACTTTAAAAATTTATACATGATAACACTCAGTAGCAACTCGGAGTGTCTTCTAGTTTTTAAAAAGTATAAACAGAAATAATTACCATGTGTTGGGTGGAATGGATATTTGGGTTATTTATCTTTCCTTCTGGCTGGTAATTGATTATTTGATAGCTATAACCACCCCATCAGAAAAGTAGCAAATGCAACAGGGTATAGTTACCATCTTCTGGACATCCAGCATCAAAAAGTGAGGCCAACTGTTAAGTACCTGACTGATGACAAAACTCTGGCTTCATCTTGTGGGGAGGTAGGAGAGACATCCCATATCAAAAAACTTTGACTTTCCACGTAAACAAGAGCATCAGAGAAGCTCATTCAGAGTGCTTACCTATGCAGAAATGGCAACTGAGAGGGCAGTGTTTTCGCATCCAGAATTCATTGGTAGTGCACTCCCCAGCTTTGGCGTTAATCTCACAGAGAAAGTGGCTGTCGACGCATTGTGCCTCATCAGGAGGCAGTGGAGTCTGTTCTTCATTGTCACTGTCATTGTCTCGTAACACTATTTCTTCTTGATCTGCGGGAAATTAACTGGTGTAAAACTGGTGCATAGTTTTTAAAAGGCAGGTCTCTTCTTCAATATGTATCTCGCTCGTGACGATTTTTATGAGTTTTGCATAAAAAGCGGAAATTTATCAGTTAGCTTCCAGATTAACATACCGTCTTCAGTCAAATAGCATCCTCATCCCAAAAGTGCCTTCGTAGCTACGTGCCGATTACTGTGGCCTCACAAATTGGTAATTTCTGTATTGGTATGGATTGTGTACTTTGTGCCGTTCTTATAAAATTTATCGCACCTCATCACACCTCATCAGGTGTGATAGTAGAGGGAACCACATCCCTCATCCCTGCAATCTTGAGCAGATTCGAGTCTGAAATTCTCATCCTACCATATCTGAAAAGTCAAGTTTATAAAATGCTACTGCACACCCCTTCCAGTCGTTCACCCTCCTAATGGTCACAAATTTCTGCAAATTGCGCTCAGGCTGGCGGGGCAGGTCTTTTTACCTTCACACATACTGCAGCTCTTCTCACAGAATATCTCCATCCATCCTGCATGGGTCTCGCACCTTCCCTCTTGTACCCACTGCAGGCATTGGTCATCAGCATCCTGACAATCTGAGGGTTCTAGACAATTTTAGGTTAGTTATTCGTTGAGGCCTGCACACTATGCTCAGTTATAATAACAAATAAATGCAGAAAATATATAAAGAAAGAGAAAAAAGGGCCTTTTGAAAAGTTTAATCATGTAGCATATGAAAAGGCATTTCGTATTTAGGGGATAGTCAGGTTTGCTTTGTTCTTTCCTCACTAATCTGGTTGAGTGTCCGCTGAGCATAAACCATGGACTGGGTTTTCCCTGCAGAGTTTTAAACAGACTGTTGATATCCAAGGATTTTTTCTCACCTTTGAATTTTATGTTTCCTTCATCGTCTCTTCCCAATTCAATACTGGGACCTGAGAGAGAACAGTGCTAAAGCAATGCTGAAGATATTCAGATGATATATATTAAGGGTAGTAAATGGACGGATGCAAAATTGTCAGAAAAGATCAAGCCTTTCATTGCAGTGTTTAGAAGGAAATATGCAGACCCTCAGAGCTTCATCAAAATACCTCAGTCTTGAAAAGTCTGGATACAATATGCATTGATCAAACTGGCCTCCAGCCAACAGTCTGTGGTATTCAAACTGATGGGCCCCTTGCCTGCCAGTTCAGTGTTACAGAAAAATCAACAGAGGTTGCGTTTGGCTGTATGGTTAGATCATTCACATATCTCAACCCCCTCCCCAACAAAATAGACAAACTTGCTAGCATGTTAAAAGACAATAAGATGCTAGTGAAGTTCCATCATGCAAAGTATTTAACATACATCCTTCATGCAGAGTTAGGCATGCTGAAGAAGATGGTGGGGTGGGATGTGGGAAAGATCTGGATACACATCATAATTATGTTGGCACTTACACGGTTTGTCTTTCAGTCAACCTCTGTAACTTGGCTTAGACTACAAGTGCTGTTAGTACCGGTAAACTGGCCAAACCCGGCTTACAGTACTTTGCAGTCTCAGTCAAGCTTCATATTGAGTGAATCTAATCCTCCTTTCCCTGTGAAGTGTGATGACCCTCTCATTTTTAACTTTCTGCATTCATCTTTCGAACTATACAATTGATAAACTTTGTAATTTTTAGATTTTTTTTCATCCTTGTACTCACATGTTATTTTTTCTTGTTAATTAAGCTCTGATTGTCAGTTAATGCCAATCCAGATTAAAGAAGTTGTATGTCATGTTGTTTTCTTTGACGAAATATAAAGGTCTCCTCTGACATTTGTTTCCCTTAGCTAAATCTTTCTCTGGCTTCTTGTTCATTTTTGACAGGATGTCACTCTAGCATATCCATTAAACACAGTCACTCACGTATTCACTTCTCCTTCGAACAGCAACAGACTTAGAAAAACTCTGCGATCTAAAAAAAAAAAATAGAATACCATCAACCGGCTCCTCTTCGGGTTCCGGACACGTGCCGCATGATTTGGGGCAGTGGGTGCTCATCCAGACTGCATTGTTCTGGCAACCACCGTCATTCTTCCACTGGGGGCATTCGTGGTGAAGATTTCTGCACACTGTAAGGATGGAAACCAGTATGTCTGATTTGACTCGACCGATCCCTGAGGCCCTCCCACATTCCCACGGAAGTTATTCAGCGACTTGAAAGAATAAGAGTGATGTACCTGATACTAACTACCAGTCAGGAATAAGCAACAAACATTCTGTGGTTTACGCTTACACTGTTGAAGTCGGAGATCAATAAATCCGGAAACTGATTGATATCTTTGCTTGGAAGAGAGTGGATGAGGCAATTATAGCTCACATTTCCCACCCAGATCCAACATTGGAATACCTTCCAGGACATTAAAAAACCTGTCATATACGTAGTTTTTAACCTGCGTGTTAACTGCGTATGTTGGCAATTCATCAAAGTTTGAATCTCCTCGGTTTGGATTAAGACTATTAACTATACTTTCTTCAGCAAAATTTAGTTTTACCGTCTTCCGCCATTGTATCTGGATCTAACTGGCGATCTGAAATTCGAAAAAAGGTATTGATGTCATTATTGCCGCCAGATCTTGATCTTGATGCAGTTTTTAAAACTTCATGGTCTTGAGGATGATACTTAGCAGAAACTGCTGAGCGTTACATCTCGAACTTCCAAAATAGGAAGCCATTGAGATCACTTGACAATATGCCATGAAATGAATTCAAATGTTCATGTCAACACTACGGTATATTTCTTTCTTCATAAATGAGTTTTATGAAATGAATTTCATGAAGGAATGCCCTGTATAACTCCATAATCTAACAAGAAGAAAAGGCCAAAGGCGTTTTTGTAAGTAAACCGTTTAAGCTGAACGAATGAATGTTATTTGCTAATTTGACATAGGGGTTGCTTTTCATTGCAAAAGCCAGCTTTGTCAACACACGATCTGGTGTAGACATGTCAAACTCAGTGGAGTTTTTTCCAAACCCTGTGACACATCACGTTAATAATTGTTTATCGTAAACTGTGCTACTCTGTGAGGCTTGAGTCTTGTTAGTTTCTGTAAAGAAGATGTGCTGCATAGGTAAAATCGAAAGCAAATGGAATCACGATTTTTTTAGACCCGCGGCAAAGTAATTTATGGACACTAATCTAGTTGTACTCACCTGGTTCTCCACGTTCATTGCAGTTCATTCTGATCTGCTCTGTGTAAATTTTACCTGTTGGCAAAAGGTATCCAAAAATTATGTTATAAGTGTAGTTACCACGCATGCATGTGTACCATGACAACATAGACGTCAGAGGTTTCACAACGGGTCAACTCTGTACCTACATCACAAGGAAAGCGAAGTTTATGACGTCAACGACTGTAGCTGAGTCTCACCTTAACAAATTTCCTTCCCTCTAAAATTTGAGCCAAGTATGACCAGCTTTCAGGAGGGCTAGGTCCTCTTAACGGCTGCTATTCGCGGATGCAGAGGCCGAAATGTATCCAGATACATACATGTATCCCAATTGCTTCAACTATCGACTTCAACTATACTTGCATCCACATTCAGTTATTACTTAAAAATGTCAGGCCTATCAACTGACAAACTAACCAGTATCCACGCAAAGAAGCTAACAATAATCATTAGACAGAATGCTTTTGAAAGCAACAGACCGTATTATTAAATTATTTCAAGACTCTTACTTTGGTCGGCGTCACAGCGATCTACAATGGTATTCATGCAGGGGAAGACTTCCTTCACCAAGTTATACAATGCGGGATCGTAGCGCTGCAACTTCTCGCGGGAGTCAATCTCGCTGTCAGTGATCACGTTAAAGAAGCTCATCACCCCTTGAGCAAAGTATTCGTCTGCTGTGTACTGCGCCCTGGTATTCGCCCACAGATCGGTCTTTCTCGCGTTCACGTACGCCCCCAACAGGCGTGAGTTGTAGGTTGATGTCATCGTGGTGATTGATACCCTCCTGATGGTGTGGGCCATGGTGTGCACGAACATGTCCTGCCCACTGTTCGGATCATTTTCCAGACAGATGAGGTTCTCCGTGGCGCCCGAGGCCACTGGGATGTGGAGCGTGCCTCCCAACCCGCGTAGTGAGTTGTACAGCTCAGGTAGATGAGAGTGCTCGGGGATGTTGACGGTCACCTCGTCATCGTCCATGACGGCTATCCTCCCCCAGGCTCGGTACAAGGCCTCCCGGAGATCTCGCCGATCGGCAAGGAGGAACCTGACGACGTAGCAGGCCCGCGTCATAGCGTCTTCGTTCGCCCGTGCCGTGCCCAGGATGGGAATGTTGTAAGCCTGAGCGTACTTCCTGTAGGCGTAGCTCAGACGGAACTGGGCTCGGACGGCAATGGGGACTTCGGTAACGGTGTGGCAAAGCCATTCGCTTCCTGATGCACCTTCCCGGTTTCCTGTGTTACGTAGAGTATACTGCAGGGTGGAAGCTGTGTAGAGAGTATGTTTATGAATGTATTAAAGAGAACTTACATGGAATGTAAAGGGACTTACGTAGTCATCTGAAAAAATAACGATTCTTTAAAACCAACCGACTATTAAAATAAACATCAGCTATTAAGTCATTCGACGCTTTGAAATTCTCGTGTTTTAGCAAATAAATTAAAAAATCGAAAACCAAATTTACAGCGTGGCCCATGATAAAGAGAACGTGAATTTTAAATAATTAATTTTTCAACTGCAAATTACTTCTAAAAGTGACAATCGAATTGGGTAGTGAAAAAAAAATGGATTATTACAACATTTTAACGGTCAAAAAATCTTTCGCAGACATTGCTGTGTATATGAAATGCTTTAATACGAGACGCATCCTATCCTTACATCACGCGTACTACCTGAAAATACACAAAGAGAGGGCATTGCTATGGAATTGGTGCTCACCAAAATCCTCCGAATTCCGCAAGAAAAATAACATTGGAAGTTCACTCTCCTCCACCACACCACTTTCTGAAACGAGAAGGGAGACAGAATAGATGCATTACGCAGCGGTTTTTTCTCGTGCGTGGCTAACAGCAAAACATTATAAATTGTTGCTAAGGCCGGCTCCTTTATTGCAGTGTCGACCTTAATTGGGAAACTAGAAAGTCCTGAACCTGTGCCGTCGTCCTTCATACAGGTTTTGCAACTCTCTCGGCAATTCCAATTCATCCAGCCGGGGTTACTCTCACACTCCCCGCGGTTGCGCCACGCGTGACACTCGTCCTTTTCGTCTTTACATGCTTCAGGGGGAAAAGGAGACGGGAAAAACAGCTTTTAAAAGGTCTTCAACCTGGTCAAACTGTGAGAGTATATATGTAAAAATTTGTTTGTCTGCTTGTAAAAAGTGGCTTAAGTGGGTTATATTTTTCAGGAGGCGGGGCACTTGGGATCCTCATTTCCTGGAGGGGTGACACATTAGGATGTGAACCACCTCGTTCTCGTGGAAAGAAAGGTAAAAACACTGACAAAGGCGGACTGTCAACAGACTTTTTTCTTCTCCTAATTTCTTAGTGAATGGGGACGCACAGTGGACAAGTGGGTGGCCAATGCTCCCGTGCCCCTGTTGATGATGCCTCTGCTGAGGATGTTTATCTGTTTACCCCCTTGAGGAAATATTTCCGACTAAACAGTTTACATTTCGCCGGGTTCTACTTACGTCGTACATTTTGGAAATGGCTTTCTTTTTTAAATACATGGTTTCACTTTTACATACACCTATTTGTCAATTCAATTTCCTAGCCTTGCCAACACTTGTATTCATTTGCAACTTTGTCATTGTCCGTTTATACACTGATGACTGATCGCTGTATGCACCGTCGAACAAAAATATAACTTTAATTCAGACAAATTGTTATGTAAAGGCTTACGGCAGTCCAGTTCATCTGAGAAATCCAGACAGTCGTTTTCTCCATTACATCGCTGTGTTGCCTCCAGGCACGCACGCCCATTGGCGCATGAAAACTGGTCTGGACGACACACGGGCTTACCTGTGCGCCGAACAAGAATGTGAACGTCTATTTCAAAACTGGGATGGGGATGTTGTTTCTTGGGTCGGGTTGGCCTGGGCTGGTACACAGATCACTTTTCTCTTTTTTAGCGATTATTTTTTCTACATTTACAATTGTCACCGTTGTGGGTTAAATCATGATAGTGTTGGCATTCTTGTAAGTGCATTTATTAACATCCAGTTGATAAAATACCCGACAGTCCATTTCCATTTTCACAAATCTGCTTCAGTTGTTTTATATTTACACTTACATTGTCTCTCATCAGATCCGTCACTGCAGTCACTGTACCCGTCACAAATAACGCCTTCCTGAACACATTGGTTGCCGTGGTCACACAAGATTTCATAATCAAAACACTCGAATTCCCCTAAAAATGGATTACACAATCATTGCGAATGAAAATATCCCTTCTTAACTTCTTGTACCTAAATTAATGGATATTTCTTAATGACGATGATCTGGCTGTGTTAGAATGTCAGTTAATGTTTTAATTCTTCAGTTTTTGAAAGTCTATTTTTGTTCTACCATCGGGAAAGTGTCGACAATTTTTAGTAAAAAAATCTAACTGCCGTCACTCTGTGGCCAAATTTCCATTACCTGATCACTATCACACTGTCACTGTCGTATCACTTTGCCATCACTGTCCCGTTATCATGCCGGTGCTGTCATGTTCTGTTACTGTGTGTTCAGGTCCTCCCCCCTTTTCTTCTTTCTGTTAGGAATTGTCACTGGGTAGGTACGCGTCATTGAAGTGTAAAAATCTGACTGTCCTTGATATGGATGTATGCTTCACTGAAAAAGTATAAGGCAAACCCGGTTAAAGGAACCAAAATAACTTGTTTTGAACGCTAGAAAAATATGTTCCTACCCAAGCAGCTTGCCAGTATTCATTTGGTAATGTAATTTGACGAATTTCAGTATGTGAATACCGATGGTCTCACTGCGCTGAGAGCACACTTTCCACACCATTTTGGGACAGAAATGAATATGTCCAATGGTCTCAACAACTTCTGGTTTCATTTTAAGCAGTGTCTGTTCTTCTGTCTTCCTCCTGTCAGAAAAAATCTGCTGGGGTATCAGCGTTAGGCCCTCTGACTTGGAGACTCGCACGCGCGATTATGCATTACCTTTTTCAATCTGGTGTTTTTTGTTTGCTCACATATTTCACACAGACCTAACTGCACCAAAAATTGTGCGTCGCATACAACTCCCAGACCTTGGGCTTCTAATTCTTACCGGATGAAGACACGGGCTCGTTACACGTCCACCCATCTGCATCAAGCACAGTTCCTGTGGGACAGGTGCATGTATAGGAGCCAGGAGTATTCTCACAGACACCCTGACACCAACCCTGATAGTCACGACATTCATCTCTATCTAAAGATGTAAAATGAAAAAAAAAACAGAAGAGAGAGAGAGAGAAATACTACAAATATTTTCACATTTACGTTCTTGCCCTCGCTTACTCTTCGCTGAAACGATAACGCAGCGCCACACGTTGATAAGGTTGGAGGATGCATCGTAAGAAATTCAAAGAGGGGAACTCTCTCGTCCAGTTGGTGTCACCAGTTTTTTAATGCTAGTCAATACGTTTACACTCGAGTATGCATTAACCCTCCTGTTTTAGCCGTTAAAAACAGTCAGAAATGCCTTCCACTTGATTTCCCCCAGTACACAGACACGTATGGGAAATTTGACTGATTTTGAGTGATATGACAACTGTGTCAAGAATGTATCTTAGCATAGGAGGGTTAATGTCTTTAACTTCTGATTTTTCGGGGGGGGGATCGCCCACCCATGCTCCCTCGGCAACCCCCATCGCGGTACTTTTATGCGGTTTTGATACAGGAATATAAATAACTCTAGAATAAACACATTGTGTTAGAAGTTTCAGGTTTTTTATCTCACCTACGCATTCTAATTCGTCCTCGCCATATACGAAGCCAGTCTCACACATGCAATTGCAGTTGAGTAGGTTGAGTGCAGTCGCACCGGGACATTTTCCAAAACACGCTATAAAGAGCCCAGAAATACGGTGACATGTAGCTTTAATCAATTACTTGGGAGCAAAAAAAAAAGAGTGTGCGCATTTCCATTGTTCTGGAAGGCCAAGACATTTTGTTTATACTTGTTCGTCGACCGATCAAGTTTAGCTGACAACTGGTTGAGACGACTGCACAAGTACGAGTAGGCATAGGCCTTCTAGGAGGTTATGAGTTTATGTTTATGTTTTGACTAACACTGCTTGAAATACAACAGGGTTTATACTGAAATGGCGGGAAGAACCTTTACTTTTGTAGAGTTTATATTGAAACGGAATATGGACAACTCAAATGTGATCTGGGGCCTTTCACATGAAGAAGGTGTTAGATTTCGAGCAAATCACCCTTGTTTGAAACCTGTTGTTCCTGTATAGAAACATTCCAAAATGTAATCATCATCGTATACATGTCCCGCTGTTTGAAGCAAAAGGGAAAACATTTCTTAAAAGAGCTCGATCTTGAACCCTTAAGAAAAGAAGTTCAATGTGCACATGTTCATCACTGTGAATAGGTTCCACTGAATTCGCTATGTAGCAGTGGCGTGGCTAGGATTTTACTAGTGGGGGGCACAAAGGGGACACTAGCATCTTATGGGGGCACCAGCTTTCAGTGGTGTGGGTTTTTTGGGAGGGGCAAGTTTTTGTTAGCCTTGTTCAATATCCATCCATTCGGGTTTTTTTCAGTGAAGGGTACCTGGGGGCACATGGAATCGGGGGGACGGGGGGCACGTGCCCTCCGTCCTCCCTGTGGCTACGTCACAGCTATGTAGGCTTATTCGGAAACAGTTTCGTTTGGAAAGTGTAAATGTCATCATCTGATGGCGATGCTTACGGATAGTGCTTGGATCTGGCGGCGGACTTGGAAGACATGTGGTACCGTCTGCGTCGAGTTGAAAGCCCGACACACAGTAGCACATGAAACTGCCTTCTGTGTTTATGCACCCGTGTTCGCAATTGTGCGAGCCCGCGACACATTCGTTTATATCTACAAGGAAAAACAAGTCATGGAAAATCCATTTAGACGGACTATGGCTTGAGCCCATTGAATTGTAAAGGATGGTTGGAACTGAAAGGATGGAAGAATGAAAGGAAGGATGGAATTGAAAAAGATTAGTATTTAGTTGATGAAAAGCAAGTTTGCAACTAACTGTGGAACAGGTGCATAACAGCAGTCTTCTTGTTTGTCCGCTATAAAACAGACCAATTTTCATTGTCCCGATTTCGCTTTTTAAATCTCCACCCCCTTGGAATCTGCCAGTCCCCCACATACCCGGTTATGTGTCTCACAATCAACTTTCTATCGTGTGTTTTATATGGTACGTCGACAAAGAAACCTGTAAATTCCATCTTTATTCTTACATCTTTTGTAAGCTATTTAAATTGATGTGCACCATCGGATGCACGCGACAAGTGCATGTCAAAATGAATTTCAATTGCTTGATGTCGATTGCAATCTGATCCCATTGCCTATCAGCGAAGATTGTGCTGACTTCCACAGATTGTGCTTTTTCGTTTCTCGGTAGCGGCTCAGAGTTCAAGACGATCACATTTCGGTGCCCCCTAAAACTTTGCGTACCAGTGCTATGCCTGGATGGAACGCCAATGTTGAGACCACCTTTGCCAGCCAATGCAATGCCAGGATTAACGCCCATGTAAACAACACTTGTGGCGAACAGTTTTATTGTGGCGTTGTTTTGTGTTCCCATTTGTAAACAGATTGGCGTTTTGTACTTCGGATATCTTTATAAAAGACGTTGGCTAAATATCCTTGAAAATCCTTACTTAGTGAGATCTGAAGAGCTCTATTTCATTGACAAATTGGCTTGGAAGTCTCTATTAGGTCAAATTTAGCTCTCATGCATTCAGTTATTCAGTCAAGCATAACTGAGGCATCAACATGACGTGCTGAAAAAAATAACAGAATTTGGATTTTGTTGCAACTAGAATCTATGTCCTTTATCTATCTCACATGTCAGAGGCAAAATACACGTGTATAGGCCATTAGATTACCCTTTACTAATGCGGCTCTAGCTTATTCCCCAAAGGTGTTAACAATCTGTCGTCACTGGAGAAAAAAAAACACAGTTAAGTTTAATAACGAATGATGGATCCCTGGATAAAATGTCTGTCATCTTTTCATGTTGGCAGCTTACCCTGACATTTTTCCTCGAAGTAGTCGTACGTCAGCCCCGGGTCGCTGCACCAGCAGCGACACCGTAGCTCGTCGAGTTCAGCGCCGTCGAAACAGACCAGTCCACGGCAGGCTGGGGAATACAGAAAAAAAACATACACAGCAACATTTTGAAAACCGATTAATATACTGTATGTGCCAAGGGGTCGGGTCCTTGAGGACTTCCGTGGTAAGATGGGGGTCTCTTGCAGTTGTCATCGCCGAGAAGTGAGTGTAGAAGTTAAATATTGGGAAAATAAAAGTCAAAGTGGGATGCAATATTTGGTCGGTTTTAATATCCCCGGCCACTTGTCGTCTTTAATCAATCATTTCAAATTATGTACGTTCTCGTTCTGACAACACTTTTAAGAACCAATATGAATTTTTTTTTTCAACGTTGTAGTCGTCTTGTAATGATTAATCTTATAAACCAAAAGAGCATTCTGCTAAATCGATATAACTTTCAAAAAATCGAAATTGTCCTTTTTAGATATCAACAGTTTGTTTAATTTGGGTTGAATTGACTCGTTTTTTATTAAATGAATTTTCTATCTTTATACTAACTTGAATCAATTTAGGTTCGTATGAGTGAATTCTAATTGATATTTTTCAAGTTATTTTTTAGAAAAATCAGCCGGCTCCACTCCTCAAGCTTCACTCTTTAATTCTTATCTGGGTCAACCAGCAGCGTAACTAGAAACCCGCTGGTGTGTGTGGGGGGAGGGACAGGGATTGAGTTAAAAGGGGTGCACAAATTGCTTCAGGGGCACAACCTAATGCCTGTGCAGAGGATTAAAATCCAGCATGGAGGAGGCGAGAGTCTAATAAGGGGCACATGCCCTGTGTGCTTTCGGTATTTATGACAAAATATGTGGGGCAATTACAGTTTAGATCAATTAAATGTGATCAATACTTCAAATAAAAATAAAAATGATCACCCTTCAGCGTTCCTCATCTTCACAACAGATCACATAAAATCTATAAATGTATTGATTTAAGCGAAAGACGAATAACCTTGAAAGCAAAGCGCCACTCTTGATTCAGCTTTTACGAAACTACCTCTTTAAAAGGCTTTTCTTCAGAAAAAAAATAAGGGTGTCTGATCTAAGACAGTTCTGAGAGACATTTTCTTCGTAGCAAGAATCGTATCCTTGATAATAATTTGCTTTTGCTCAATGACAGATGGCCTCATTTTTACAGTCCACGCACCCCTCACCTATTCTAGAATTATCTTCGAAAGAAACAATGCCGCTCATTCGATCGATAAACAGGTGGTTTGGACGAATCTGATTGGTCAGACATTCGGAGAAGAAGCGTGATCAGCTATTACCTTACACAAGAGACGGCGTCATTGACGTGAGGAACGGTACGAGTGACTCTATGCTCACTGTTTACGTGTGTGTTCATGAAAGTGGTAGACATTTTTTCAAAATTTCTGAGGACATTAAGTCTAGAGACATGCAGTTTCCGTTGCTGTCCACGTCTGTATGTTAATACTCAGCGACTGAAGCGTGTTCTGCATGAATGGATGTTTACCTAACCGGGTGTTTTGGCAACATATAAACCAAGTATGCGGTGTATTTCTTGTCGTATGCCGACCAAGTTGGGCAATAAACCTTTTTGACATTTCCAAGGTACGTGCATCATGACACTGGGTGACAAACAACCGTGGATATTTTCCATGCACTGGACCTGGACCATTAAGCATTAAATATTTTAAGATTATTCTTCCGTATACTACCTATCAACCCACCGATAGTTGCATGGTCCATAACTCATTTAAAATGGTTAAAGCTTTGATTCAAAATGTAGGTGTTTTTAAAAGGGCACCAGCCACCTGGCCAAAGAGGTGAGTGCGATTGGTCAATGGTGTGAATGAACAGGCTTTGAATCTTAATTATGATCTAGCTAATTCATCTCATGGGTATCCACGGTCATGATTTTAAGCCAAATTGATGTCCACAAAAGGGATTCCTCAAACTTTGTGCTTAACAAGCTTTAAAATTTGAATAAAACTATTCGGAGTCATATTTGCTGCACTGTGAAAAATGATGACTTGATTTCGATTAAACAAAGCGGACACATATCGTTATTTGACTGGAATGCTTGAGATTGGTAATATGTCATCAAATCTCACGATACAGCGAAATATCATTTGCAGTTGCGACCTCCAGGTCTATACGCCCATACCTTGAACGTTCTTTGCACTCTCTAACGCTACAGTGTTTGGGCTACGTATTTTGTAGTCCTCTTTCCCTACTTTCTTTCATCAAAGGGGTTCTGAATGTCTGGTTGCTATGGGTTATCATTCAAGATGAGTGCTTTTTAATCTGCATGTATGTATTCCTTACACATGACTCTTGGTTCAAGCAGACACAGCTTCCCGTTGGCATGGAGATTGTAACCGACTGGGCAGATGCAGTAGTATGAACCCCTGCTGTTGGTGCATGCCCCACCTACGCAGTTCGACTCATCTGCGCATTCATCGATATCTGCCAACAGGAATAAATGGATTAATCGGGTTATGACAGGTAAGAATTGTCAAGCTTTTATTTGGAAGCCTTTGGGTGTATCTTTTGTTACGATGTCGATTGCATGCTGAGCTCTACTGAGTGTTTAAGGTGTACTTTAGCCAAATAAACTGACTGATGATCAGTTATCCTAGGCCTAACACACGCTTTGACATTTGGTATAAGAGGACTGACTCTGGTTTAGGGTAGCAAATTTTGGCATGGCGTTGAAAATTGTTGCACCTTTGCCTATCCTACTATGACAAGTAAAGTATTCATCGAAAAATCGATCAATTTACATGAATTAATTACGATTGTTCGGTATACAATAATGTTTATGAGTGCAGTGAGAATGTTTTCATGAGGTGACACACGAAATGTTCCCAATCGCCAGGCGGAGCCGGGTGGAATGGACTTTATCACCTTTCACCGAATGAAATTGTTCTTACCATTGCACAAATGTGAAACAGTCATCATTTGGTTTTTACAATTCCTAGATGAATACTTATCATTATTTCCTCTTAGTGTTGGAGAATAAACGGTCCTCGCGTCCTTCATTTCGTGGAAAGGATTAATTTGTATCCGAAGCACGCCACCGCACTGGCAATACTGTGCGATGTTAGACTGTTTTTCGTTCCATACGTTATTTTCTTAGTTCTTACGGGGAATGATACACATGTACAAGAAATGAGGCTGAGAACCATGCAGTCAAGTGAAATGAAGTTCTATTTAATGGGTACCGTTGAATGGAACGAATAATTCCATGACATGTGATCAACGATCCGCCAATAGATGACGAGGATTTATGCAGGTATTATTTAATACATGATACGCACAACGCAGACTGGCAACCAATCCGCAGCGACGGTGCATTATTTAGACAACTCAAGTCAGTTTGGCCAAGCACGGAAAATTCTTATAAAAATCGATAACGCTCTGTCAGTCTTACTACACGGATGCAAGTATGGTTTCAGTGGAAAGCTGATAACCAATCAATAATGATTAAACCAGTCTGAGATCAAAATCGCAACGATAAAGCTTAGAATTGTTTGCAAACACCCTGTATTGTGGTGTACAAACCTTCGCAATAGCCAGTTCGTGAGCTGTATTCGTAACCCTGGTTGCAGACACAAACACATCGGTCCGGCATGAGGTACGAGTTCCTTTCACATGTGCGTCGGCAGGCACCTGCAACACGGGAGAACAAAAAAAGGAAAATGTTTTAAAGGCCAGAATGTTGGCCGATCAGCGGTTGAAAGAGGGGCAGAACATTGGAGGGGAATTTTGTGAACAACTACATGTGCTCATTAGGTTTGCAGTTATCAATTCAGGCTAGTGAGACTGGGCGTTTCATTCAGAAACCTGAGAGATGAATTTCGATTGAAGGGGGATTGTTAGTTAGAATTCTCTGGTTATAAAAAGGGAGGTGTCTAGGACTTATTACATGAGTCCATGGGTCCCCAAGATAAACAAAGGATGAAATTTAAAAAAAAATTGAAATGGTAATGGGTCATTCTATAATTCTGGGTCCAAAAGTGTGAAATTTTTTTGTCCCTGTTACACCTGACCTGTGTTATTTGACATGGAAATGTCACTGAAATTGATTTCAAACTATTTCTCTTTGGCAATTAATTTACATTGATTCATCACTCGTGGAAATTATAGAATTGTTCTGAACTTACAATATCATATGTCAGATATGACAGGGACACGAAAACAACTGGACCCCTAATTTATAGAATGACACAATTCCTCATTCACCGGCAACTTGGGGAGTGTACGATGTTGAGGGGTCTGTTTGCAGTGTTGGTGCCCTGGTTGTGGTTGTCGTCGGTGCTCGTGTCGTCGGCTGTTGAGGAGATGGGAGAATATTGTGTGAGATATACACATTGTGACCATGGATTATGACACGCTTTCCGGGCAGTATTTGTTTTATTACGCTCGTGTGTGGTGATACATTGTACTTTCCTATGAGAACACTTTTGACAGTCTTGAAAGAGGACTAGTCTTCACGTCTTGTGGAAGCTTTCCCGGACATCAATTCCCTTTGAAAAATCTCCGTAGCCACGATTATAGCCTTTAATTAAGTCGACTTTCTACACCGTGCATTTTTTTTTAATCCTCCAGTCACCAAGCAAATGGCTGTCAGTCAGTCAGTCAGCCATAGCTGTTGTCAGCTGTTTGCGCAAAATGGATTTTCTTTAACTTGTTTCGCAGGGAGACCAGTCCAACTTCAGAAGTTGGGAAACTAAGCCTTGGTCTCTCAGAAGTTCTTGGTTTTTTTTCTTGGTGCTCTCCCTATAAATAAAATTACTTGGCAGAGTAGGTTGCCTGTGGCCAAACTTGTGCTTTTCCTTTCCGTAACCATATGGAGAAGTATCCAGGGCGTGTGGCCACAAGAATATCTTACTCTTCTGGTTGCCCCGTCATTTCACACTTTATCTCTGAAAGTAATGCCTAGAAATCGTCCATAGCACGTCATCATGAACTAACTCAAAAGCTTCCAGCCTTTATTGGGGGCGTGGGCGCCCTTTCTTAGCGCCCACGTCTCACAAGCATACAACAACCACAGTGACCACGGCAGCGGCACCAGGCTGAGTTGTTGTCACGATGCTGAAATATTCTGAATTCCATGATGCAGAGAGGCAAACCAAAACTGCGGTGGTTTAATGCTCGTATTCTGCCAACTGATGGTGTACATAGAATGCTGTCCAGACACTCGAAAACTTCACATGTGCAACTTTTGTGACAGGAAGAAGATTGTTTCACCAAGGGTGATCGATTCGGAATCGGTGACATGTATTTTGCTCTTTGCAGCAGTGCTAGTTTTCAACTTTGCTAGTCTGCTCTAACTTTCTCATCAGTGCTAGGAGTTCTTTGGCTGATCCGCCGGAAAAAAATCTACACCACTAGCAAAGCGCAAGTTTGTGAGCGATTTATTTGCTAATTCTATCCATTGGAGTTCCTGAGGGTCGCCATTGTAATATGTTCAAAGAAGACAATGAAGACCGAAGAGTGTTGAGGATAAAGTACAGCCTTGTCTGATCCCGAAATTGTTTTAAAATGCTTTCGTTGAACAAAGTTCTTCGATATCATCGTTTGCAGTTTAACGTATAGTGTACTTTCTTATTATGGAGGTCTTGAAGTTGGTACTCGGTAATATTTCCTTTTACATGGCAAGGAACCATTGAAAAAGTGAAATTCCATTCCTTTATTGTTCACAGAGTTCAGACACGGCAATAGTTGACATATAAATGTGGTAGCAGCCTGGTAATCACTAATCAGTGTATTTTTTGCACATACATGTATCATGTGCAAATCAAAGATGTATCCTGACGTATTCCTACTGATTCCAAACCGTGCCTATGCTTCGTCAAGCGTAGCTTTCACTTGATAACCGATCCTTTAAGAAGAACCTGCAGTAACTTTATTAGGGAGCGAAATTAGTCTGATTGTTTTGAGGTCCCTTCCTTTTTCTTGAAAGTTCCCTTCCTAGATATGGGATTCAGAGTCGATTTTGTCCATTGCGCTCTCCACTACCCATAAATCTAGTTGTAAATTCTGATTTTCCAAGTTTTTGAACCTCTAGCACTTCATATTTCTGGGAATTGAATAAACAAAACACCAGCTTATATATTGTAAAACAACATTCGTTCGAATAGAAGCAAGGAGTTGATCATCAATTACAGCAATTTATTTTTTTAAATCGTCCTGGGAAAGCGTCATTGCGGTATCAGGCATATTGATGCAATGGTATATAGCTTCCCGTGGGATGTTGGACACTGACACACGTCATTCCGGAACTTATTGTTCCATTGTTTGAGAATACACTCATTGTCATTTTGTAGCTCTATTCATCTCTGACGAAGGGTCTCCTACGTAGTCAGTTGCGAAAAATCGTACTTTCATGTCTCAAAGGAGAAAAGAAGCAAGTTGAATTTTGTACCGAAGTTCTCTGTTAGGGAACCGATAATAGAAATTGTGAATAAATTTTCCAGATAACAGAGCGGAGATAAATGAAAAAAATGCTTATCCTGCTTTATTTTTGTAACCTCAGTTAAAACTCCATAATAATGATCAACCTGTAGGCCCTATAGGCCCAAAGAAATAAAATTATTCCTTTTCCTTCAGTATGCAGAAAGAGTATAATCTCGAGGACAGCGACCCATGGGTTTGTTTTAAAAGATGAACTGTGGGCGTTTGCACCTTCAAGTCGGCTGGTAAATTTCCACCCAATCATCCATTTTCCCAGAAATATTGATGACGTGGATGTGAAACACAGGGGTCGAAAGAGAGTAGAGAGCATTTTTGGCACTTATTGTGTGAAATAAGACACAAGACGGATATCCCCAGCTTGGGCATGGTGTACATGTGGTTTTCTATGGTGACCTGATCGAGGTCATTGGTGACCTGAGTGAGGTCGTGTCCTCGAGTTTGTGAAGCCCCACGTTCTGCGTGCGTAGCAGGCCCAGAGTAGCAACAAGCGGGAATTCCAGGGGGCAACGTGAAGCCCCACGTTCTGCGTGGGTATCAGACCCAGAGTAGCAGCAGGCGGGAATTCCAGGAGGCGACGCCGAAGTGAGCTGGACATAACGATTAATTGGCTAAACGAGTCTGGTGAGATGCGTGGACGTGGAGAGAGTGAGGCTGTTGGCATGGAATGATAAGTGGTGAAGAGGTTCTGTTGGTTACAGGGGATTGATTTGGGTCAGAGGAGATGGATGAATTAGGCTAATCCTCAAGCATGATCACTTGCTTAAAGAAACCACTGAAGAAAGACTTTATGAAACTGAAACTCATAAGGAGAAGAAAGAAACGGATAAAAGATGGAAGTTTATTCTTTCTTGTAGAAAGATTATAGCATGAAGACAGACAGTGGAGAGCTAAACAATAGTAGGCATTTCTACGCTATAGATTTTACTGTTGCACTGAGTGAAACCAGCCCAAAGTCAGGAAACCAGTTGAAGGGGAGAACACCTTCGAAGGTTTAAGTAGAGAGAAACCTTCGAATCACAGTTTCATCGAACAAAGAGAAACAGAGGCACTGGTTTCGACGAATGGATTGGCGTAAATATCTGCAAAAAGTGTCTCCTAAAGTATGTCTTGTTTTGTTGAGTGAACTTTACTAGGCCTCGGAGTAGCCCTCTTTCTTACAAAGATAACCATGAGTGAATAATTCACTTGGATGGTCTGTTTGCTGCATTGTGGGATTTCCAGCCTATTGAATTAATTGTGAGGATGCGCGAGTTTACCGTACGTTGTTTGAACTGTAAAACCAAATAAGCCCCTGATGTTACGTATCCAAGCTTCACATTTGCTCACTGTGTCAGTTTTTGTCTAATTAGCAAAATTATGACATTTAAAAGGTAAATCGTTCTGGTCCTTACATCAGTTTCTGTGTGAAGTAGTTACACCGCCACTGGTTGCTATGGAAATAACCGGAGGCCATGCCAACTGGGTTGCAGCCCAAGGGGTTCATGGTCAACTAGCGACAAGGCATGGACGGAAACGTTACCATTGTGGTTGCACAACTGCACTGCAATTAAAGATACCCACTTTCCGGTTTCGGCAACGTCGTCCAACAACTGTCTTAAATTCAGTTTTGGTAACGAATTCAGGACGACTGACCATGAAAATGGTGCAGGCCTAGACATTAGAGGAACTACGAGTAGACGAGTGGGCAGTGACTGATTCAATGACCAAATATGAAAGCTGTGGCCCTAGTAAATCAAAGTACACTATGTGTGTGTCACTATATTGATCTTTATACTTACATGTACATGTAGATCCAAAGCAGTTCAACATAAATGAACTTATGGTGGCTTTCATAAGACGGCTCAGAATGTCTACCCCATGACTCGGCTTTCCCCCTCGACAAACCAAAATCAAAAGAAGCCTGCCTAGGGCATTCGTTTCACTTGTGACGGTCATCACGCATATATAATACAGGCAGAGTGAAGGCAAATTCTATAGCCAAATTCTAAAGCCAGCATATTTTACAGAATTTTTCCAACCAGATGAGCATCCGTTTGGAACTACATGTAATTTAAGTTTCCAAATACATGGTTACTCAATAACATCTCCTGTACCGTTGAGCTCATCGTAACCCTAACAGATTTGATGGGGTATAGCTCCATGGGTTTACTAAGCAAGGAGCGTCTCACCGTGTATATTTAATGAGCAAAGGCATCCTGTATAAAAAAAAATGCAAATTCAGCGGAGATAGTTTGAGGCAAGTGTGCTGGAACTTCATGGTACAGTACTCTCGCGGAGGCGTGGATTTAGAGGAGACTTGCGCGACGTGTTAGAAATCATCGCATAACTGCGTGGAATGGTCTCTCATCATCTTGAAATTAGAAAATCACCGTTCTGGAGCGTCGACTAGAATAACATGGGTCGAAATGTCCCCATGAGTTATTTTGCTTGATGGTTGTTTGTCCATGCGCTCTCTCCCCAGATGGTTCATGATCTGCTCTGTTCGGCTTAGGTAATGTCATCATCACGGCTGGATGCTTCTCACTCTGTAGAATTTTCACATCGCGAACTCGTCCTGTACAATTTCGATTCTTCTATACGCAATGAGAAAAAGATTACGCACTGCGAACTTGGAATATTGTAAATCGACTAGATTACGTCCTGGAATCCACTCGAAGTCGTCTTTTTGACAAATACAAGTATCCAAACCTCCAAGAAAGATCTTTAAGCAGATAAGGCAGTTTGTTAATGGACCAGTCTTAATTAAAGGTTGTGAAACATATCTTTCAACGCCGAAGCTTTAAAAAACTGAATGTTTGAGAGTAAGAAGAACCCGATTTCATCATTTTTAACCCCCCCATGTTGTACTTCGGGAATCTTCGTTCTCGTGTATAAAAGAAAGACACAAATCTGCATTCCAAATATCTTTATCTCCATCTGCATTCACTTTTTCGAGTACTAACGACTTTTTTCCAAACACCTGCCGAAGTATTTGGGACCTTTTTGGGACAGCAGAGTGTCTAGTCACTAAATTCCCACTAACTTGGCCATACCTGTCTTAACACACATGGGATTCATAGATTTATTCAGCACCTGTTATCAATGGCCGTGTACCAGTGCACTTCAAAGAAATACAACATTCGGAGGGTCGATTCGATTCGATCAAGCCCTGGTACTCCGAGGGGCTAGCCCTCTGGCTGACCATGACCTCAAGTCGAGACTACAACTAAAAACAACGTGAAACTTAAAGAGAGCGGGCAGATTCAGAAAGAAAGTTTAAAGTCACTTTCACCAGGAACTTTCGTTGGCGTCCATATTTTATAGCATGTTATCATCTGCTGATTCTCCAGCAAGAACAGGAATTTCTTCTAGGTTTGAATACTTTTTCAGCATGGGTTCTTGATAGTCATGGTCCTTCACAACAGTTTAAGAGAACCAGTAACTGAACCATCAACTGAGCATTATGAAATACTTAATAGTCCACATACTACCCTCATTTTCTCTCCCGCCCTACTGACCACCATTTACTTTGTAGCCTCATCTTAAATATGTCGAGAAGAATCAGACGCCCTCTAGTAAAGGCAAAGCGATTTAGGGATTTTGTCGCCCATCGGAAATCAGAAAGTTTAACAATCCAGTTTCCATTGGATACAAGGGATTGGTTGGGAATCAGAGCTGTGAGGTGTAAGTTGGATTTTTTAAAAGTTGTCTCATTTTTTACTCATATTTATGTGGCTTTTAAATATAGTTTTTGTCATATTGGTATGTTAGTGTCTTGTATTTTTAATAATGGAATAACACTTTTCACGTATTCATGGCCAATAAATGAAATTAAAACTGTTCTAGCTCTAAGTAGACAGTTATAACAGAATTAATATGATGATGATACCTACAACTTTTAGTACAAGCCAGATTTAATGTAGCTCCGTTCCATGCCCTACATCCATGCATATTTATATCCTATTTTCGAGCGGAAATTCATTTCATGTAAGTTTATCCTTGAAAAGGAATCTGCCACAGGTGTTTAAAGATGTATCATAATTATATTTGTAAATTAAATTAGAAAATCCGAACACTTAGGCCTACCTTAACTTTGGGCTTCTTACGCTTTCTCTTTTTACCGTCTGCCGTTTGCACCAGTACAAGCACGCACAACAGGAGTATGAGCAATGATCTGAGCTTCATCGTCAAAACAACAGTCCAACTCCTCTAACGTTCTCAAACTCCGAAATGCTTTCGCTTGTGGAATGAATATCGTTATCTACTTTCACTTTCAGTCTCAAACAGGACTTCGTTCTGTATTAGTCGTTTTGTTGATTGAGTCACGCAGTTACCCACAAAGAGATGTAATCCCGTAGACAACCGCTAATCGGTAACCAAGTTACAACCGAGCTTTGAAGTCCGTGATCCAGTGTCCCTCCTGTACGTGGCTACGGTGGAATTCTGTGTTCAGCGGGAGTCGAGTGCATTTAACGTTTCCCGTGATTTTGGAACCAGTGGACTCAGTGGATCATTAATGATTGAGTGTGGCCATGCTCCTCTCAACCATTTACCAGAGGACCGAGAGGTCGGACCATGAAGTCGTGGTCAGATGCAGCCGTGGTGCTCTTCGATCGGCTGTTGGTGCTGGTTTGTGCCTACCAGGTGGGTTTATTGGGGTATTATGATCCCATGAATTTATAGCTTTGACATATGTTCGAGTTTCACTTGGTGATATCCCCATGACACGCCACCGACACTGTGTGATCCCCGGGTCAGCTCCAAAACACCGCACTCTCCCTGAACTCAGACGGGACGTGGTAGGTACAGGAAAGTAGACATGACCTAGTCCACCGATCACGATTGTCGCTGCGTGGTTATCACAGAGAACCCCCCAATCTCGACGCTCGTCGCCTCATTTTGAACTTTGACGTATTTATTATTACCGAAAATGGGTCATTCGGGAGACAAGAAGGTGCACAAAATTTTTCCAAATGTACTGTCCCATAAATCAATATTCCCTAATCCGATCTTAAAGACCAACTCCAACTGTTTTAAAAGTGGTGAAAACGAATTCCTATTGCGTTTAGAGTTTAATAAATCATATATTCATTACCAAATCATGTCTGTATTGCGTCTGTATTTTTTGTAATTTTGCCGAAACTTATGAACGTTGTCTTTGAGTTTTATGAAAAATTTCCACAATCTGACCGCTGGTGGCGCTGTTGAGAAACGGAATTTGTTGGATGTAATACCGGAGAAAACATTTAAACTGGTATCCGTGGCACGACCGGTTGCGCTACGAACGTACATGTACAGTACATAGGCCTATACTGTACATGAAAATAGAGCTACACGTGCGTGCACCGCGTGTCAGGGATTGATCTGTGTGCAGGTTCTACTGTGCCGCATTAACTCTTTTCGGTCGAGAGTTTGTGCTCCTTTCTTCATGACTTACAATAATGTCCAAATCGTGCGTCTTGGTGGACGTACTAGAAATTCTGTGAAAGAACCGGGATTGAAATTCTTCGAGTTTCCGAAGAATAAGAGCATTCTACATGTTCGTGCTGTCGTCCGTAGCTATGCGTGCTATGGATGCACACTCATAGCGCGTGCACTGTAGTATTTCCTCTCCACGGTAATACATCACAGAAATCAACATTCATCAGATGCTCATGAGTCGTGACGACACGTCCACTTTTACAACTGCAGACTGGGCTCCCAGGAAAAATAGGTAACTGTGTTTTATTAACACAAACACGTGTGTTGCAAGGGAGATATTGATATGTGCCAGTGTTATTAGACTTAGTTCTTCTGAATAGGATTCAATATGAGAAAAATCAACATCGTTGGAGTTGGTCTTTAACCAAACTTTGCATGTTTTCATTTTAGACCCTAATCTATCATCTCTCAAAATTTGGATGGTAAAATTCGGCCTCCTCCTGGTAGTTGGAGCATTAAGGAGACATTGAAATGTCTCCCTAATGACCAATGTCTCCCTGGGGTTGAAAAATTTATCACAAAGTGTCTCCCAAATGACCTATTTGTGATAATTATTGGATGCCGAACGCCTGTCGAGTGAGTTATCTTTCAAGTTAAGCATATGTTAACGCCTGACGTTGGCAACGGGCGTAGAACTGCAAATATGCTAGGGACAATTTCTGTGCTAAGGACGAGAACGCTCTACAGGGAGTGTGACATATGATAAAATCATTTTTGGGTGATCTATGGCCCCATCTGCCTGGTCAAAACGACGGAAGCATGAACGTCGAATCTTTTCCCGATATCTATGAGGCTTGATCCTTGATCCCTTCAATCGCAAGGCATACCTTTCCCAGAAAGGAGGCCATCTAACACCAGCAGGTGATGAATGAGGATTTTATATCTAGCCTTGTGTTTTCCTACAAATTTTTCTTTTGCCCAAGCTTCAGCGACGTTGGTTATGCCGACAACTCTCGTTGATGGCGCTGTTTAATCATAGAGTTTATCAGTTATAGAATCTACGGTGCTGGGTCATAGTCAAACACCGAACACATTGTGTGTGTCATTCATACGAAACGCGTCTAATAAAAGAAGCGCGGTGCAACAACAATGGACTTTCATTGTTTGTGCACTGTGTTTCTTTCGTTAGATGCTCGTAGTGTACCATGTGAGGTGACGCATGACATGTCCTCACCCGTTCTGTCGAGGTTTTTCAGTCTGTTTGATGTAAGGCCCATAATTAGGCTACACTTGAAGCAGAAGATATAAAGGTTGTCTGAAGTTTTACTTAAGTGCAGTGCGCTATACGAATCAGCTAATGATTTGACAGGTGAAGGTTTTATATAGGACTCTTAGGTGTAAGAGGTACATTTTTACATGATAGGTTTAAGGTAATTGTTTTCAGAACCATTTTGCAGGATTTTAGTCTAAAAACAGGTGCATTAGTTACCTAATGTCGTGGTAAAAACGGTAAAGTTTCTACTTAAAATGGACGGGACTAACTTTGTTGGAGTACTTCTGTACCATGCCAGAGTTTTAGACATTTCTCCGGTAAAATTATTATTCAAACAAAAAAGAAATAAAAGCAGTATGAGAAGAAAAGGTCAGACAAAAGTAAGTTTGACTTGGGATGGGCAATGAAGGAAATCACCATTAGGCCTAGTAATGTGACTAAAGGTATATGTGTGCTATATAGATGTAGAATGGGAAGCACCGCGGGCCACAAAACTTTCGACTCACTCCTAATGAACGGACTATGAGCTTTTTTTTCTGTTACGTCTTTGTAGGTAATGGAAATATTTTGTAAGATCACAAAAATAAGCAGATAATTTATAGACCTTTACCATGACGCTGCCATGTTTGTCGTGTTCCTTGTGGACCCATTGGCAGTAGTACTACAACTTCACATACTGATAAAAGAAAACAGACTTCGTTCCAGCGTCAGTTTGGTTACTTTTCCTGATAGAAAGTAAGATGGCTGCCCCGTGATAGAGGTCTATAGAACACTCAGAAGGGAAACCTGGGACAAAAAGGGGGAGCACGGTAAAATCATGCATTTTTGTTTACTTGTTTTCTGGGTTTTTTTTCTTTGCCCGGCTCTGATTTTTACAGAATGCGTAACGTACTGCAATGCAAAACATAATTCCGCATGTTATTTCTAATTAATCTGGCATGACATGATGGACGATTCTCAGTCCCTCCCGCCCTTGTGGCTAGCATTCTCCCCTCTGATGTAGTCTGAATCCACTGGAAACAAAAATATTCTGTTGAGATTGTTTTTCAAAAGAGGCAACCAACCCAAACGTCTGCTTTGCCAGTGATTGTTATTTTGTGATTGTGTGCGAAACGCTCAGCAGGGTCATCCATACTGGCTTTAATTAAGTACATGCTAGAGTGTGACAAACGGCAGGGCGAAGGCCAAAGACTTGCGCACACTGCTGCACGTTAACAACATGCTGCAAAATTACAACAGACGCAGCGGCCCCACACATCTCCTGAAATTGTCAGGCATTTGGTGTCAGTCCATCAGATTTTGTCTAATCTCTCGGTACCCTGGCGCTACCCCTTGATGTTGCAACTTGGTTAGAGTATGTGCTACACAGACTGTGAGTTAATACTTTTACAAATGGCTATTTTATCATCCATTTAACGTTGCTATCTCTAACATTTCATCAGTTATAGACTAATCTGATTCGACGCCTTAACTGTGGTGACGCAGTACTCACACCCACATTTTTCTCCTTGAGGCGAGCGTGCATTTGGCAAATCACTACATGTATAAATTCTGCTGCAATTTTAGCTTTTCATAGAAAATAGTTTCGCATTAAATATTATAAGAAAGGTCATGATGCTCGTTTGATAACGTCAGTAGAGCCTGTGTTTCAACGATGGAGCTTCCTGCATTTCTTTTTTTCATGGCAAATTGTAAACGGTCGCTCGACCGGGGCAGTCGTGGTTGAAAACAATTGATGCAGTCAGTGTTTTCGTGCTCATATTCTTTCTCCTTAATCCATCGATATTCCTGTCATTTCTTGATTACTTGTCGTTTCCCTCAGTGGCCCATATATCCCTTTCATATCCCTTTGCACTGGCAGCCTTTACTCACTCCCCAATAAAATAGCACAGTATTTCGTCACTTTAGTCTTGAAGCCAGTTAAATCGTTGAATATTACGACAAGTGCGATCAAATTTAAATTTTAAAAAAGGGATTGCTTATAAGCCGTCGGTTCTGTTTTCATCAATCGAAATTGAATTTAAATAGTTATAAAAATGTAAATTTTACCTCAGATTACATCTGCCGATTCACTACAGTGCGAAGTGCATTGACTTTAAATTGATTGCTTTAACGTTAGTTTGCATTAGTTTGTATTACGTCGAATGGCCAATTTACCAAAGTAATTGTAAAGGGCAAATCTATCCACACACGATTCCACCTGCCTTTAATCTAATTGCTTGCAATTCCTATCAAAAGGCCATTCATCAACTCCACAAACCTCTGAAAATGTAGAAAGGTTAAACCAACGAGTTACCTGACGGCTGTAGACGATTTTCAAATGACTTGTGGGGTGGGCCACCCCCTTCCTTCCTTGCGCTTTTATGTGGCGTGAACAGGATATAGAAGTCACATTTGCGTTTTTCTGACAACACCTTCAGCAGAGGTTGAATATCTTAAGAGGAGGTTGTACGTTCTCCATCGTGACACACTTTGGAGGATTCAGGGTCAAAACTCCCCGTAAAAATGAGTTTGGACAGGTGCGGATCCAGTGGTTGAGGTCAACCCCCCCCCGTTCTGACACAAGAAATAAATGTAATAACAAAGATGACTTTAAGTATAAAGACGTATTATTTGGACATCAGTAACAATGTAATACATCACTATATTACTATAGGCCTGTGTATTCACTAAGTGGGCCTATCCATATTTTACATATTGTATGTGAACCATTAAAAAATCTGAGGGGTCTGACATTTTCGGAAAAATTCCTGCCCCCCCCCATGGGCGCACCGGAACTAGTCTTGCAGGGGTGCTACTCTGACCACCCATTGATAACCTCTAGGGTCGACCTGTCTTTAAACCTCAATTTCCTAAGGTCAGGCTATTTATAACACCATTCTCGAGGGATTTTTTCACATCACATGGACAAACATTAACTCGCATCTTTGAAATTATTGGTTTTTAACGAACGGGTCATTAATTATATCGGCATTTGAACGGCTGAGCTGAAAAAGCTCGGATAATAAAGGTAGAGCGCTGTTACGTAACATATCTGGCAGACACCACGCATGATTTGTTGGAGGATAGTATGAGAATGTTCTGTTTGATCTGCAGATATCTTTTTCTGTCATTATTTTGTATAATAGCTTCAGCATATTCAACAACAAGCTAGTAGGCCTACACATCACAACTG